TTTTAACCTCTGTCGCAGTCCAACAGAAGACGCTCAACATAATAATGATGAGGTTGAGCAGCGAATTTATTGCAGGCAGCTGATCTTCCCCAGAAATGCTTGCCTTGTATAAAACAAAGCCAAATTGAGGTATACAAAATTAGGCCCTTCAATATTTGAGGATCTATTGAAACTGATACATATTTCATACAAGTTTTAAAAGTAAAAATTGGGAACCACAACTTTTGCTTTTTAAGTCACATTTTCGTGGCATACTTTCTGACGCAAAAGTTCAGTTTCTAATGTTTAGTTTCTAGGAGTCAAGGTGTAAAAGTTCGAACAAGGTGTAAAGTTCGAATCTTTTATTATGTCGTAAAATTGGAAGTCTATTCTGGTCAAGTGAAGAACAGCTGGAACTTGGTTTCAAGCCAGACAAGCTTTACTTTCCACATCAGCAATGTTCTTTTTTTCTAAATTCAAATTTTATAAGAATAACTATGCATTAAATTGCCCTAGTCGGATCTGACTTTGGCATATGTTTAACTCAGTGATAGTAGACTAAAAAACTAAGAAATAAATGTAAAAAAGAAAGCCAAAGAGAACGGAGATGAAGTTTAGATCTTGTCATACCTGCACAGCAATAAATTAAGTTATTTTCAGGATATATATTTATATATATATATGTGTGTGTGTGTTAGCCACGTTTGCTTGCTTTGGTATTTGCCTGATTTAGTTTGGCTAAAAAGTATGCAGCGACTTTATTCTTAACAACATAGCGCATTCGTTGGCAACACACACACACACACACCTAAACACACAAGCATACACACATATGTGTGTGCTGCTGCACGTAAAATGTAAATTTATCTGTGTGTGTGTGTGTGTGTCTGTGAGTTGGGTGATAAAGCCATAGATATAGCTTGGCCTGCACGAGTGTGGATAATGGCGCGGCGAAAAGTCGAAACGCACACAACACCCACAGCACACACACACAGCACTCACACACACAACACACACACACATACATGCGCGCACATAATAAGGTGCGATTTGTCTCGCGCATAAAACGAAATTTCCTGCCAATACACACAGCAAAACACACACCTTCACACACACACACACACACACACACACACAAAGACATGCACACCAGCACACACACTTGGTAGCTGAATGGCTGGCCAACAATGGTCGCTTCTGCTGGGAAGTAAGTCAGGTGGGGAAGAGGATGGGTTGGGGAGGGTTGGGATTGGGTGGCAGTTTCGATTGCTTTGTTGCTTGTATATGGACAGCGTGCCGATGTCTCTCTAACTATATGTATGTGTGTGTGTGTGTGTGTGGAGGACATCTTTGTAGGTTAAGGCTCATGTCAGAAGCTGGCAAACGGGTGCCACAAAAAAGGGCGTAAGGCTTTAGGCGTGGCAAACTCGTTTGCCATAATTATTGCTTTTGTTAGGGGGCCCACATTATTATTTTAACCGGAAATGTGTGTGCTGCCCCGGATACCCTCGCTCACCACCACCCCCCACTCCTCCACCCACAGACACACTAACGTACATCCTCTCTTTCTGTGTATGTGTGTGTGTGTGTAAAATTTGTGAACTGCATGAACTTTTTTTCATCCATTCTTGTCGCTTTTGGCGGAAGCTTTTGCTCTGTGCCGGCGACAACATTTAGCAAAATTTTTTTTATGACAATGTTACCCTCTCTCTCGCTTTCCCTCTCCCTCCCTCTCGTTCTCTCTTCCTGCTGCTGCTCTCTGTGCAACCTCAGCTGCCGACAGCGCCCACTTTTATGACAAATATTATGTTAAAGACCGAATATGCGCTATGCCATAAAAGTCAATTATTTTTCATTTCGCTCTCGCTCATTCTCATTCTCATCGCTGTTCTCTTTCTCCGCTTGCCGCGTCTCCTTCTTCTTGGCTTAGCGCTGTCAGTCACTCTCACAGCCATTCACACAAAAAACCAAAATGCACCCCCCTCAACCATTCCCCTTTTTTGCTTGCTTTTCCTTTCCATTTTTTTTTCTGCTTTCTTTTCGCTTGCTTTTGTTGTTGGCTGTGTCCGCTGGGGACATTTAATTTTTGGCGGTCATTCGTTGTGATTTTCCTTGATATGCGATATAGTATTTTATGTACAGTGTGTACATGTATATGTGTGTGTGTCTGTATGTATTTGTCGCTTTGACTGGATAAGCGTTGTGTGTTGTTGATATTTGGCGCGGCTTGCTTCAATTTATGTTCTGTTTGCCTTTATTGTCGAATTTTACTTGCTCCTCTTGTGTTCGGTTTTTGTTTTCTTCTTTTTTTTTAAAGGACTTTTTATTAGGGTGTGGAGCGTTTTGGTGGATCGCATTTGTTTGGTGTGTTGTGTTGTGCTGTATTGATAAGTTCATTTAATGGGCACGGCCTGACATGACCTCTTCCTCGCTTCCTCTCTTCCTGTGCCCAAACACACACACACACACATAAGCACATACACAGATATATGTATATATATATTTATGTATGTATGGCATTTGTTTGAGTGCGTTGCGCCTAATGAGTTTAATGCTTTGTTATCAGCGCTGTAATCTGCTTATGTAATATGCGGCCAAAACTTCAACATAATTGAATCACAAATTATGTCATTTTGTGTGTTTGAGTGTGTTTCTTTTATATACATGTATATATGTATATATTACATATATATAGACACACACACACATACGTATTTGTGGCCTTGGGCGCAACTTTAAACGCATTAATTGCCAGATTGCCAGATTGTCAGAGAAATGGAGTGACTGGCAATTAAACAGTGCACTGATAACCGGTTTAATGGCACCGCTTAACCGTTTTGATTACTGCTTGTGGAGAGGAGACAGAGAGACAGAGATAGAGAGAGAGTGAGAGAGGCTTAAGGGCAAAAGCAAGAAAACGATCCTTGGGCGATTTTACAGCAATCGTAATCGACGTCATTTGTAATTTTTGGATGTGTTGCAACTTTGCCAGCTTGTAAGAAATTAAAGATTTTTTAGTTTAAAAAAAAGAAGTAAGTTTTTAAAAACGACTTAAGACTGCCCTCAATAAATAAAGCGCTCCACAAACCGTTTAACTAAGCAATTGTCATGAGGCAATTACAAGAAATGCCACACCTGATCGCTTTCTGTTTGCTTTAAAGAGCAATTTTCATTACAGTTGAGTACACGTGCCACCGGCACTGGGACACCCCAAACATGACTTGCGACTCCCCGCGTCCAGCCACGAATCCTGTCAATGACGGAAGGCTACTTTCATTTTTGTAGGAAAAAGCAAATGAAACTTAACGGAAAAGAAAATTACATCATGCTCGTTTCAATGGGTCGACATAATATTATTTTCCTTGGTTGATTTTATTTTTTTTTTCCCCCAGCAGCACCCACTGTGTATGAGGCATATCCACGTGCTGCGTGTGAGTGTGTGTGTGTGTGCGTGTGTGTGTGCGTGTGTGTGTATGTACATATGTCATCATCATCATCTTGGGAACAGCTCACTCCTCGCTCCTCGCAGGAGAAGCTCCTTCCTTTTGCGTGCTGTCGATTTTTTATTTATTTATTTTATGCCTACGCACATACGCGCCAAGCAGTTTGACAGGTGTCGCCGACTGAGTGGCTGCCTGCCCTGGCAATTTGAGGGGTGGCGCGGGGTGCGGGACAGGCAAATTGTGCTCATAGCGGGCGTGGTTCTGGCCTAGCCTGGCCTGGCCTGGCCTGGCCTGGTCTGCTTGTGGTGCCTCGAGGGGTAGATGGAATGAAAAATGTCACCCTATTATTCTTTGTATTGTTTTATGCGGCATTTATACGCTTATTTTTTGTTGTCTTTTAATAGACGTGGCAAAGTACGCCCCAAACAACAAAGCAACAACAACGGGGGCTACTTTACGTATCCCCCACCCCCACCCACCTTCCCTCGCGATGTGTCTGCTGGCGTTTTATCATCATCCAATCAGTAGATAAATAACACATAAAATGAGGTGCTTCATCGGGTTTGAAGTGATGAAAGTGAAACTGTGCCGAGTTTGGCTTTGTGGTTGCCTCCCCCGTCTAACTGTCTGTCTGTATGTCTGTTTGTGGTTGGTTGCTTGCGAGCGTCAAGAGGCAAGAGCCGAGAGCTTTGTCTTTGTCTTTGTCTTTGACTCTGGTGTAAATCTGAAGTAACAACTTTATATAGATATCAGTTACAGGCAGTGCTACGTTTTTGCATTTCGTTCGACTTAAAGGCTCAGCATTAAACTGGGCGCGTACAGAAGTAATTTGTCAACATTTCATTGCATTACACGTAAAACAAGGTAATTTAATTGATTGACAAGCACTCCCACACAACAAACACACAACACACACGCACACACACATTTAAATTTAGCGCCACACGCATCGCGGTAGGCCAGCCAAATGTTTATCGTAACCGTTTCACAACAAGTTGGCAGTCACAGAACTCACAGGGTTGCGAGAATCGATTACCGCTGCAAGTGTTATCGGTAGCCAAGCAGCTGTATTGTTTTTTTTTGTTTTGTGTGTGTGTCTGCGCTTATAGCTACGCAAATCGAACTGAAACAGTATTATGTACTCGCCATAAAACCTGGACTATTAATTATTAACAATTACTAACGAGCAAAGACAAATTTGGTATTAGCCGTAGCACAATAGAGGAGCACACTCAGATACCATCCAAAGCAAGCAGCAGCCGCCTACTTGCTGAGGCAGCAGCCAAGACTAGCTTGAAAAAGGCTAAAATAGCCAGGTAAAAAAGAGTCTAAAAAAAAAGCATACATTTTGCATAAATTTGAAATGTTCAGCTTTTGATGTGCTTTTTTGAATGGTTTGGTTTTCAGGTGCGTAACAAATACTTGTTGCTGTCCACATTTGACAGTTTATTGATTTTGTACTGTCTGTTTGTGCGTGTGTGTTAAATGCTGTTGTTTATCTGTCACATCAAATGTAACTGAGCTTCTCTGCTCAATTTTGACAGCTGTTTCGCATTTAAATAATTCATTTTTATATAGCCCTTGGCCATACTTGTTATCAGTTGCGCGTAAACCACAAGTGTTTTATTATCGGTCACACACTCAGTTTTATTGCCAATGATTAAAACACACAAACACCCCGCAACGCCCCGCCCACAACAGACACTGATTGAGAAGTTGTTAAATGGGCCTCTTGACCAGATGCTAATTGGCTGATTGGCCTGTTAATCAAATTGTGGCACAATAAGCAAATCAAGATCGTACAATTAAATTTGTTGGCGTTTAACAAAGACTCAAAAAATGAACAACAAAAATCAATAGAAGCGAGCAATGCAATTTAATTTGCTGCTGACCTTTGACATTTTACAGCAATGAACACAGCCCGCGACACTTTTATCTAAGCGCCTGCTTGCGCCCCCCAATTAGAAAAACCCATACGAAAAAACGGACGACGCCGTGTCAAAAATGATACAGAAAAGTTGGCGGCACAAGCGTAAATAATATTAAAACGCACCAGACTGAGAAATAAAAGAGAAAGATTATAAAAAAGATTTAAGCAAGTCGAGGAAAGAGTGTTTATAAACAATAGACCATGCTTGGGCGCACACAGAAGCTGCTGCTGGGCCTGGCCATATTGTTGCTAGTCAACCTGCTCTGGGTCTCCTCCAGCGAACTGATCAAGGTAAGTTGAAATTCAACTGATATGATGTCAGTATTTTAACTATGCTCATTTCGCTCTCCAATTGGCAACAGTTCATCTATGAGGATGACCGATATGACAAGCCCTTCTTTTACACATACTTCAAGACATCCATGTTTAGCATCTATTTGCTTATTATTGGCATTATAGCGCCGTGGAAAGAGTCCTGCGATCGTCAAAATGGCAACTATGCGGTTTGTATAATCTCAAATATAAAGATTCTCCGACATGACTTATATATATATATATACACTCTCTGACTTTTAGATGATGGAACAGCATGCTGATGAGGAGAACTATTACACGAATCAAGCTGCCCTGGTGAGTCTCTGCCTACACAATAGTTGAAATGATGATTGATGAACCTTTTTGGTGTTGCAGAGTGACTCCACCTTTGTGCCCATACGCGTGGCCAATCCGGGCAGCATACCCGGCGTATTATCCGGCGCGGAAAGCGATGATTCGAGTGTGCGCAGCGTGCGCTTCTGCAAGATGGCCGAGGTGCGCGAGATGTCGGCACATGAGGCGACAGATGCGCTGATGGCACGCCTCTCCTATGCAGCCAGCATGCGGATTAGGCGCCAAAAGACGCATCACAAGACGGCCAAAACGGCGCTGCTCTTTTGTTTGCTTTGGCTAGCGGCCAATTACTTTTCGCACTTGGCGCTGGACATGGACGAGGAGCCGATGATAACGCTCATCAGGTAAGTCTCCTCATAATCTTGATGAATATAAAATATACAAATTAAACGATGCGAATTTCACAGATCAACTGCAGGCACAGTATTTACGCTTTTGTTGGCTGCCATGTTTCCATCTGCCATGGGCGACAAGTTCACCATAACGAAAGTTATCGCTGTCACCATGAGCATTGGCGGCGTTGTGGTAATGTCTATAAGTGATTTGCATGATTCCAAGATGACGCGTGGCGTGCTTTTGGCCTTATTCAGCGCCTTCTTCTATGCCTCGTATTTGGTGTTTGTTAAGCGAAAAAGCGACACCGAGGAGAAAGTCGACATTCCACTCTTCTTAGGTAAGTATATCTAATCTTTTGTCTGTATATCTTTATTATAACGCGTTTATAATTCTTGAAGGCTTTGTTGGTCTCTGGAATCTGTTGCTGTTGTGGCCCATATTCTTTATACTACATTTCACTAGGATCGAAACGTTTGAGTTGCCCAGCCAGGGTCAGTTTGGGCTGCTCTTTTTGAATGGCTTCATTTGTACCGTGCTGGCCGTGGCTCTGTGGCTGTGGGGCTGTTTCCTCACCTCCTCGATGATTGGCACGCTGAGTCTGTCGCTGCAGATACCGCTGACGATTGCCTTCGATGTGCTGCTCAAGCACAAGCCGTATACACCCATGTATGGAATGGGTTCCATGGCATTAATCGTGTCATTGTTGCTGGTTGTGCTGCTTTTGCGCAATGATGATTCAGATCCGCTTATGAAGCTCTTCAAAGTGGTTTACAGAAAAGTCTGTGGCTGCCATAAGCCAAGCATTGTGAGGTAACTTATATCACATACTCTCATCATTACGTAAATACTTATAATCATTTAATATCTGTAGAGTCACCGATGATGAGCAGCAGGAATCTCTGATCAACAGCAGTGATTGAAGTCGCACATCTGATAGGAGAACGCTTTTTAAAAACGCGCTTCCGCAAATTGAATTATTGCTCACTGCAATGCAAATCCAAATTTGGCTGTTCACGAGTTCGTTTCGAATCGTTCTTTAATCTATAGTGACATATAATACATATATAGATATATATATATATACACAAATATATATATTTATATATTGATTGTATGTAGTTGTAGCAGATACAATTATTTCGCACAACAAATAAATAAATATATACATATATATATTTATATTTATATACATATGCATATATATATTTTTCCTAATTTTTTTTATGTTAAGAGCTGATCCTGATTTGCAATTTTACGTACAATTAAGCTGATATTAAATATATATTTGTGTAGCTTACATTTACTACAATAGGATTGTACTTTTTGTAAATAGCTTTAGTCGTAGTGTTTATCTCTATGTGATAGGTCTTACAATTTGCTGAAGCTCATTTCTAATTTATTGTGCTAGTTATGTATTACCAGCTATATAGTGCTCGACTTTAAAATTCATACCTATAGATATACCACCTGCATACTCAACAATTCATACTCAATTCCAGCATTTTGAAGATTATAGATCGGATATGTATTTCTCTATACGTTAACCTCTATTAATTAAATAAACTGCAGAATCTGTTTACAAATAATCGTATAGAAATACTCATGCATATATATTAAAAAGTTAATGTACAACTGTATACAAAAATATATTAATACTCAGTGCCAGGGGTTTTCATTTAAGAGTCCTGCATAAAAACACACAATTTCGGTGTGCTTTTGAGGTACTTGTTCGAATATAAATATGAATTTCTAATCAAAATCTCAAATTTAGAATTGATTATTGTTTACAATAAGCAAAATACAAATTCAAAATAATTGTTATCTCACGATAAGATTATTTCGTGCGTATTAAATAAAATATTTTGTTTACGATGTTACTATCAGACAAAAAGAATAATTTTATAAAGCAATAGTCACTAATCTAATCTTCAAATAAGTTTCAAATAACAAATAAGTCTCGCGCACTTGTCATCGATATTTAATGTAATGATATCGAAAATGCTATGTACTTTTACAGCACTGTGAATTTATTTACAATGTTGCACAACAATAGTTTCGATATATCAACATCGATAGTTTGAGCCATCAAGGAAAAAAAAGAAGCAGACTATCATGTCGGCGTCTCCCATTCTATTTCTCGCTGTCGAGCAGTGCAGTTGTAGTAGCGGGTGCAATTATTGTTGAAAGAGTCAAACAAAATGAAGTTTCAACTGGCTTTGTGCCTAGTCGCCATTGCGGCCGGCATTGTGGTTGCTGATGAAAGCAAAGGACCCAAAGTGACCGACAAGGTAAGCAACATCCCCACAAAACATATACACACATTCGCATGCATACATGCATGCATGTATACGTGTGATTGTGTCTGTGCCTGCGTCATTTTAGTGTATATACACAAATACCAACATAGATAAATCATTTGCGCTGTTCTTTTTGACAAAGTATATATTTTGATACGTGTGTTTTTTTAAAATCTCTGCGTAGGTTTTCTTTGACATCACCATTGGCGGTGAGCCTGCTGGTCGCATTGAGATCGGTTTGTTTGGTAAAACCGTGGAGAAGACTGTGAGGAACTTCAAGGAATTGGCTGAGAAACCACAGGGCGAGGGGTAAGTGTTAATAACCCTTATTCACCGTTAATTGGCCTACACACACACTCAGCTACAACATACACGTAGACATTTATAGGTTAGAGCCGGAGTAGTTGCTATCAATTACGTGGCGTTTAAGTGAGAATTAGTTAACAAAGCGACGAGCAACGAGCAGAAATATTGTGTGACAAATTGATATGTTTACGTCTGATTTGAATCTAATTTGACAATTGTTAATTCTACTCTGTTTATTTACACCTATGTAAAAATAGCTACAAGGGCAGCAAGTTCCATCGCATTATCAAGGACTTTATGATCCAGGGTGGCGATTTCACCAAGGGTGACGGCACTGGCGGACGCTCCATTTACGGCGAACGCTTCGAGGATGAGAACTTCAAGCTGAAGCATTATGGCGCCGGCTGGCTGAGCATGGCCAATGCTGGCAAGGACACCAATGGCTCACAGTTCTTCATTACCACCAAGCAGACCAGCTGGCTGGATGGTCGTCACGTTGTCTTCGGCAAAATCCTCTCCGGCATGGATGTGGTGCGCAAAATCGAGTCGGGCGCCACCGATGGCCGGGATCGTCCCGTCAAGGATGTGGTGATTGCCAACTCCGGCACCATCGCCGTCGCCGAGCCCTTTGCCGTTTCCAAGACAGATGCCACCGAATAAGATGGAAATTCAACCAGAAGGCGGCAGTCAGGGAGGCATAACTAATAACTAATTAGCTTTTGCATTTTGCAAATTTTAATCGCGTCTTTTTAAACATAATCAATGGAATTAAATACTATCATAAAAGACTAGAATCTAGAGTACATCGAACCATTTTGTGTGGCCAGCAATCGATTTTTCTCAACTCTCACGTTGAGTTTGCATTTAAATCTAATTGAAACATAAGTTTAAATTTGTAATCCATTTTATCGTCTAAGCAAGCCAATATACTGCTCAATTATTCTCAAATTGTAACGTCTAGAAATTCAATATAATAAACTATGTGATAAAACAAAAGAAAAAATGGGAAAAGAAAAAATATTCTTTGTTGTGTTTTAGTTTTTGGGTTCTCAGTTTTGTTGTTGGTGCTGCGGTTCATTGAACTGGTTTTGGTATATATATATATATATATACACATATAACTGTATGTGTGTGTCTATGCGTGTGTGGGTGTGTATTTCTGTTGTTTCTGTATTTTGTATTATCTTTGCACTTCTGCTGTCTCCCTTAAAAGCGAACCGGTTTTCCCAAACGTCAACAGCTTCCATGTATAATTGTGTATGCCTTTTGTTTTCCCCTTTCTTTTTTGCTTTGATGCACTGATTCTAGCTGAGCTTTATTTATGATTAAAAAAAGCTGACACAGTTGTCTCTGTTGTTTGTCTGTCGCTTTCATAAATTCGTGTCACGTTCTTTATTTTAGCAGCGATTCGACAATTACTTGTGCACATATTTATTTCTTCTCTTTATTTGTTGTCAATGCCAATTTTAGCTGCTTAATTTGTACAACAGCCTTGATTTTATAAAGATAACATTGAGAACTTTTAAGAATTCATTATTCTTATATGACATAGCATTCTAATAAGAAAACATGTATATTTTATTTTTTATTAACCCTTAAGCGGGGTAAAGGCACTGAAACCATTTTGTGAAAGCAAATTGTGATGCTTTAATAGTTTCAAAAGCAACAGCAATAAACTATGAAAAATGTTTTAAAGCACGCAAAGTAATTATAGTATTATGGCATACTGCTAATATTTCCAGAAATTTTCCTGTAGTGCAATATGTGTGTATGCATTTCTGTGTGTGAACAGGCCTTCTTTAACCCCTGCCACACATACACAACTTGCAACTGAGCAAGCCGAGAGCCAATTAAAAACGAGAGAGGATCTGCGAGTGGAAGCATTACAAAATTGCCTGTGTCAGTGCAATTGTACCCCTCACACACACACACACACACACACACACATGTACATCTCTCTGTGGTATAGATTGTGTATTGTTTATGTCGGCAACAATCTCATGTGCCACATATGTTTTCCACACAGACAGACAATCAGCTACTCATATGCACATACACACATACATACATGGAATAACCACAGAACACAGAATTTCTGGACGCCATCGCATTTCAAAGATTATGTTTTTTTGTTTTACTGCTCATAGGCAGTCAGTGCTGCGAGACAAGGCGCTTGGAGAGCAGCAACCAAAGGCGGAAAAACATTTCAATTTTGCTGCTGCATTTTGATATTGAAATATTAGCTGCTAAAGGTATCAACTTTATCTGCTCTCAAAATGGTAAGTGGAAATTTTCGAATGGGGATCATGGAGATCAAGCGGCTTATAAATACTTTATTGATAAGAGGAAGTCGCTGCTGATGTGTACCAATGAATACGCTCTATTTAATACAATATATTTATAATAATATGTCTTATTTAGAAACACCTTGCGCTATGTTTCCTCATCCTGCTGATGGGCAGTGGCGCTTGTCGCGCTGCCAAAATCCTTGTCATCTTTCCACATGCCAGCGAGAGTCATTTCAATGTGATGCGCACTGTGGTCACCGAGCTGGCGGGCAGGGAACACAATGTGAGTATTTATAGCACTCGCCAAGATGCACAATAATGACGATTCCATGCTAGGTAACCGTATACGGCAGCCATGGACTCGGAGAACGTTTCGAGCGTGTTACGGAGACGCTTGTGGAGCCCGAATATGACTTTTGGAGCAACTGTAAGTGAGAGATGATGATAATGATGAAGCAAATTATAATCAACTACAACTTGTTTGCCACAACTTACTGCAGTGCAGAAACATGGTGCAGCTGGTGGCAGCCTGGAGGATCTAAGCCGCTTGACGGACAGCAGGCTGCGCAGCTCCTTGGCCTTGGTTGGTGCTCGGGCATTGGATCACTTTTTGACACAGCCAGTGGTACAGACACTCCTGCAGTTGACCAGCGCTGAATTCGATTTCGATGTCATAATTGTGGACTACTTCTACACGGAGGCGCTGCTGGCGCTAGGCTACAAGCACAACAAGCCAACCATTGGCATTGTTAGCACGGATTTTGGCAATTATATGGATGATGTTCAGGAGTCGCTGGTGCCCGTCGCCTGCTCGCCCATCAACTTTGAGGATTACACGCCGGAGCTTGGTTTCTTAACGCGCTTGAGTGGCATACGTGAGTGTATGTCACGACGCAAACAGTTTCGGAAGGAGCACCATGCGGCACAGGATGAATTGATTCGCAAACATTTTAAAAGTGAGTTTTTACCTTTTTGCCGTTGGCGGCATTTCTCTGTGAATGGCAAAGGTGTTTTCACAAGAGGTGGCAACTCTGCAACGAATCTATATCGATTTAATCATCTGCCTATCGGTTTTACTCAATTTAAATAACTGAAATTACCAAATTTTAATTTGATTTTGCAGTTGCGACCACTGTGCACGAATTGCAGGCTAATCATTTGGCGCTGCTCTTGCTCAATAATCACGTGCCCCTGTGGACTCCGCGTCCACTGGTACAGCAGATTGTTCCCGCTGGCGGTCTTCACATCCGTGCTCCCCGCGATCTGCCATGGCATATCAAGCGATATGTGGAGGAATCTCGCACTGGCGTCATTTACATGCAGCTGGGAAACGAACAGCTTTGCGGCCAGTTGCCCCCGCAAAAACTGCAGACGATCTTTGAGTTTCTGGGCGCGCGCAAGGAGCGAGTAATCTGGACGTGCCACGATGTGACGAAACTGGAGGGCCAGCCTAAGAATGTCATGATACAACATGCAGTGCCACAGATTGATATTCTGGCGCATCCGGGCATTCGTGCCTTCATCATGAACGGGGATCTGCTAAGTGTGCAGGAGGGCATTATGCGAAATGTGCCCATGCTGGGATTGCCCATCTTCCAAAACGAACGCAAGAACATGCAGCTGGCTGTGAACCTTGGAGTTGCCCTTCAGCTGGATCAGAGCAATTTCAGTAAGGCATCGCTGAACTGGGCACTGGATGAGCTCACCACACTGGAGACGTATCAGTTGACCATTCGGGACGTTTCCAGCGAGTTCCGAGACAGACCATTTGGCGCATTGGCCAACGCCATGTTCTGGGTGAACTATGTGGTGCGGCACAAGGGCGGCGCGGCAATTAGAACACGTGGCATCGATATTTCCTCGAATCATTTGCATCTCTTTGATTTGTTTGTATTTTATTTTGGTTTGGCGGTTGTCTTTTGCGCACTTTTGGTTGCCACTTACTTTGGAGTCGTATATGCATTGCAAAGAAAACGCAATGACACCAAAAATGCCAAGATAAATTAGAGATTAGTTTAAAATTCATTAAAGCCAAAGTGAACTAATAAAGCATCAAAGTTAGCTATTTAATTTCCTCTTATGTCGCTATATCAAATTTTGAATGCGCGCCATTGACAGGGTTGCATTAGCAGCGATAATAATTCAGGCAATACAACTCTGGGAAAAAAGTGCTGCCAAATTTTTAGCAATCGACGGTGGCCATCTTCCTTTCTAAAGAATCGCGTTCGCACAGCAGACGTGTTTAAAACCTTTACGAGTGTTTTAAAAGGTAATAATTGTATAAATCTAAACCAAAATGTATTTCAAGTGTGCAGCTAATGAGTGAGGCCAGCTAACTATGAATGCAAGCCGCCTGAAACGTGTAATACCAAGTGGCAAGCGCAGCGTGTCACACGTGGAGTCTCAAATTGCTCACTGGAGCTGCCCCTCGCATTGAGGTTATGTTGAAAACAAAAACAACAAAATCATCCAGCCTGTAAACTGTGACAACATGAGAATTTGTGTGTAAAATTATCAATCAACAGTTTGTCTAATTTGCTTGCTGTGTCGTTCTTTCAGCTCCGTCAAGATGTCCACTGGTACAACTGCCACAATCCGCACCCGCAAGTTTATGACCAACCGTCTGCTTGCCAGGAAACAAATGGTCTGCGATGTCCTCCATCCCGGACTCTCGTCGGTCAACAAGACCGAGATTCGTGAGAAGCTCGCCGCCATGTACAAGGTGACTCCCGATGTTGTGTTTGCCTTCGGTTTCCGCACAAACTTTGGCGGTGGCCGCTCCACGGGCTTCGCGCTCATCTACGACACTCTGGACTTTGCCAAGAAGTTCGAGCCCAAATACCGTTTGGCTCGTCATGGTCTCTTCGAGCAGAAGAAGCAGACGCGCAAGCAGCGCAAGGAACGCCGCAACAGGATGAAGAAGGTCCGTGGTACCGCCAAGGCCAAGATCGGCAGCGGCAAGAAGTAAAGCTCGCGCTGGAATCATGATTGGTGTGTGTGTGTTGCTGGTGGCGCGCACCGAAAATTCCCAAAAGCTGCTGGTTATGCGTTAGTTTCTCTTTTAATCATTAAACGACAACAACACAAAATCCAATTCGGTTGTTTTCTTCTCGAGCGACATTTGTTTTATATGCTTAAGAAAATAAAACACTAAAAAGTAAATACAACTTGGTGTTTGCTTGCTGATTGTGCGCTGTGGTAAATAAATATTTTGTAGAATTTGCTTGAAAATCTGAATGAAAGCATAAATAGGCAATAAACAAATGCATTTTTTTAGTTGTGCCGGTAGCCTTGCCATACTGTTCCGACGACAGCACACTTTAAATGGCAGCATCAATTTGCGTCAGTCTGGCCACATTTTGTCTAGCATTTCAACCCTACTAGCAACGCCACAAAAAATTATTGCAAAAAAAAGAACGAAACCGGAAAAAGATTCATATACAGAAATTGTATAAAAATGTTTTAAATGTCAGTTGAGCAACTGCTGAGCGTTTGCCAAGACAATTCACAGCAGCAATCCGGAAAAAAACAGAGGCAACAGAACGAGCTTAAAAATGTCCAGTTGCGGGGGTGGTGGTGGTGGCAGCGTCGTCGGCGGCGGCATCAGCGTCTCGGCTGGCGATTGGATTTGTCCAGATATTGAGTGAGTGCGCGTAGAGCTTCAGCGTAACGATCCAGGATCGTAGGATTTGAGAGTACTACACCCCTCTTCAGCACAAAAATCTCTTACCCCCCTCCCCCTTCACAAAAATTCCCCTAACAGACAAATGCAATAAATTGTTGTTTTGTTACTCTTATTCTTCCTCCATCCGCTCGCCTCTTGGCGCGCGGCTGTTGTGCGTGTGTTGGTTATGCATTGTATGTGTGTGTTGCAGCTGTCGCCATTCGAACTTTGCACGTCGCCTGCAATGCAATAAATGCAATCGGGAGCGCGAGAGCAACGCCACCGAAAAACTGGACCGGGACAGAGATCGAGAACGGGAACGGGAGCGGGGAAATGGCAGCAGCAGCAGCTCCAGCAAAAAGAAACTGGGAACAGAGATTGGCAAAGTGGCCGCAGACAAGTCACGTGGCCTTTTCAGTGCCGAGGACTGGCAATGCAGCAAATGCGCGAATGTTAACTGGGCTCGCCGCCAGACTTGCAACATGTGTAATGCTCCCAAGTTTACCGATGTAGAGGAGCGTACAGGTAAGTAGAAGAGCACACCCAATATGCAATGATTCAATATTGACTCTGGAAATGCATTTGCAGGCTTTGGCGGCGGCTATAATGATCGCGGCGTCGTGGAGTACAAGGAACGCCAGGACTCGGACAGCGAATACGATGAGTTTGGACGCCGCAAGAAGCGTAAAAATAATGACAGAGGTGGCGGCGGCAGTAGCGATCGCAGTGATGAGGATGGACGGAACAACGAGGATGTAAAACGCGCTAGACGCAGTGTCAATGACGGCGACGAGGAGGAAGACGATGACGAGGACGACGATGGTGATTTGTCCAAATACGATTTGTGGGGCGACAATGAAGTGACCTCGAGCAATGTTAAAAGCAAGGAACAGGACAATGGCACTAGCAACAACAGCAGCAGCAGTAGCAGGGAGAAGCAGCCACCAGCTGCGACAGCTAGCAGTAAAAGAGCCACACGCGACTCCACATCATCCAACTCGTCGTCGTCCTCATCGAGCTCGAGCAGCTCTAGCGACTCATCCACAACCTCAGTAACAAGCAGTTCCAGCAGCAGCAACGGTTCCAGCAGCAGCAACAGTAAGCGCGACAAGAAGCGATCCGAAACTCGTCGCTAGACGTTTTCTAAGCCCAATCTCCGTTGGAGAATTCATGCTACTGTCTTGTTTTTATTTTCTCTTTTTTTCCTTGTTGGGAAAGAAAAAAACTGATGTTTATTTATTTTTCTAAGTCTGCGCCATTTCCCATGACATGTATTGAAACACCACACCCCATAATAATCAATAAATTCATATTATTTAAGAAAGTCACCCAACGATTTTATTGCAATGCAGCCTTTAAGGGATCAATGGAAAGTTTCATCCGATTGTTTGCGTGTTGCGGCTGCCTCCGCTTCACGCAGCTGCTTCAGTTGTGCCAGCTCCTGCCGCGCATTCTCGATTTGCTGCTCCGTCACAGTCACGGGCACATCGCAATCGATCTGCTCCTGTCGCACGAATACCATCTTCTTGATGGCATCCTCCAGATACGGTATTTGCTGAGCCTGCAGCTCTTTGTGATACGCTTCTAGGCGCTCCTCCTTGATCTTCTCGCAGTAGATGTCGGTTAGCTTCTGCAGCGACTCCTTGCGCGTTATCCAATGGAAATGCGCTGGCGGTGGTTTATAGACCAAATCCAGTTTCTCCAATATCCACTCGAAGCGCGGATAATCCCAGCGTCTCAGGTATTTCAGAAACTTTTTGCGCTTATCGATCAGCTCCTTTAGTCGCACTTTGATCATTTTGTCGCGTGGATGCGCCTCCATATGCTCCTGATAGCGTCGTATAGATGCTGTCATCTTGGCCACTGTCATCGGAAAAAGTAAAGATATTTAGTTATTGTATGTAGTGTAACAAGAATCATGAAAGAAAATACAATTGGGGAACAGACAATCATGAATACGCTTTTGGGATTCAGAGTTCATCTGCCTATTGCATATTGGGACATGTACGTACATTTCGCCTCCATGGAGCCATAGTCCTGGGCATGACGCTGCACCTCCTTGATCATTTGATCGCGGTAATAGCGTGTGGTCAAATGATTCGGATTGTTGCTCAACTTGAACAGCGATAGCACTGTTTCATCGGCACTAGAAAAATACGTAAATGGAATTAACGACAATCCTGAGCAGCAATAGCAACCAACTCACCTCTCCAGCTCTTTGGAATCCTTGTAACCCGGCAGAAGCTCATTGGCACTCAGGGCTGGCAACTTGGCGAGATCGCCGCTCTTCTCCGGCCTGATGCATGAAATCTTCTCCGGTCTCACCCATTTGATTTTCAGATCTGACTTGAAGGCATAGTCACGCACAAATTGGCGTGGCACACCGTTTGCTATATTTAATAGTTTATTCATAAATTACAACTTTAATCCGCATCCAAATGCAATCTGCTTCGCTAGGTTATATCACTTGGCCAGTGTGCACACACCAAACGAAATGAAAACAGCAGCTGACAATGAACAGTGTGTACCTATTGTACCAAAGCACATCAATACGTTTGCCAGCTGCAATTATCAGTTGTTGCTGTATCTTGTGAGTGTTTTGTGTTTTGTGGCCACAGATATTAAAACAATTCTGAAATAAATGATATTTACGAATTAATTTCGATTAAGAGCATCTCACAATGGCGCACATGTCCCACATGCTGCCCCAGACATCGACGCCCTCGAGCGCTCCCTCGGGTACCTCGTCGCGCACGATGTCGCTCATGGAAAAACAGAAGTATATCGAGGATTATGACTTTCCCTACTGCGACGAGAGCAGTAAATATGAGAAAGTCGCCAAAATTGGTCAGGGCACCTTTGGGTAAGTCATACAAGTTGTGTTTGACATACTTGCAGTTAAGCAATTCCCTTTTTATTCGTAGAGAGGTGTTCAAGGCACGCGAAAAGAAGAGCAACAAAAAGTTTGTTGCCATGAAGAAGGTGCTCATGGATAATGAAAAGGAGGGCGTAAGTAACTGATTCTTCCATCGCCATCGTTGCAATGTTGACCAAAATCGTTTCACAGTTTCCCATTACGGCTCTGCGCGAGATTCGCATCTTGCAGCTGCTGAAGCACGAGAATGTTGTCAACCTGATTGAGATTTGCCGTACCAAGGCGACCGTCCACAATGGCTACAGATCAACCTTCTATTTGGTGTTCGACTTTTGTGAGCATGACCTGGCCGGTTTGTTGTCCAATATGAATGTGAAATTCAGCTTGGGTGAGATCAAAAAGGTTATGCAGCAACTGCTAAATGGCCTCTACTACATACACAGCAACAAGGTGGGCATTCCAACTAAGAAACGCGTGGCAATTTGAGCTTATTTGTTGTATGATTTTTGCTTGAAGATTCTGCATCGTGACATGAAAGCGGCTAATGTGCTCATCACAAAACATGGCATCTTAAAGTTGGCCGACTTTGGCTTGGCCCGTGCATTTAGCATTCCAAAGAATGATTGCAAGAATCGTTATACAAATCGTGTGGTTACCTTATGGTATCGTCCACCCGAACTGCTGCTGGGTGATCGCAACTACGGCCCACCGGTGGATATGTGGGGCGCTGGCTGCATCATGGCTGAAATGTGGACACGTTCGCCCATTATGCAGGGCAATACGGAGCAACAGCAGTTGACGTTCATCTCACAGCTGTGCGGCTCATTTACGCCAGACGTTTGGCCGGGCGTCGAGGAACTCGAACTGTACAAATCCATTGAGTTGCCAAAGAATCAGAAGCGTCGCGTCAAGGAGCGTCTACGTCCGTATGTTAAGGATCCAACTGGCTGTGATTTGCTAGACAAACTGCTGACACTGGATCCGAAGAAACGCATTGATGCAGACACAGCCCTGAATCACGATTTCTTTTGGACTGATCCCATGCCCAGCGACCTGAGTAAAATGTTGTCGCAGCATCTGCAGAGCATGTTCGAATATTTGGCACAACCGCGTCGCAGCAATCAGATGCGCAATTACCATCAGCAGTTGACAACGATGAATCAGAAGCCGCAAGATAATAGTATGATTGACAGAGTCTGGTAGAATTTAATACCTAAATATAAGCTTTTAGTTAGTCATAAAAAGATACAAATGTAAAAAGGTGTATTTGCATCGATTTAAATAGCATTTGAATTTAAAGACAAATATTTGTAAACATTTTACCCTAGTTCTCTGTCCGTGCAGAACGCAGTAAAAGTAATAATTTCCACATAAAAGAGAAAAACAAAAATAGTTTCCTTTGTTTTGCTAAAGAGTAAGATAAACTGCGTACTTAGCTACACATGAATGATGGTGTGTACACACTGTTCAGGCATTGGCATTTTTTAGGCACTATTTGTGAAATGCACGTCGAGCAAAAGGTAAACAAAGCCAAGAAAGCGGAGAAAAAACAAAGACGTTGCTTGGCGATTATAAAAGCCGATTGCAATGTCGCTCCAAGTGATGCGCCCACTCTCAACCTGGCCATACTCAACGTTGGCCTCAGCAATGGACTCACCGAAGAAGCGCTGCTCACCTCAGCTGCCGCAACAGGCGGTCAAGTGTCGCAGGTGCTGATGCTGCCGTCGAAATCCTATTGCTTTATAAGCTGTGCCACCTTGACGGATGCACAGCGTGTGTTCGAGGGCATGCACAATGTGGCGACCATTGGTCAGTTGGGCGCTGTCGCCTATCTTAGCTATGTTTTGCAATTGCCACGGGAGATTGAGGAGAACGGCTGGCAAAAGCCATTACCAAATGGACTCTTGTTGCTGTGTAACTTTATCACTGAGGCGGAGGAGGCACTGTTGCTGCAGGCAATTGCTATTGATGACGCTGGCGCTGCCTGCACGGAGGACACATTGAAGCACAGGCACGTTAAGCATTTTGGCTATGAGTTTCTTTACGGCAGCAATAATGTTGATGCCGCACAACCATTGGAGCAGCCCATACCTGCGGCATGTGATTTTTTGTGGCAGCGCTTAGACAGTACTAAAATCTCAGGCACATTTTTGCCTGATCAATTGACCGTTAATGAGTATGAGCCTGGTCAGGGCATACCACCGCATGTGGACACGCATAGTGCATTTGTGGACCCCATTCTCTCGCTGTCTCTGCAAGCTGATGTTGTCATGGACTTTCGTCGTGGCATTGAGCTGGTGCACGTGCTGCTGCCACGACGCTCCCTCCTGATCATGTCCGGCGAGTCGCGGTACGATTGGACACACGGCATCAAGCCCAAGCACATCGATGTGCTGCCCACGCCAGCTGGCAGCCTGACCACACAGGCACGAAACAAAAGAACATCGCTCACCTTTCGGCGACTGCGTCGTGGTGCCTGTGATTGTCAATATCCCATGCTCTGTGATACACGACAGACGACTACTCCACACGCAGTGACGGATAAGCTGGCTACTCATGCCAGCCATCTGGAACAGCAGAATGTCCATGAAGTTTATGATAAAATCGCTGATCATTTTAGCGATACGCGTCATACGCCCTGGCCGCAAGTTGCCGAGTTTCTGCATAGCTTTGAGGCGTATTCGGTGCTGCTAGATGTGGGCTGTGGCAATGGCAAGTATCTTGGCTGTAATCCACAATTGCTAAGCATCGGCTGCGATCGGTCCCAAGGTCTGCTGGGCGTTAGCAACGGGCGTGGGCAAAGCGTCTTTCGTTGCGATTGTCTGCAGCTGCCGGTGCGCAGCGCCAGCATTGACGGCTGCATCAGCATTGCGGTCATTCATCATCTGGCCAGCAGCGATCGGCGGCTGGCAGCGTTACTGGAAATGGCGCGTGTGCTGCGTCCTGGCGGTCGGGGACTCGTCTACGTTTGGGCCAAGGATCAGCGAAAGAATGACAAAAAGTCGTCATATTTGCGACAGAATAAAGCCGTCAACAAGCAGCACACCACGGAGCAGGCACAGCGCCAAAAGTTGGCGCAACAATTGGAAAACATGGAGATGGATCAGCAGCAACAGCTGCAGATGCAAGTGCCACTGCCTGTGCACACAAACCGCACCGAGTTCCAGCAACAGGATGTCTATGTGCCGTGGAAAACCAAAGATAAACAGCGCACAACCTTTCTGCGTTACTATCACGTCTTTGAGGAACAGGAACTGGAGCGTTTGGTGTCACAAGTGGAGGGTGTGGTACTCAGGCGAAGCTACTACGATCAGGGCAATCATTGCGTCATCTTTGAAAAGAGCAGCAATTGATAAATGAGCTTTAAAAAAGTAATTGAAAGTTACAATTTACGGATAAGTTTTCAATAAAAACCTGATGCAATCATTTGTATAAAATCTGTTTTAAACATTTTGTAACAGTAAAAAAAAGGAAAGAGAAACAAATCTTGTATTTTAATTATGTATTTCGTTTATTGATTTCAAAAAATACACATCCACATATTTTTATTTAATAGCGAATTGAACTTTGACAAAGTATAACTTAATTAAGCTTACTTTCGTCCCATTTAAATGGTTTTTGTTTTTTATTGTAGCTTTGGACCATAAATTGACAATTCCTTAATAATAACATTTTGTGTTCCATTCGATTACCCAGTGGAGATGTTAATTCACTAAGCAATCAATTCAGGCTTACAGATTGATTTTTTTTTCAAATTATTTATACTTTTTTAATATTTATAGTTTTTGGTAAAGAATCTGTATTCAAAGTGGGATTTAGAGCTTTCATAGGTACATGTGCGGGTGTATTTACATAAGATTTAATTCAACCGAGTTTGTAGATCATGAAAAGTACACGTATATAGTATTTGTATATAGTAGAGACGAAATATTTAAGTTAGTATTACTCTGAGAATTTGGGTAACATAACTAAAGTTTCAAGAGCTACCTAAAGAAGAGAGAGCAAATGATTTCTGCGCTGCCATCAGTTTCATAATTGATAAAACTATCATATGTATATATGTATATGTAGTATAGTATATATGTGTAGGTACATCAAGTGAAACTGTTTGAAAATGCATGATTATACAATACAAGGATACATCATGAGTTGGTACATACATTTACATTTATACGTATATTAATGTCTATATAGAAGTAAATATTTTAAAATTACATATATATACATATACATATATATATGTGTATATATATATATACTACATAAACGTACAAGTACAAGTAGTTTTAAAAACACTTAGAACTCATCCTGGGCACTTTCTTACTTGACAATAATTACAATCAATATCATTGTAGGACTTTAATTTATAGACTAGTTTACAGTTTTAATCGTTTCGTTTTTGGTCGTGGGTAATTGATATGTTAGCTAATAGTATGTATATGTATAGTTAGTATAAGTAACAAATTTGACTAGATGTTCAATGTTCGGTGCCTACAAGCAACTACAGTATTTTGAAGTTGTTTTCCTTCTGGACTACCTGCAATGAGTGCAGTGAATAGACTACTAGTGAAAATATGTATATAGTTATAGAGGTGTATATACCATATAAAGATGTGTGTGTATGTGTTGGAGTGCCCAAGGTTTGGCTATAAGTATAACTATTAATATATTGTCTATATAGATATAGATTGGTATAGGGGAACAATATAACTTCTTCAACAGGATATTAGTCTGCCTATGACTAGGGTTAAACCAGAAATTCATCATAATATTAAAGCCTGATAGTTTACTTGTTGTCGTTAAAGCTGATTTATCAGTTGTAAATATATATGTATATCTACTTAGAACGCCTTATAAACATGATCTATATAGGTTTTGTGTTCTTATATGTGTATACTTCAGTCGTTGTTGAATATACAAAGCTTTCTTTGCATGCTGATGACCTTCTTCTTCTTCGTCTTCATCTTTTTTGTTGTTTTGTTTTTGGTTCAATAACTAAGCCTATTCCTATTCTTATGCCTATTTCTACTTCTAGCTCTAGTTCTACTGCCTGGAGAGTCGAGTCCTCATCCTCTCCAGCTCTACCGAAACACTTATTTGAGCAGCTGGCATACTTCTAACCACCTTTCCGTATGAGTCAGGGATGGTTGCGTTGAGAGTGTTTGTGATGATTATGGCTGTTTGTGGGTGTGTGCGTGTGTGTGTGGGTCTGGTGCTGGATCTGTGATTGGGTCTGGGTGTCCAGTTTGCCTTGAGTGAGCGCGCTTAGATAAATGTTTCGGCTGCCATTTGTTACAAGCATTCAGCAAATGGTGGCTTTTCAATCGGCGGCGATGGACCTGACACTGACACCATTGGCACGGCACTGATCTTCGGCTTGATGATCTTGAGACCGAGGCCCAGATTCTTGGGACTGCTGTGCGGCGACGATGAAGCCGTCGATGAGCGTTGATGCACCAGCACGCGTGGCTTAGCCTCAATGGCCATGCTGGGCGTGGAGGTGAGCGAAACGGAGGCTGTGGCCGTCGCACTGCCCAATAATGGCACATTCACCATTTCCTCGACCGTCTCCGCCGAGTCCTGTGAGTCGTGTACTATGGCCGAAACATCGCTGTGGATCAGCGCCGATGTGGAGTGCGCATCATCGTCCTGGATATATGGTGGTGGTGCTTCTAATGAAATGCTGCCCACAATGACATTGGCCGTGGTAATAGCAGAGGAGCGCGCCAGCAAACTGGTCACAGCTGTTGGCGAATGCTTGGCGTCGTGGAGCACGGGCAGCGTGCGTAGCTCACCAGCGTTCATGCCACACTCCTTTAGCTCAATGTCCTGGGAGGAGTTTTGCTGCTGATGCTGTTCTTGGACGGAGTCATCATCGGTGCGCCAAGGCCGCAGGCTCTTCTGTATAATGAAGGATTATAGCATTTATAAAATTGGTAATGATATACAAACTGAAATGGTTTATTTGGCTCGCCAAAAATTGCAGAACCTTACAAGGCGAATTCGAAATGCTTCTAATTTAAATGTCAATAATTGTCTCTGTGATAATTATATGATGTTTATTTTTTTTTTAGCTAGCAAATTTATTTATCTGTGGCTACATCATTTATAGGACCGATCAGACCAAAGATTCAGTAAGACAACTTTCAAAATTGTAGCGTCGTTTGAGTCAATTACGATCCTTATTTATGTAATTCCTGATCAGAAATTGAGATGGCCTTCTCCCTGTGCTTATGGGCACTTTAATACCTTCTGCAAGGGTATAAAAAGGGTCAACCGGACCCTGGCTTACCCTGCGTCCATTCTCGGTAATATTCTCGGCACTCTTGGCCTTGCGGCAAAGGACACTCTGTGAGCCGTGACGGCGCAGGAACTCAATGGAATCGAATCCGCGACCCTCGGATGATACGAATATGGCCGAGTTGATGCGACTGCGCGTGCAACGCTCCGATATCGATGTGGAATGCTCCTCGGCGAGCATGTGGATGTGCTGCAATACAGAGATAATTAGCAAAGCATTCACTTATGAGGCCAACTCTTGGGACATGTGGTTGTTTCTCTTACGCGGCTATTGCAGTGCAACGGTGGGTGAGCAAAGGTGCTGCCACAATCACTGCTGTCGAACTGTATTCTCAATGCAATTTGCAATGTTTAAATAGAGGAAGAGAGCGAGAGAGAAAGAAGGAAGAGAAAAACAGATAAAGAGAGGGCCAAGAAAAAGGTGGAAGAAATGTAAGACGTTACACACACGTTACAGACTCAAACACACACACACTTACACACTCAAACATAATTTGTACAGGAATTGGAACTCTAATAATCCCTCAACGATGGACTACGGCACTATTTGAAGTAAAACTCCTCTTGAGGCGATTAACGACAGTAACAATAACAACAACAGTAAGCGAAAAGCGTAAAGCAACCTGCCCAAAACACTACAAAAGCGGTAAGAAAACTGTTTGTGATAATATTGGTGTTGTGGTTTTATTTGCGGCTGTGTTTTTGCTGTGCTTTGGTGAAGCGCAAGTCAAGAATTGATTCTCTAACTTGAACGGATGTGTTTTATTTGTGTGGAAGGTGCGTATATATTTAAAGGGTGCTCTAAAGTGTTGCTCAATGCTGCAAATGGCTGGCGATCAAAACGGTAAACGGTTAACGACAAGCGATTAACGATTAACGTGCCCAACGTACAACACCAGGTGCATGGCGATTGTGCAGTTATCGGTATCGATAAGCGAGCGAATCGAACGAATCGGAACAAATGAACGAACGAACGAACGATCGAACGAATAAACGATTCGTTATTTTGTTGGTTCGGTTCGTTTAGCACTTACGCTGGCTGGTTCACTGTAGTTGCTGGGATTGAGCATGGACGATTCGGTGCGTATGGTATCGCTGGCGACCATGCTGTGGTACTTCTGCAGCTGCAGTGGCGAGGATCCGCGACTCTCGCGCGATCCATCTCGACTGCGATCGGCGCACGAATACTGCCGCCGGTAATGTCGTCGTCGTCGCCCAACATTGCCAGCAGCGAATTGGGATGTGGAGCCGACGCCGTCAATGTTGATGCCGACACCGGTAGTGCCGGCTGCAGGTGCCCCATAATCAGCGTATGCCAGCGCTCTAGGCGGTATCGGAGGCTGGCGAAAGTAACTGGGATCATAGCTGAATTGTCGCCGTCGCCACTGATCGTATTGCCGATAATGGCTGAAGAGGCGCCGCCGGCGCAATATCAATTGCTTTTTGGCCTCGAGCACCTCGTTCTCCTCGACAAAGGTGCGCTCCTGTGAGTTCTTCAAAATGCTGCGCTGTTGAGCAAATCGACGCTGTTTCGCCTGACTGTTGACCGACAGGGGCAACATGCGCTGGGGTGGTGCTGGAAGTGCTGCTAGCACCATTGCTGGCTCCCTCTGCAGCAGCTGTTCGTCCTCTGCTTGCTGGCAAGCGTTCGCCCTGTCTTCCACGTCATCTCTATCGAGAACGGCACTATCTATGCTATCCACATGCTCCAGCACATTGGCGTTCACAATGGACTGATTGTCGACGCTGGGTCCGCGCATATAGGTGTTGGTTGGCGTGTCATGGCTATGATTATGGCTATGACTATGGCTAACTGCCGCTGTGGGCGTTGTAGGCGTTTCACGATGCACTGGTTGCTAGCTCTCCACATCCGCTTTGTGCAGCAGAGCAAACTGACAGCCACAGTCGCGCTCCAGTTCCCTGCGCGGATACTGAAAGCAACGATCGAAGATTCCGCAACCCTCGCAGCGCGGCAAGCACTGAGTGCAGCCAAAAACAGAGAGAGAGAGAGATAAAGAGAGAAAAAGAGAGAGAGAGAGGGAAAGAGAGAGAGAGAGCAGCAGCGGCAGCAGGCGAGCACAAGAGAGCAGGCGACAGCGAGCCATAAGTGGAAGGGTGTGGAATTAAGGAACATTTGTCAGTGATGTCATTGAAAAGATCTAACCTCAACAAAGCTCAACAAAAAGCTGAAAACCAAAACCGCTAAACTAATTACGAAATATTGTATGTTTTAAACACTATGTATAGGAAATGCAAATGGGATTGACTTGACTTGGATACGGTTTGGTTATGCACAAACATTTTCCATGCTCGGAACCTTTAAACATATACACAAGGGTCTGTGGAACAGGTTCAAGGGTCAACCGCCTGAGTGCAGTTCTAAATGTGACTATGTATATATGTATATTTTGATTGGAGGAAGTTGAAGCACGTATCTAAGATGAAGAAGAAGAAGAAGGTAAAAACCATCTTCGGTGCACACCGAAGCCACAGCACTCTTTAAAAATTATACTTTGTTTTGAAAGAGCGCAAGCATATTCTACAAAATAAGATCGAACGTAACGGAACTAGAAAAAGCTTTATCTATTGGCAAATAATAAGGTAAGAAGTAGAAAAGCAGTGAAACCTAATTTACATATAAAGAACGCTTTCTAAAAAAACCATTTACATCATTTAAGACATTTTTGAGAAAATTTACACTATTCCCAATTGAAATATTTCATGCGCCCACAAAAGTATGCTATAGATGTGGACAAGATATCAAATTATAATTTGATTAGTAGTTGTGAATCAGACAAAGACAAAGTATTTCTTAATTTGCTACCGAATGGGCCGGATATAGATAATATCTCTGTATATATATATAGAAGTCGATCTGTTTAGTAGTCAAACATTCAAGATTATAAAATATAAAGTGGCGAATAAGCAGTCAAAGTACTTATTTCTCAGAGAGCAAAATTTGTATATAGACAAAGGGGGCGTTTCGATAGAAAGGGGCGGGGCTGTGTGCACTAGTTAAAGAAAATCGTGCGCTTTTGTAGATAATTTCATGAAAATTTAAATTGTTATTAATTGTCTTGATGCAAAAGCTAATGAAATGCAAAAAATATGTTTCGTATGCAGTAAGTAATTGAGAAATTAAATATTTTGAATACCTTGACAAAGAAATCGGGGTGTAGGTTCTATAAATAAAGCATAACAGAAATGAAACATAGTTAAAGTTCAGTTCGCGCTCATTAACACAAATACTTAAACCCCAGCCCAATGTGTTTCCCCTGCTTAACCCACATTCCACAATAAACGTCGCGTCATTTCTTTTACAATATATTCCCCCACGCACATATATATATATATATAAATATACATACATATATATATATATATATAGATATTCCAGTATAATCCATACCTGATGCGAATGTTGGCCATTACAGCCACTGGCTGTGCACACTCCTGTTCCCGGCACCTTAAGCTGCTCGTGCTTATAATCCGGCTGATAGGGCAGCAGCATTCGAATCTTGCCCCACCGATTGAAGAATAGCGCTATGGCCCCCGCCCACACCATCAGCACAATGAGCACAATGCCAATCTCTACGCCGCGTATCTGTTGGACAAATGGAATTTTAATTGATGACCAACTTGTAATTAAAAGTCATTGCTTATAAAATGTATATTGATTTTGTTCAAGTGGATATCTTTTGTTGAATATCTCAGAGTTTAAAAGGTTATCGCATAATATATATATATATACATATATCCCTGTTAGACAACTTCTTCTAGAAAACTTTAACTCGGATTCGTACAATACAAAATCTATACTCTTCCATCTCTTAACAAATGTATGATAAGCCTTATGGATTTTGAAATCTGCACTTACCGTTGGCAGTTCTCGGGTGGTGCTGTGGGTGAGTGTATTGGTCGCCGTGGAGGTGACATCGTCACCAAACGAGCTGCCATTGCCAGCGGAGCCATTGCGCCCATTGCCATAGATGCCCGGCGGAAAATCCTGCTGTGATGTGTTCTTTGGCAGATCTACAAAAGATGTTTCAGCTCAACTGGAAACTGAAAACGGATTTTAGCTTGGGGCATAGAACTTACCCATTGTACGAAACTTGATCTGGCCCTGACTGCGATATTTCTTACCCATCCAGATGGCGGTGACGGCTAGAGAATACTGTGTGCTGGGTAACAGACGGTCCAGGACAATGGCCTCGCTGCTACCGGCAACGTCCTGTACAACCCTGTAACTTAAATTAATTCAATTACCACTCTCGAACGGCAACTAAGTGTGACAAGATGTGTGAGTGACGGTATGTGAGTGTGTGTATGTGTGTGTATGTGTATGTGTGTGTGTGTGTGTGTGTGTGTATGTAAGAGTGTATATGTAGCTAATTGCACACACTACAATAAATACTTAGTTGCGAGCAGACGGTGAAATATGAGGTCGGGTCCGTGGGCCGTAATTACAGCATGGGTCCAATATTTCACTTTGTCACTTAGCCAAACATGTCCTAGATTTTCCCGCAATTGAGCTCCTATTACGCCTGCTTATATATGTATATATATATATATATGTACATATATGTATGTAGTGTAGTGATATATGAGTGTGTGTGTGGTAACAAGTGCGTGGCCAGGCCGGAGAGTTGCCTGGACTGTTGGCCTCTTTGTGCAATGTCTCCTGGTACGCGGCCGCTTTACAATAGCCCGGCAAATGATTCATTATTCATACAGAACATACAGTTGCACACTCACACACACAGACACAGGTGTAAACGTACACACAATGTCGCAATGGGCCCCAGTGGAATCGACCAACAGCCAATAGGGCCCAAAAACAAACGCTATTCGCCTTTTGTCTTGTCTGCAGCCATAACAAAAATACAAAAAAAAAAATATAATAAAAACGAAAAAAACTAACGCCAAGTTTGCACACATATCAAAACACACAACGACTCTAAAATACCCTGCGAAATATTCTCTAAAGTCAAAACAATTGTAGAAACTGTATTTTAGCTTAATTCTCAGCTTTTTAATCATTGACGCTAATACCTCAAATATATTCCTTAAGCTGAAAACCAAATTGAGAACTGTGCGATTTCATGGTAATATCAAATGCAATATTTGTAGTTTAAAGCTTAGTTACTTTCTAATTGGAAAAGCGAATTATTCGGTTCTGGTTAAAACTTAGATTGATGATCCTTTTTCCATCCATCCATTTGTTTTTACTTCAAAGAAGATGATACGAAAGCGCAGTTTTTATTAGGAATATGCTTGAATATCATGTCTTTTACAGAATATTAAAGAATGTTGATCAAAGGAAAAATGGTCGAGTCGACATATGATTTCTTCACAAAGTCCTGAAAGCAAGATGCAGAAACTGAACTTACACTTGAATATGATTAGGTTTTCTTTATATATTCACCAAATTTCAAGATGTTATCTTGGATTACCATAAATGCCATTCACTTGCCAAGCTGTTTCTCAAAGTTTGTCCCCGTGATCTCAATCCGTTGTATTCCCAGCATAATCATCAAATTAGGTAAAGATACATTTTGAATGCACACTCCATATGCCCCACGTAGTACTTAAGTCCCATAAAATATACTTTGTTTTTATTTTGGCCACTTTATGTAAACTTTGCAGGCAACCAAACGGCAGGCAACAACATATGTGACAACGTCTAAAGTTTGGCTTCTAAAAGTTAACGGCCAAATGTGGCTTGAGGGGGCCCAAATCAAATGCCATGCAACTGAGTAAATTGAAACTAGGTTTGGTCTGAGTAGGAGCACCCGCTGAGCCTCATGGCGGAGCTTTCGGCAACCGTTAACCGCAATTTGCACGCACGCCAACCCTTCTGCGGCCACTGGGTGGTTGGTGAATTGATTGGGTGGCTTATTGGTATTCGAAATGCACTGGGGAATTAGTCTCTCATATATGTATATGTACTGTGTGTGCTCAATGCAGACAGCTGCTCTTTAAAATGAAAAATGTGTAATGCTCCGGCATTGTCTAATTTCACGTTTAATTTTTTCATCCTCTTTTCTCTGCACCCTTTTTTTTGGCACCCCTTTATGGCAAAGTTCCAGGACAACGGATTTTCACTGCTATTAAATAAACAATCAGTTCACAAAGCGCGCGGCTTTCGAAAAAACCATGTCCATTACCCAAACTCTAAATTGAAAATTCAAGCCACATATATATATACATATATACACATATATATGTGTAACACACCTGTGAGTAAATGTGCGCAGCTAGTGGAATTCACTCAACTTGGCATTTTTAATAACTTATGATGGACATTGGGTTTGGGTTTTGTTTTGAATTTTTTTTCTGGCCATAAGCCGAACAATTCTCATATTTTCGAAATTGCGACACACGCATGAGTGGAATACAAAGTTTTAGTTGTGTTTTGATGTCATGTACATACACACACGTGCACACACACACTCGACTATAAAATTGATGCAGTTTATGTGCAGCTTTTAGCCAAGCCAGAAACTTTGTTCTAAATCAGGTATCAGCTTTATTGGCCTGTGGCTCGCTCAGGCAAATGATTTCTAATCTGAAATCTACCGCATACAAATACATCCGTTGATAAACATTTCTTTATGTTGTAGATTAGATTAGAAATATACCAAAATATTAATAATAGTATAAAATATTATCTACTTTTCTGTTCTTTCGCTATAAAGCTCAAATTTTATTATTTTACTCAAACAACAATGTCAGAAATGGCTTTTAACAAATATTTACCATCATACAGCATTTTTGAGTCATATTTCAAGCTTACAAGTAAAATAGTAATAGATTTTTGACAACTCAAATTGACAACTCTTAATTGTAAATGTAGAAGCCAAAACGTTTGAGAATGTAGTTACTCTCATAGTTTGCATATCTAATGAAAGTTTCATGTTTCCAATCAGCAGTATCTGGAATGCTGTCTTAAATTTTTTATGAACAAATATCGAGTAAAACTCAAACCCTCTGCAAACTTCAGCTGCCGTCGAATGCCAAGCCGTATACCACGTAGTTGACCAACTTTTCATGGCAACTTTTGTATTTAACGTGCAGTAAAAAAGTGAAATTATGTATACGTCATGTGCTGCAGTTGCTTAAATTTCCATGAACATAAAGAGGAAATTAAGTGATTGCCATGAAACTACATGCAAGATAATATCAAGCCAATTAGACTATGGACAGGAATAAAGTGGAAAGGAAGTGGAGGACGCTATGGAAATAAGAAAATTGTGTAGCACATTTAATTGGGCCTTGACTTTTGGCCTTTTCTGTATTTTACATAATTTGGAACTGTCAGTAGCATATCCTCGATATTTGTGAATAAATGTGGAAAAGCTAAATCCTCGGTATTGTGGCTGCACTTTCAACACATTATAATCTGAAAATACTACAAATACATTAACATATATTGATTGGAGTATGCCCGAGCACTTCATATAGTGTCCGGACAGTTGAATGGACAGTAATTGTTATTAATTATTATTGTTATTGGTGGTTCTTGACAAATTGAAGTACGTATCCAGCGCCAGGCCATCAGACATTGTACAAATAAATGAGCTTTCTAAACCCACTACAAATGTATGCAGCTCCAGATAGGTAATGTTCCGTCTGTCCGGACTCCGACGCAAGGGCATACATTTATATAGATATAGATATTTCCATTTGTGTGTCTGACTGCTGGCTAGTCCCATCGGTGGTGAGCTGTGAGTACGTTATAAGCCCATTTAGTGAGTCGAGTCATCGTCGACTTGTCTATGTGCTAATCATACATTATTCATCAACACAATTTTACTCGGAAAACTGCTGGAAGATACTCGCACACACACACACACACACAAACAGGCACACAAACAGACACGTCCCCCTTCCTAAAACTAACCCCTACTCCGCAACGAGTGCGAGTACTAAAAATCGATAGTAAAGAAAAACACAAATGTTAAAAAGCCAACTGACTTATAAATAATGTCGGCCCATTTGCAATGAAACCAATGGAAAGAAACAAACAAAAAAAAAAATAGAAAATAGAAAATAAAAAAAAACAACGAAATAAACGTAATAAAATTTTAATATAGGCGTGAACTTTATGAAACAATATGAACAACAATAGAACACTAAAAGACAAGCACGAGCCTGCAGTCGAACACACTCGCACACACGCAACAGCAGCCATTAAATTGAAAACACCTTGACCAACAAAAACAACAGAGACGGCAACAACAACACACACAATGGAGGCAGGACTCGGCAGCAGCCACGCTACTGCAGCAGTGGTCAAAAAGTCACAAAAGCCGAGCACTTAACTTATTACAGCACGGCATTCCAATGTCCTTCCAACATTGAGATCTCCTGCCACGTCTCTCCGCAGCGAAAATGGAAAAAGCGGAAGTCCTTACTTTGCAGTCGTTAGCAAAGTCCTTCCTGGTCGCAGTTCGACTCCTAGTCGAAATATGCAACGCCACTTTACCATTTTTGTTTCCTTTAGCCCAAAGAAATCGCAGTTAAATCAAGAGAGGGTGCAAACGAGAAGGGAGAAGGAAGAAAAAGAGACGGAGTGGGAGAGGAGAGCCACAGTTGGCGGTTAAAGGAAAAATATTACGATTACAAGCATGTTTTGTTCTTCCTCCCTCTCCTGTGCTTGCCTTCTACGTGTTTCCTGCTCTCTCCCCCTATTCCGCAGTCTCCACTTTGTTGCTTTCGACGTTCCTGTAGTGCAATACACTGTCAGAAAGCTATGTGTGTTATTCTTTCAAATACATTTTGTATGCATGTATTTCAAATCTATCAAGTTTAAGTTTGTTGTTAATAATAATTAAAACAGTAATGAAATAATAATGAATTGAAGATGAATGAATGTTAAAACTCTCTACGCGTTCTCTAATATTCTCCCATTCTCTCTTGTTTTCTTCCTTATTGCCATTTAACTTATAATCTGTCTTAAGTTGGTGTGTTTTTTGAGTGTAAAACAACTTTGGCCACTTGAAGTACATGCGGCTATTGCTTTTCTTTTCAGACTTTTCCTTTAGACGCGGTCATTTTGGCTTTAACATTGTATTTGCTCTCCGCTTCTCCTGCTTCAGCGTTCGGCTGTTAACTTGCGTCGTTATTTAGCTCAGGGCCATTACACACACACACACACACACACAGTGTACACACACACACACACAGGCAGCATACACAAGACGCACACAGAAAAACCAACAGGAAACTTTGAGCCTGTCAATTGCATAAAATATTGTTAAGCCAGCGACGCCTTTTTGCATAATTGCAGCAACTTTTTGAACTGTATTAAGCTTAAGAACGTGGTTTCTGGCCTGGGGGTCGTGGGTTGTTTTTGATGTGAGTGTGTGTGTGTGTAAGTGTGTTTGGGTTGGTAAGAGGGGCAGTTAATTTGTAAGAATGCCAGAGGTACTTACCTGTCATCTGTGGGCTTATAGGTAACAATATATTTGTCAATGGGATGCGCCCTCAGATCGATCTGCGTTTGCCACGAAACACGCACCGCGGTGGGCGTTAGAAACGTAACGGTAATGTTTTCCGGTGTAGCTGGTAAGGGGCCTATAATTGGATATAGATATGTATGCAGATATTAAGGATAAGCTTGGCATGAGAACAAATGCAAAATACACATGAAAAAAGGCAGTGGTCTGGCGAGAGAAGCCTGATATTTCTTATGTCAGGATCCATTTTCATATAATTTAAAATAAGGATATAAAAAATATATTTTGACTTGCAATTAATATTAAGGTTCTTCTATGTTTCTGCCAAATATTTAATTTATTTAAAAATAATAAATACAAAAAGTGCTGAGCACTTTACTTTTCTTTGTTTATTTATTTTATTTTATATATTTAAATATATTCATTGCTGACTAAACGGCTGCTGTGAACCTCTCGCTGATGATAAATATTTTTGAGTACACAAGAAATAAAAAAACACCTTATCAAAAAAAATCACCAATTCTTTTTTTAAATTCATTTTCTGCGAGTGCATTGAGGGTACTTACCAGCTAGACAGGAATTCACAAACAGGACGGCAATGAATAAAAACATTGCGCTTCAATAGTTTCAGTTTCAGTTTCAGGTGCTTTTTTTGTGGTTGCTTTTGTTATTGTTATTGTTTTTGCTATTTCTGTTTCTGTTGATGATGGCGTTGATGATGGCGTTGATAATAAGGTGAACCCAAATCGGATTTCGTATGGTTTCCGTTTCGTTGGTCGTGTTCGTTGTGTGTTGAGTTTTCCTAGCTTTTTGTTTTACAGTCGGTTTTCATTTTGTTGTTGCCAGTGGCACACTTTTTTTTTATAGTTTTTTAAGAGTAACGCTAACTAAAAACATAAAAATCAGTCTTGCTTTTGTCGTTTCTGCTGCTGTTGCTTCTGCTCTGCTCGGCTTTATCCTATTGTCGTGGCCAATTAAGCATTGTAACTGTTTTTGCCCTCTTAGTTTCGTCTTTTGGTTAAGTTTCCACAAACTTTCAACTTTAGTTTGAACTTTAGCGTTTTTTTTTTCTTTCGTTTTCTGTTCTTGTTGTTGATATTTATGCGTTTTTATTTTTATAGCACATTTTTACGGGCTTGTTGTCTGTGTGTGTATGTTGTGAACTGTGTGTGTGTGCGCGTTGTCCTGAATCATCAGAGGGCATTGTTTAAGTGGGGCGAAATATGTGAGTTTTATTTGCTCTATCTTTATCTATATATATAAATTGTTTTTTCCTTACTGTTTCGTGCTACAATTGAGTAAAATTATTCACATTGCGTTTGCCTTTTGTTTTTGTTTATTTCTTTTGCTGCCGTTCAATGCCATTTGCTGTTGTTGTTGCCTTTATATAAAATCAATAAAAAAAAAACGACAAACGACAAACGCCAAACGCCAAACGCCAGTCGACAGTCGCAAGTTGACAGTCGTTGATTTTATGTGGGAAAGTTTTGTGAAAAGTGTTTTTCAGCTTTACAGTTCAGCAATTTCAACTTTTGGGTTTTCAAGCAGCTAATTTACGTGTTGTTGTTGTTTGTTTTCGACTGTTGCCTTGCGCCACCAGTTGAAATTAATTCAACGAGAAGGCGACGGCGCTGCGGGGGGCCAATATGCCACCTGTCGTCGCCGCCCTTCGCGTCCACAATTTGCTTGTTTGGTTTACTGCTGCTGTTGATTTTGTTGTTGTTGTTGTTGTTGCTCTTGCTGTTCCTTGTTTAATCTTATGCATTGCTCATTTTGTTACCAATTTTTGGCTTAATTGCCAAATCATTTAAGCAGCAGCAAGTTTCGCCTTTGTTTTGCGACCCTCTTTCTGTGTATGGTTTTTTGTGTGTGTTTTTTTTCGAATTTATTTTCTTTCTCAATTCTCTGTTTATTTTGCGTTCATTTCGCTTTTGCTCGTTGCTGTTAATTATTGTTGCCGCTCTTAATGTGTTATTGTTGCCGCTGTTGTTGCTAATTTTGCTGATGTTGGTGTCGTTTTTGTTGTTGGCCAAGCAGCTGCAATAAATCAAAGTTGTTGGATTATTAATGGGCTTTCCCGGCAGCGTTATGCCAAACGAATTAGACAAATTGTTTTTCATTTGCATACATTACAATTACCATAGTAAAGGATAACAATTACTCAACTTAAAGCTTGCCCTGCTACTTATACATATATGCTGCTATATACATACACCTATTCTTGTCCATGTATACCATATCTAGCAAACTGTATTTTCATGTTCATTACTCAAATTGAAAACAAACAGAACGCTGCATACTTTCAGGCTAACATTGCGCATACGCCACGCAGTTATACACACACACACACACACACACACGTACGCACACTGACACACAATACACACACTATTCTTGTGGGCTTTTACAATACATTATTTCTATTCTTATTGCATTTGATGTTGAGTTTCAAACGTTTGCGGTGGCACGCAATTGGGTTTCCAAGGCATTCGATCATGCGTGAATGTTTTTACGTGTGTATTAGTGTGTGAATGGTAGCCATTTGTGTTCATAGACCCTTGTAGTCTGGGCCTAACCACTGGAAAATTTTTGAATGGCTGTCTGTCTGTGGTTTACATTGTTAAATACACACATTTCATGTTTTCAATGACAGTTGCATATTTATTTATTACAGATGATTCTATTGTAAGAGATAAAATGAATGAGTTTCTATTATATGTTTGTCATTACATAAAATGAGAAGCATCTGTGCGACTGTTCTAGGACACAAGAAACAAACTAAAAAATGAACAAAAGTACACAAAATATAATAACAATAAGAAAATAGTTTTAAACTTTAGATATGTATATAAATATATATAGAAACATGGAGTACAACAGGTTATTGCAAATAGTTAATTCATAATTAGTTAAGGGCAAATTAGGTGAGCTGCTCAGCGAAGCTTAAATATAATTGGCCGTCAACGACATGAATAAGAATTTACTTAAGGTGCTTAATATGCAACTTGTCTTATTCAAGTTAGAAAATTTCTCACATTCATCATGCCTGTCCCCAATAAAAAGAAACATACAAATCCAATTCCCAGAGGAATAATTCATGAATGTGAAAAAGAATGAGAAAAGAGGCCACATTAAATATTGATATATTTAAGTTGGTTAAGTTGCTTAAGTAGCTTAAGTGCGGTGTACGACGTCTCTCTCTCTCTCCCTCTCTCTCTGTCTCCCTATTTTTCTCTCTGTCTCTCTCTTTGATTGAATCTCGTGGCATGAGCTGCATGTGTCGTCCAGGGATTTACGAGCGCACGTATGTAACGACTGCTACCTGACGGTATATTTGTGTGTCCGTCCGTCTATCTGCTTACTAGTGGGTGTGTGTGGGTGTATGCATGTGTGTGTGTGTGTGTGTGTGTGTGCTACGATGTGTGTATCGCTGTACGTGGCATCATTAAACTGTCACATGGCATTTACAGCCAGCGGAACATTGCGACCCAAAGGGCAAAGTTAATTGATGTAATTGTCAATGAGTTTACTTTCGTAAATTGTGAGCGAGCTTAACAAAATGATTTGGCATTTTTAAACGGAATTTAGGTGTATATAGTATAATGCAATTATAATAAATACAGGCACTGTATATACTGTATGCAAAAAAGGATTACCGTATAGGGATTCAATTAACTTAATACTTGACATCACGCTGCACGACCCAAAGGTCCCAGGATTTATGTGTGAATGCGACTATTAAAATTGAAGCACGCGCGAGGTCAAATTTCAACAGAATGTGCATTATAACTGAGCACAGACATTCTGCTCGCAATTTAAATGTAAATTTTCAAAGAAAATTTCATTTGACACCCCAAAAATACAAATAATAATGAAATTATATAGAAATGAGGAGCAGCTAAGCACGCTGCTGACGTGCTAGATAAGTATTTCCAACTGTTTAACGCTGGGTGACGCACTGCGAGAAAATTTGTGCTACTCGACGGATGTGTGTGTGTGTGTTTGTGTGTGTGTGTGGGCACATGCACTCCGCTGCCAATGGCTGGAAAACAAGTAGGTGAAAGCAGTTATCGTAAAATTAAAATGGCGGCTGGTAAGCGCTGTTGCTGACGTCGTCGCCGTTGCCGTCGCCGTCGTCAGCGTTGGCGTCGTCGTTTCTCCCGTTAATTATGGCGACAATACATGCATGCATACAAGCGCACGCTTCACACATACAAACACACAATAGCCCTTTCGCTTGCATGTCTAATGCTTCGACTCAATATGTTGATGTGCGTGTCTCCCTGTGTGTGTGTGTGTTAGTGTGTGTGTACTCGTATTTTGTTATTCTCGTTTTTTGTTTTTATTGCATACGTTTTGTTGCGACTGCGGCTTACCGAGGACTTTTGGCATTTTGTATTTCTGTTATTTTTTGCGTTATACAATTCGTGTTATTGTTTGATTGGTTGTGTGCGCTGGTGTTTGCGGTAGCCAGTGAACAGACAATAAATCAATCAGCTGTGCCAACATTAAATTGCGATCCCAGACAATTGGCGCTGTGTGCGTGTGCCCCACTCACTATGTGCGAGTGTGCCGTGTCTGTCCGTGTATTTGTGCTAGCTGGCGTGCTCTCAGCTGGCAGGTCAGTTTACCTCACAAGACGTGTCGCCCCAGCCTCATACTTAATTCAGCAACAACTTTATCGCAACTTTGTCGTACACTCTGCGTGCGGTTTGGCGAGAAAAGAGAGAAGCTTTCGGGTCATTTAAAACTCAATTAATTATATAAATAAATCAGCAATCGCACCTTAAGCTGCAATCTGAAACTGTGTGCTTCAGATACATTTTGTTGCATTTAATGCATATGTGTGCTAGCTGCAAATGGCTTGCTTATATCAGTTGAATTTCAGTGGCGCCATCAAGCAGAGAGTTGTGCACTTCTCTCGCGTTTTATTATTCAGTTTGTGCTGTTTTTTATTTTTGTATTTTCCTATACGGTCTGCAATTTTTGCTCTGTGTATTGCTGTTAAAATTGTGTAGAGAGCATAAAATGCTATTATTTGCTGGGGCTGCTCGTAAAAACAGAAGCGCACAGAAGCGCGCTTCAGCTATATATATACATATACCGTTATGCATATGTATTAGTATATGTGTTAGATCTTGTCAGTCTGTGTGTGTGTGTGTGTATGTGCCTTGGCCATGCACTTTAAGCTCAACTGCTGCTGCTGAAAATTTGTTAGCGCGCCCAACCCAAGACAATTCCCTAATGTCAACTGATGTTGTGTTTGTTGCTATTGTTGTTTTGCTGACTGTCACTGTTCCCGTTGTTCGCTGTGCGGCGTAAAGTGTTGCCACCCCCTCTGCTGAAGTTCCCCATTGAAATTTGAAAAGTGTGTCGCCTGCCGCAGTGTACGTATATGTTTTTTCGTGTTGTCATAGGTTTGCCACTGCATAGCGGGTATATATACATATATATATACATTTGTATGTATGGATTGATGTATGTATGCATGTTTCTATATGCTGTTTTGTATATAATGAAAACTGGCAGCTTGAACTGATTTCGCTGCGTGCAATACACTTGCCGCCGACTGCTTTGGGCCAAAAATAACATAAATCGTATAAATAAATTGCCACATCTCAGCATTTCCAACATGTGCAGCAAGCAGTAAAGCAACCGCAGCAGCAGCAGCAGCCGCAAAACACGCAACGCAGCGGCTGCGACGACGACAGGCGGCAAATTTATTTTAAATCAAGCAAAAGATGCAAAAAAAAAAACAGGTAAAAAGCCATTTTGAGTTTGAATTTGAATTTGACCTGTTGTTTGTTAGCTAAATGTGTTTATTTCTTTGCATATTGATGTGTTGTGTTCACTGCCAGTGACTTTGTTTACAAATACCAAATCCGGATTCGTGTTATTTTGGCGCGGTACGTGCTACGTGCTCTGCCTGCCCAAATGGCCAAAGATGAAATAGATTTACAACCACACACACACACACATACACACACACATACACATAGAAAAAACACCCACTCTTTGGAATTTACTTGAAATTCGCATTGAACATGTTCATGTGCATAAATAGGGCATTAAAATGAAATTTTAATTGCGACAGCTACTGTTCACCTCCTTTGGTTGTTTTCTTTGTTCTTATTATTATTATTCGCCAAGTTGTTGCTGCTGTTGTTGTTGCAGCTGCTTCCGCTCTTGGTTTCGTTTATTGAAAGTGAAAACTAAGAAAGTCCATTAGTGGGCAGTCGTCTCGTTTCCCTTTGTTTCATTGTGTCGGGTTTCATTTGGGGTTGTGTGTGTTTCGTTTTAATTTAATGCCATTTATTGGCTTAACATGCAGCTAACAACCAAACACAAACCGACAGCACCAGGTTCAAGGCTCTGACGCCTTCTGTCCGGGGCGTTAATTGAGAGGCGGCAATAGATGTATACAAACACACACAAACTGATAGAGACACAAAGGTAAGCTCACACTTAAGCACACACACACACACACACGCACGCACACTCACACTCAAACAGAATTATGGGTACATAAGACAAGCGCTTAACAAAATACTTTCTTTTTTTTTCACCCATACATATATAGGAAAAATGTATTTTAGCTCTTAAGTGGATAATTTACTTTGGTCTTTGTGGCCTTTTGCCGCCGGCTAAGCCACCTGCACTCCAACTTGTCGTCCGTCAACGTTATGATGCGTGGTGCTCGCTGTCGCTGTCGCTGCCACTGCCTCGACTGATAACACAGGACTAAACAGTGGCGCTGACTGCGATTTACTTCTGCCACACTCTTTCTCTCTCTATCTCTGTCTCTGTTTGTCGCAGTTTACTTTCGCTCGCCTGCTTGTTTGGACACTCAACTTTAATCCGCCTGCTGTTATTGCGTTGTGCTGCGGCCGACGCGTTAACTATAACTGAAACTGTTCGTTCCTGTCGTTCTCTGTGCTAGCGCGTAAAAGAGAGCTGCTGGTCGGTCGACTAGGGCTGCAAACTGAACACTGAGCAAATTGCGGCTAGCGTATTAACAAAAACTCATGGCGTATTAAGCATTTGTGTTAAAATAAACATTTCGATAGTCAGTTTAAAAATTGTATCACAGAATTTTATTTAAATAAATATTAAAGATCTAAAAATTAAAAATTACTGCGAGTTTTTATTATTAGACAAAGGCAGCTGTCAACAGTACATTAAAAAGCTTTTCTTCCACGCAATTTCTTGCCGTGTTAAACGGAAGAGCTTTTCTTGCTTGCGTTCTCTTTGCTTGAATCAGTTGAAAAAGCTTTTCGTTGTGTTAGGTCGTGGTTGCTACGGCGCCAAGTGGTCATGAGGGAGGGAAATAAGATATTAACAGCGAGCGGGTTGTCCAACTGTCTGATTGCTCGACTGCCGACCGATTGACGAAGTGACCGACTTTGGGCTTTTTAAGCGTATTATTAGAGTTCAAGTGTGACGTTGTTGTTATTGTCGTTGTTGTTGTTGTTGTTTTTTTTTTGTTGTAGTTATTGTTTTAGTGAGTGCTTAACGTCAGCCAATAACCCACTTACCCGTAAATGCGACTTGAGTGCGTCCTAGCAAATTAAAAGCATACTTAGAGGCGTTTAATTATTTATTCATGGGCCTGTGCCTCTGTTTGATTATAAAGAAAGCGCTTGCGTTTAATGTTTGCGCGCCAAAAGAGACAAACACACAACGTTGTTGGGGTTTCGAATGCCTTTGCTTGGATGCCATGGAATTTGCTGTCAGGGCTGCTTAATTATTCCGTCGTTGTTTGATCGAAATTATTAGAAAATAGTAACCCTCGAGAAAATTTCGCATATTTCTTTTTGTCAGTTACACAGCTAATCTTGATACTACCATACAAACACATATATTTTCTAGTAAAAAATGGAGGAGTCGAAGCGACCGTCAACGGGTAATTCGGTTACCATACGGCCGAAACTAATATATGGCCTGCGCACAGATGTCGTTGGCAACATACATTTTAATCTTAGCAAGGAGGTCATGTATCCGGTGGAGGGTGTCCTGGCATTTCATGATTATGTCAGCAACAAGCAGCGTTTCCTTCGATTCCCAGAGGACACCACACCAGAGATAATTGCGCTGAGCTCACATCGCAAACTGCTTGCGGTGCTCGAGCTGCACGCAAAGAAGTGAATATTGTTAATTGTTTTCCAATCATTGATAATTATCCTCATCCCCTTCCGTCCAGCGGTCGGTGTATATCTATATATGAGCTGTCCACGCTTAAGAAGCGACGTCATCTGGAGCTGCCTGGTAATCATCGAAATGCTCAGGTGCAGCAGATGATCTTCACGAACGACTCGCGTGCAATTGCGCTGGTCACAAAGCCACCCAATGAGATGGTCTTCATGCTGCTATTAGACAAGACCGGCACTGTGATTGAGGGACGGGCGACGGTGCCGGGTTCGCACGGCGGCGCAGAGTGCATTGCCGGTAATCCCAGCGATTGCAGTTTCCTTGCCGTTGCCGGCGAACGCACTCTGCTGCTGCTGAGTAAGTCGGAGCGTGGATTTACCATAAGCAATAATCTGAAGATTACATATCGGGTGACGTCGATGGCATTTCTTTCGATGGATCTGCTGATGATGGGCACCGATCGCGATGAGCTGATCCTCGTCGAGAATGGTGAACATAAGCTGAGCCAGAAAGCGAGCGTGGCGGAGACCGTTGATCTGATGATGGACCAGGAGATGTTTGATAAGGAACGCGAGACGCAGGATCATCGCTACACAGCGATACAGCCCCTCATCCTGCCCGATTGGCGGGTGCTCTGCATGACAGCCTTTTCCAGAGGCTTCGCCTACATCATTTTCAACAAAGTGTTCGTCTTTGAGCGCGTCTCCAAGTTTAAATTCGAACGTAAGACTGTCTTAACGGTGCCCATCAGCATCTATGCTGAGTCTCTCTATCAGATCACCAATCTGGCCGTGGATCACAAACAGGAGACGGTAATTGTGACCTGCGCCCATGCCCAGATCTATGTGGGCATCCTCATTGTGCCGGAGACCCTGAAGACCAAACAGCTCAAGTTTGAGCCCCTCGGCGTGCTCATCCACATCGGCGAGGTCGTCGACGTGTCCGTTTGCGCCTGGAAACCGATCATTATGACTGCCTGTGAGTAACTCCAATCTAATGAAGAATTGCTTGGGCTTATTGCTAACTTTTGTGTAGCACGGGATCAAACGATACGCATCTGGAACTATGAGACGGCCAAGGTGGAGCTGGTGCGCAAGTTTCAGGTGGATGTCAATATTGTGGAGCTGAATTCCACTGGATTAATGGCAGCCATTGGCTTCTCCGATCAGTTGCGTATCACACAAATCTTTATGGATGAATTAAACGTAAGTTTTCCAGAAGATTTCAATTTCAATCAATAATCAATTTAAATTGGATTCTTAAAGATTATGATCTGAATCCTACCCAGAAACTCTTTTATTTTTCCTTTTGTATTTCTCCTCATGCAGATTGTGAAGACGTACAACTTTCCACACTGCAATGATGTGCGTTACTCGAATTTTGGACACCTTATGGCGGCTGCCTATGATAACAATATTGCCGTCACATCAGTCTATAATTTAGAGGTGGTGATCCAATTGAAAGGACACAATGGCACCGTTCTCTCCGTTGCGTGGACCAAGACGGATAAGTATTTGATATCTGGTGGAGCCGAGGGTGCCATTTATCAGTGGGACATCGAGACGGGGGCACGCTTGCAGGAGATCGTGCAGAAGGGCACCGAGTATGTGACCATCTGCGTCAGCTTCAACGATCCGATGACAATATTCGCTGGAACCAATCAGGGTACCATAAGGGAGTTTCAGGACGCGACCCTGCAGCGTGAGATTCCGGTGCCGTCGCGCAATAAGGGAGGCGTCTCTGATCTATGCCTGGCCCGCTCCGATCTGATCATGTTCATAGCGGATCAAGAGGGTGGACTGTTCAATATGCAGCTGCCGTTCCTGGAAGCTGGCGGAGGCACCTTCACCAATTTTCGTTTCTTTGACGGTCCGATAAACAAGCTGCGTTTCACGTATGATGGTACAATGCTGGTGGCCATATCCAAGCGGGGCACCGTTGCCATTTGGCTGATGGAGAACATTGATGAGAAGGTTTCACCCATCGATCAGGATCTGATGAAGAGCCAAGAGGTGTTGATTCCACGCACTCAGCTAAGCGATAAAGTCGAACAGATTATTAATCTGGAGTTGCGACTTAAGCAGCAGGCCGAGGAGTTCCAGTATCAGCTCAGTCAGAACGAGATATTCGATGGTCAGCAGCTGCAGGAGGTGCATCGCAGCTATTGTAGCGCATTGGAGGAGCTCAAGGAGTTAAACAACGAGATTGTGTCCAAGCACACGGAGGAAATGAATCTAATAACGTTCCAGATCAGCGATATGAAACAAGATTTTCGCTCCCAGATGGACACACTGGCCAGCCAGTACTCGGAGCGCATGCTCATCGAATACCAAAAGTTCACCAATCTGCGTGAGAATATGCTCGAGCTGCGCGAAAGTTATGAGGATAAGCTAAGGAACTCGACGGGCACGCTCCAGGACACGATTGAGGCACTGGAGAACGATTACAAGAAGCAGCTGGATGAACGCAAGGATCTCATACGGGAGCTGATGAAAGAGATGCAGGACAAAAAAGAAGAGTTCATCAAATACTGCCAAGAGGTGGAGGCGGAGAACGATCGAAACATGGTCGCCACCCAAACGGAATACGAGAATAAACTGACCACGGAGCGCAATGAGACGCAGATGTGGCGCGGGAAGGCGGGTGTGCTTCAAAAGAAATATGAATCCCAAGGCAGAGAGATTGAGAATCTGCTGGAAGAGGTGGAAACACTCAAAGAGGAGCATGTCAAGTCACAGATGAAAATTCAGAAGCAGTTGCGCAATGTCGAAGATCTACAGAAGGACATCTCGGATCGCGATTATGCCATCGGTGCCAAGGAGAAGCGCATACAGGAGCTCCTGCACAAGAATCAAGAGCTGGACAAATATAAACAGGTGCTCAACCACAAGATAGCCGAACTGAAGGCACAGATTGAGCCGCGAGAATTCCAAATAAACGATAAGCGAAAGCACATCATTGAAATGGAGCACGAACTGGAAGGACTCAATCAGAACAACATACAGCTAGAGCTGCAGCTCAAGGAGATGCGCGACAAGTATCTGAGCAATGTGGCCGAGCTGCGCACGGAGCGACATCGTGCCAAATCGGCACGCGAATGCCTAAATGCCATCTGCACGGATATCTTCTATGTGGCCGGGGAGGTGAACAGCTCGGATGGTCTGAAGAAGGCCGTCAAGGAGCTGTTTCACAAGCATGCCAGCGATGATGAGCTCAAACGTTACGTTTCCCTCGATGCCGAGGTGCGCGATGAGTTTTCGCGTCAACGCAAACAGATTGAGACTGTCCTGGCCCGCTACAAGTCAGTCGCCGAGGATAAAAGCGTGCAGAAGAAATACGATAAGCTGTTCCAGGAGAATGTGGTCCTGCTCGAAGAGATTGAGAATCTGCGCGAAGTGAATAAAGGACTGCGTTCGCGAGTGCGCCAGGATGTACGCAAATCTGTAAAAAGCAAGAGACTAGAAAGTACACGTTCAACGAAATAAGCCAGCGCTTGAAAGTCTGTTAGAAATATTCTTATAAAAATATGTTTCACATTGGGACAAATACATACATGGGATATAACACATTCATTCAAAGGAGCTTAATAGATTAATAAAGTAAAATGGCATTTAGTTTTAGGCCTCGACTAGCACTCTTTTAGCGCTTGCCTTTGATTTGGTTGCCGCTTTTTGCTCCACTTCCTCTACTTCCTCGTCCATCTCCTCCTCCTCCGAGTCGGCTGCGGTTGGCAGCTGCTCGCTGGGCACATCGGGCAATTGTGCACGCTGGTCCTCCGCCTCCAGGGCATCGAGTTCGGCGAGCACATCTTCCTCGTCTTGAGTGGTCAACACGTCGGTTAGTATGGCATCGATCTCCTGTTGCTTTTCAATGCCCTCGCGTGTTTCGTCCATGATCTTTTCCACCTCGTTAATATCGAGCATATCGTGAACCTTTTTCAAAGCCGCATTGCCCTGCTTCAATCCATCAAGCACCTTCATTTCCACCTGTGCAAATTCCAAATCGGCGGCCAGTTTCTCCAAGTTCTCCAGCTGTTTGTCGGTATTTGTGAGCAAACTTTCCTGGTACTTCTTCTTGCGAAGCAATAGCTTTGCACGACTAAAATATATTATATTGATTAAATGGAACTCATTAAGGCATGTTAAATATGAACTGCTTACTCCTTTCTTCCCTGCTGAAGGCACTTCTTGGCAAGCATTCTATCATTTTCAAGCTGTAGTTCGATGCGTTTCTGGTACTGTTTCAGACGATCTCTCTGCTGCTTCAGTTGCTGTAGTTGACAAGGGGATAATCGTCTATTGTTAATCGCAGACAGCTGGACAAGAAGTTATACCTACCAGAACGGCCTTGTCATGGTCGGTAATGCGACTAGGAACCGTCTTTTTACTAGATTTCCCAAACAATGCACCCATGACTAACTCGCAATTTGCAACGACTAAATATCGATGTTGTTATTCACTCGATACATACCATCGTTTTCGATACTTTAAATTATATCGATAGTATGCACAGGTCACACTCCACTCATTCATTGGGAAGCTACTCTGGAATTTTGCCCTGCATTGATACAGTCACATTCAATTTTTGCGGCGTTCCATTCTACATGGACAACGAAATCAGCGTTAAGGATGAAGTGGACGTAGAAATTAGTCCACATTGCATTCAGACAGACGTGAAAAGCGAACAATCGCCAGCCAGAGACGATGAGAACGAGTGCACTCCCTTGCGAGATGACTGTCACCCATCAACGGAGCCAACGTTTTTCGGTTCTGTCAATGCCGGTTGGGAAAGCGATGCTGATGAGGATGAAGCCATAGTTACGACACTGCCTCCGTTCCTTGGACTAGATAAGTCCATCAAAAGCAGCCCAACTAATGATAATGATTTAACACCCATCAGAGTGTCAGAGAGGGACCAATCCAACTCTGCGGACACACAGTTTGAATCTCAACCGATCGGTGATGTTGCCGACGTGCCGGACAACTTTTTGGACGACTTGGAGGCTGATGCAATGGTGACGGTGCTCGAAACGATTGTAAAGGAGGAAGAAAACAGTGAATTTCCATTTGGTATTCTTGCTGTTCGCTCGGCTGAGGACTTACAGGGCGCTACAAATACGTGCAGCCGACAGGATCAATTAGACGACATGGATCTGGAGAGGCCGCCAACAGAGACACAGCAATACTGCGAATACACCGAAGAGGAGTTAAGCGAGCGCATTGACCAGCGAGTCAAGCAGCTTGAGAAATTGAAGAAAAAGAACAAAAAGAACAAAAAGAATAAAAAACACAATGGTCACAAAAAACGAAGTCGCAGCCAAAGTCGTAGTCCGCACTCTAGCCGTAAGGAGCGTCGTGTTGATCACACGCCTACATCTAGTACTTCCAGACATCTTTTCACATACGAAGTAAAAGCAGAACCCGCTGATATAGACTATATCCCGGTGCAAGATATTGAGAAGAGTGTCGAGGTTATTGCTCCGAGTAAATCATCGGATATAGCTACTGAAGTACGTGCAGGAGCTGCTGCTCCTTCACCATTGCTGACCATTAAGGAGAAGCGCAAGCTGGCTGTGGAACGTGCAAAAGAAGTGCTTAGTCTATTGCGTCTACAAGATTCCAAGGCACCGGCAACAGAATTTCTTGTGGTAGACACCTATATTAAAAAGCTGCCCACCCGTGCATCCTTTACGAGCAATGATATCTTTGAGAGCCCATCGCCACTGTGCAACAACTTTAATGTGAAATACAGGTTCAACTCAACAACAGCATCCAACATAGATGTAGCCAAATGGGGATTGCAGCGCTTGCCGGAAGAGACAACTCAACTACTACGCATCACCGGAATTGATGCGTCACGCTTGATGGAGCTGATGGCAAATTCAAAGATGGATTTGCATAAGCTGCGCTCCCAGCAGGTTTCAAATAAGGCAGAAGACGAATACGCATCCACAGGATTATACACGAGTGTATCTACCCAAACTGATGCACTCAACTGTTATCGAGATGTTGCCATCCAGGCAACGCCGGCATCCAATCAAGGCGTCTTTTGGCTACAGCCTAGCTTTGACAAGATTCACTTGGTGCAGAGCCAAGCGAATGTTATGCTAGCACTGAAAGAACTCTCCTCAAGAATGCCCAGCTCGAGTGCCTGGGCCGACATGCTTTTCCAGAAGCTTCTCCAGGCGTTGGCAATCCATCGAGCAGAAGCCAATGAATTAGCGCGCTAAGGCGAACATTTCGATTCAAATCATATCCAAATCTACAGATGACTCAATAGCATATTTTATACTTATATTAATAAGCATTAATTGGTTTGTAATACTTAACAAACAAGTGAGTTGCTTAACACGAAATTGGCGCCAAAAATATAAAGTTGTTCCGCACGAAGTACTAAATATTATTAGACACAAGGATATGACTTAAATAAAACAGAGGATGAAGAACTGAACTCGACATTTATTTATTTTGCGGAGTTAAGCTCTAAATATTTTTTACAATGTGAAATATTTTTTAAGGTTCAAATCCTTTCCACAGGCAACCGGGCCTATCCCACACTATGTGTTCTGCGGCTTGGACCATTCAACGCTGAGGATCAAGTGGTCGTAGCCGTGACCGTTTAGTATTTCGATGGCCGCGGCCGCATCCTTACGCTGTTTGAAGTGAACGTAGGCGAATCCCTTGCAGAGGCCGGTGTTCTTATCGCGGGCCAGGTACATCTTGCTCTGCGGTCCAATCTTTTTCACCAGCTCCTCCAGATCGGCCTCGGTCATCGACTCGGACAAGTTGGAAATGCGAATGGCAGCAGTGTCGTCCCGTCCCCGTATGCCCATGCCGCCCTTTTGGCTATCCTTGAGAAATGGTGGCACATATTTGCCCGACTTGGGTGCATCGACAGCCGCGGAGGCAGCGGCAGCGGCCTTCTTCTCCATAAGATTCGTATCCATGGCGGTGCCTTTGTATGGACAATTGACCGACCAATGCTCGCCATTGCAAATACGGCACTTGGCAATGTTCTTGGAGGGATCCAACAGCGGATCGTTGGCCTTTTCATCCTCCTTGGAGTTGATGAACTGCATGATGATATCCTCGGACACCATTGTCGTCTGCGAATTGGGACCGGGCTTGTCATTCTTTGATTCACCAAATTTAGCCCAGGTGCGGCGCTTCGCAACAGTTTTTGGCACCACCTGCTTGGTTATTTTATATGTGCGCACCACTTTCGTCTTCTTATCGTCCTTGTTGTATTTGTATTCGGTAACATATTTGTGGCCATTCTCAATCGTTTCCGTTGTTGGTGGAAGACCGCCATAGTCCAGCTCCACCTCATCGGCCCAACTTGATTTAATTGTTTCAATTCCAGGCATCTTGTTTCGCTTTGCAAATTGACAACAAAAATTTAATGCAAAGTTTCGCCGAGTTTGCTGATTGCGTTTGTAATCGATAATTTATCGACACAACTACTAAGAAATCGGACAAATCGACCAGAAAAATGGACGCAAATTTATTTAAAAAAATGAAAAGCATAAAAAATAGGCTAAACTAAATTTTGGGATGAGTACTTTACTAATTGTTTAACTATCAATAATATTCAGTTCGGCACATTCTTGGTCTTATGAGCTTCAGATATAATCGATAAAATACTAAAACGACAATACAATAATTACTCGTAAAAATATCGATAAATCAAAGCTCGAGCTCAAGTGAACTAGTGAACTAATATCAAAATAAACAATTTGAATATGGTATATCAATTACAACTTTGCTCTGAGCTCATCATAGCATTGCGGCTTATATCTTTTGTACATGCTGCGCCAGAAATCGATACGCTCTGCATCTGGATCTGACTTCATTTTGCACTCCCGATCGATTTTCATATAATCCAGCCGAATGGGCTCGAGTTCACCATTAGGGCTCCTCTTCGATCTCTGCACTGGCGTCCATGTTTCCAACGGCTTGCCGTGTTTCGCAAAATTGGCCCACATTTGGCATAGACGCTCCGACATTTGGCCATCCTCTGGGGCGAGTGGCATCTGATCATCTAACATTTGGAACAGATAGAACAGCTCATCTGCATGCGATACTCCGCGAAGTTTTTCAGCCTGGAACATGCGCTTGTACATGTTCCGTCCACCCACATAGTCAAAGCGATAGAAATATAACGGTGCCGTCCGCTGGCAGTTAACATGAATCTCTGCAGCGTGTTGCAGATCAATATTAAAGTGGTAATCTGTGAACAAATCAATCAGATTGTCCAGACAATTTTCTGTCAATGCCTTTCCATTAAAATAGAATTGACGCATATCCTCAGCTGCTTCCAGTGCCACTGGCGACTCTGGTTGATCCACCAGATTGCGTGGAACCACACGCGCCATATCCTCATTGTACACTTCTAGCTTCCGCCGGGCATTCACAAGCATAGCCATGCCTTCTGCTGAATTATAGCCCATTATCATAGGCATTCCACGCAGCCGTTCCTTATCATGCATCAGATCCATAAAGTTTCTGTTAATGAAACTATCTGAACTTTCAGCATCCTCCACAACTGGCTTGAATGCCAACGGCAGCCCGCGACGACGCTCATCATCGCTGAGCACACCCACAGTGTTTTTAAGGAGATCCAGTGGTGTCACCTGTTTGGACTGCAGGAATTCCAGCAGTTGACTCGCCTGCTCAATATTCTTGCCCTGCAATAGTTCGCCCAAGCGTCTGGCTTTGTATGCCGCATTTTGCTGGAAAACCCACTCCATGTTGCCTGTGCCGCTCTGCATGATGGCCTTGTGGAACAGTTTGTTGGCATGCTCGGCATAAGTGTGCAGATGCACTGCAGCTGCGCCCGCGCTCTCCCCAAAAAGGGTCACATTCTGGGGATCACCATTGAAGTTGGCAATGTTGTCCTGCACCCACTGTAGCGCCAGACGCTGATCCTTCAATCCCGCATTGCCATAGATGCCGGCCTCTGGCAAACTGAGAAAACCCAACGCACCCAAGCGATAGTTCAGGGTAATCACTATTACCTCTTGCTGCATTAGCTGTGCAGGAAAGTGACTGCATGAGAAAAAGATTATGGAATTAACAAGATTGCATGTATACATATAACTTCGCGCACTTACTAATCTCTATTTCCGTTGCCAAACCAGAAGCCACCACCATGAATCCATACCATGACGGGCAGCGGCTTCGCCGACTTTCCTTTGGGCTCATACACATTGAGGAACAAACAGTTCTCCGAGCCAATGACTTCCAGCATAAATGGATCACGCTGATGTGAGACATCACCTTCTTTGCTGCAGTCCAGCTCTGGCTCCTTGAAACGCTCCACTGGCACGGGGCTCTATAATTAGGTTATCATTTCAATAAATAGTAGAAAGTTGTTCATTTGTGATGAACGTACTCGAAAACGCAGCTCACCCACTGGTGGCTGTGCATAGGGCACTCCTAGGAAGCTTTCGTATACTAGGCCACTGGGCAACTGCTGACGCTGTCCAACCAGCACACCTTGCTTAACAGGCACCTTGACCTAAAAATTTACAATTTGTGAATTTGCCAATTATTTGCTTGTTTTCACTTACTTTCATATTGCTGAATAATCGGAGGCTACTGACAGAATATTTTATACCTCTGAGTGCAGCTAAGCCCCACATCGTAACTAACATTAAATATAAAGTAATATCTAATCACTAGTAAAAATCGGTCAAAAGTCGAAACTCCAGTATAATGATCTTTAGACGCAGAAATGCACAGCTGATTTATCTGATTAATCGTTAACCCGTAAGTGGGCTCCAAAGGTTGCTTGCACCCGCGCGAACTTTGAATTGAACAAAATGAAAAACCAAAATTAAATTAACTAACTAAATTGTCAGTTAGCTAAAAACTGAATTATTTAATACATATACGAAGTAACTGTTAGTTATTCAAATAAAAAATCACAATCCGTGCGAACACATAAAATGGCATTAAAAACGAAGCTTGAAGTTCAGAAATTATTTGTTTATATAATGAGCAAATATAAATTTGAATGTCATTTGGAAATGTGGAGTAGAAATTAGCATTTATTTCACTTCGGCCCCCTACAAACCAATGAAAATGCATTAGTTTTACACATTTATAATTACATTTAAAATGTTTCTAAGTTTTATTTGACTAGTTCCATTGCATAAACATTAATACAAGTTTTCAAGTTCATTTTTGTTTTTTGTTTTATATGTTATCAATATAATTGGTATTTTGTTTTGTCATGAAATAACCTTTGCTGTAACTATAGATTGTGGGCACAACAACAACGGTCGAGCTGGCAGTTCGAAATCCGAAAAAATTGGTGTTTTAGTCAGTTAGAAACGGAGCAAGCTCCGAAACAACTTGAAAAAGGTTTGAGCTTTTTCCGTTTTCCAAACAGTTGCCAACTCACTGTTGTTGTTGCTTGTTTTTTGTTTTTGTTCTGGTTGTCGCCAAAGGCTAGCTCGTTAGGATAAGGTAATAATAATGTTAATTAGCTTTAGTTGTTGTTGTTTTAAGCATAGTTCTTTGTTGTTGTTATTCTTTTGTTTTTTGTTCACACCGAAAATATTGAAACATTTACACTTATGTACATACATAACATGCACACACATTAAACATACATACATTCAAAACACTTAATAAACATTTATAATAATAATAATCATAATCATAATAATGTGTAGTAATAGGTAATAAGTATTTATATATAGCAAACATTGAGAAACATATCTCCTCTACTCAATACGCCATATAACTATTATTATTTATATAAGTATATATGTTCGAGACTCATTTAGCCATGGTTATTCGCATTTGTTTCTTTGTTTATTTGTTTTCTTGTTATGTTTTTTTTTTTTGGGTTTTCTTTTTCATTCTTGGTTGCATTTTAAAAATAAGGGTCACAAAAATTCTTTTACAAATAGTAAATTGGTGTTTTGTTCTTCTTCTTCTTCATCATCATCATCGTCATCATCATCATTGTCTACAACTAGATGTCAATCATCATTTAGATCCAAAATTGTCATCATTTGTTTAAACTATAATCTAAAAACGTCGCAGCGCCAAAGTGCGCTTCAAATATAGACAAATCGCACGATGGATTAGCTCATATTGTTCGGAATTTTGAACCATGCCGCCGCGTTGCAGCCGGAGATTGCACACAATGCCCAGTATATCGACAAAGATGTCTGGCATCTTTGGAAGCTGATCAAAGCTAACCGCATCCGGCTGCTCCACAATGTGCTGTATGTGCAGAATGGTATTGCAACTAAAGCTACTCTCATCATCCGCATCACTGGTCGAATTCTGTATCGCCTCCCCCATGTCGGTCATGGTCAGCGTTCTGCTCAACATGCCCGTCAGCGAGTATGCCAGAGATTGCCGCAGCTGGCGCACAGCATTCAGTATGGCTGTGAAGCAACCGGTTCGTCCAATGCCCGCCGAGCAGTGTATAACTGGCAGCGGTTGCACCGCATTGAAGATGTCCTGCTTGTAAATGTCCAAGCGCTGTGCAGTTAGATGCGCATTTAGCGTGCTCCGCTTCTCATCGTAATTATCAAACTCCGATTCGCATTTACCCAGATTGAGTACATGCAAACAGATGTCCAGCAGCGTGTTGATGTCGCGCGGCGAATGATGATCCGGCCAATCGGGATACCAGTAGTGATAGCAGCAGATCTTTTGCAAATAATACTCCAATCGGCCTTCGCTCTCCGGCACATTAATGCAATACAGCAGCACCAGTTTGCGCACAGAGTAACCATTCCGTCGCACAATGCCCACATTTTTGGCCAAAAAGAAGCTGCCATCCGAGGGCAGGGTGCGTCGCAATGTCTCGCTCAGCGTCACCTTCACCGAATCAATGCCAATGTGCCAGCGACTATTCTGTTGATCTCGGTCCGGTTCCGGCTGCAACTCATTTGAGGCACTCTCGGCGCCCTCCACCGGCGGCAATGGTGCCAACAGATGCGGCTCAAAGAAGTCGCGTGCCATGGCGTCCAGCTCGAACACTTCTCCTTTGGCAGCCACCGCAAAGATCTCGTTTAGCTCGATGGGAAAATAGATGGTGCACTTTTGCCGGTTGCACTCCGTGAAATTGGTAAGCATTATGATTTTCTGATAGTACTGCTGCAAAATGTGCGACTTATCCACGTGGGGACTGCTGCCACCGTCCATGCAGCGGCGTATATAACGCTGTGTATTCTGATGGATCATTAGCCAAAATTCGAATATGGTGTTGGGCAGCGGACCCTGCGAAGCCACATAACACTTGGACACATAGTCCGGGCCCTGAAAATGAAGTGAAATAAGTGTTTAATGTTGAGTGTTTAATTGAGCAGAGTACTCAATGGATTCTGGGTGTACCTTGATGTAATTGGCATTAATGTAGGGCAAATCCTCATTGGCCAGTAGCGTCGTTTTGCTCATTAGCTCCTCGTTTGTGGTCGTCTGTGGCTGTAGCAGGTTACTCTGCTGATGTTGCTGCTGGAGATTGAACAGTTCGGTCGCCTCGCTCTCGAGGAGCACACGCGAGTGTTCGTTGGGTAGAATCGTTTTGTAGCGATTCTTTGTCTGCGAACCAAAGACCATGGGCTTCTCCTGATGATTGAGTGGCAGATCCCAGAATTCCTTGTGCAGATCCCGAAAAATGCGCTTCTGTTCATCATCATCCAGTTGGGGCAGTGGCGTCACAATGCGCTTTACCACCGCCTGATACATCGCCAACAATTCGCTATCCTCTGATGTGGGTGGCAGCTGATTTGTGGGTGTGCCACCCTCACGTCCCAACACCAGCACTGGCGGCTGTCCCAGATTCACTTTGTAACTGTGATCGAATACATGATTCAGCTTGATCAGATCGTATTGATTGAGGGGATTCGAGGCACTCTGCAACATCTGTATGCTGGCCAAATAGATTTTGAACTCCTCGCTGGTCGTCTGCGGTGACAGTGGACGGGTCATAATGTTGCGTATCCCGGCTCCAACGACGCCACCGCCACCCGTTGAACAGCTGCAGACGACGCCCGGTTCAGTGCTGCCTGCTGGCGATTTACTCTTCGACTGATCGCTGGGCTGCAGATCGGAGGCGGAGCCAAAGCACAGCGGCTGCTTGCTGCTGAAATCCAAGTACTGCGAGCTAGTGCCGCCACGATTACTGTTCAGATTCTCAGTGCTAAAGAACTTGCGCTGATGCGTCGCCTGGCCAGCGTTCGCAGCGCCACAATTGCAGACGGTTAGCTTTGGATGATCTAGCTGCGCAAGCGAATGCTGCTCCTGTGTTGCTCCGACGCCGACGCTGCCGCTGCCCACTATGCCCAGCTGACCGCCCATGTTGAGCGTGAGACTTTGGTTGCTGCCGCGTCGCTCGAGCAGACCGCGCTTGGGCGTCTGATTGGCCACGGAGTTCAGTTCACCGCAAGAGTTGGTCGTGTGACTTTTGAGGGTTATGCTGTGATTAGAGCCACGCCGCCGGAACAAGCCCTGACGCATGCACTGCGCGCTGCCCGCAGCGACGGTTAATTGATTGTGCGGCTGTTGCTGTTGCTGCGTGTGTTGCGTCTGCTGCAACTGCTGCTGCTCAAGATTGCACGTCGACTTCGAGTTGCTCACGGAGCCAAGATTGTAATTGGAGACACTCAAGCCACTGTTCATCAGATTGCCGCACGAGCTGTGCAGATTCAGAGTGAGGCTGTGATTGGAGCCACGCCGCTGCAGCAGATTCATCGAGCCACCCGTCATGCTCTTGGTCTGCATGTGACCGCCCGGTAAATCCATGGACTTTTGTTTGAATGGCGACTCGACGGGCGCAGCGCTCGGCGAAAACTCTACCAGGGTGAGGAACTCGGGCAGCGTTTTCAAATTGGTGCTGGACGAGTGCAGCAACGGATTCAGTTTGTGGGCACTGCGCGGTGCCAAATTGGCACCCAGCGTAAATTTGCCACTGTTACTGTCCACACTGGACGCCGACTTCAGTTCATCCGCCTCCAGGGAGCTCTGATATGGATTCTGTTTGCGATGATACATGAGCCAATCGCTGTTGCTCAATCCAGGAGACTTACGACGCGATGTGCGGCGACTGTGCATCGACTGCGGTGTGTCCAGACGGGAAAGGGATGTTGAATACAGGCTGGAGGCAGTGGGCTGCATCAGCATATTGCTCTGCGCGACATGGCAAGTGCTGCTGCCCGGTGCGGACATATCATGAGATTCGCTTATGTGATGCACCACTATGGATAACTCCGTTTCGTTGGCAGCGGAGTCCAAGGAGCGCGCCTTCTCCTTCGTGCTCTTAATGGTGGGCGTTTTTGGCTTGGCCAGCGATGTCGGCGACAGCGGCTGCTGTCCGCTGCTACTCGAATTGCTTCTGCTGGCCAACTGTACATCTGTGATGCGTATGGTGAGATTATTCTTATTCTTGCGGTTACGGCGTCCTGTCTCTTGTTGCTGTTGCTGCTGGTGGTGGTGGTGGTGGTGTTGTGGAACTGCTTGCTGCTGTTGCTGATTGTCTGTCTCCGCGGCGGGCACAGCTGCAACTGTGGGCTGCAACTGCACAATATCCTGTACGACATGATCGATTTCGGGAAAGCGAAAGAAATTTCCATTTTTGTAGCCCGCCGAATTGATAAGGTTAAACGGTGAGCCGGACAGTGAGTTATTCAAATTGAGATTATTTATGGAGGCGAGCAGTTTTGGTGAGTAGCTATGGCGGTTGGCATCGTTATGGAGGAGATTGGGTGTCGTCGTCGTCGACTGCTGCTGCGTTGTCGTTGAGCCGTCATCGCCCCTGTAAAGTATTGTGGGTGAATTGTGTTCGCTTTTCGATAAATACAGACTATCGTGATCGTTATCGGCACTGCACTTTTTCGGTTGGGTATTCTCCTTGTTGGCAAATATGCGTCCGTCCTGCGGTGAGCACGAACGTCGATCGTATAATGAAAATCGCTTGAATTTACGATTCAGCGTCGTCGGCGATTGCGGCAACTGTGACGGCTGCTGCTGCTGCTGCTTTGGATTAGCAATTGTAAATTGTTTGGGTGTATACAGTGTGTCCTCGTCGTTGCCTCGCTCTGCTGATGCAGCAGTTGTTGCTGCTGCTGCTGTTGCTGTTGTTGGCGATGGGAACTCAAAGGAGGTCTGTAAGAACTCCAGGGGCGTAAAATATGGTGTGGGCGTGCTCTTATTGCTCTCCACATCGACATCGGCGTCACCAGCGTTGGTATAGGAGCATTCAATTGATGCAATAACTGCATGTTCTTTGTTGTTGTTTTTTAACTTGTCCATTATATACACACACAAAACGCACTGCGCTTCGGTTCTCTCCGCTCCGCTCCACTCCTCTCGCTCGCACGCTCGTTCACTCACTCGCCACACACACTTTGCTGCTGGGCTGCTGTTTGGCTAGACAGACGCTGCCATGCAGTTGCTGCAATGCCATCAATCTGTTAACATTATTGGCTTGCACATTGGCCACTAGCTGGCAGGGCAAACTAAATTGGCATTGCGAGAGAATTGCGCTTTTCACAACACAACATTTTTACACGCAAAATAAGGAAAATAATCAACCTAAACACAGACAGTGTGACCATCGGCATGATACACAAGAAATATATCGATTTGCGATGCATTATTTGTTAATTGCTCACATGGTATTTTCTCGATATTTTTTTGTTGCGAAAAAATACTAATTTATCGTCCGTTGCGTTGGCAGCCCAATGTTTATTTGGCCATTGCATTTAAATTTTGTTTTAAACAGAGAACACAATAATATAACTTTAAAAATTTATCTGTCTGAACAAGCTTACTAGGAAATTCGTTGATCAGAGTTCAGCCATAGTTGTAGCATAATGCGATTTTGTGTGAAAAGTGCAGCTTCCTCCAGAAATTTAAAGCGACTGTCCTCAAAATGTGGGACCTCCATGGGCTCCGGCGATTGCAAGCATAGAACGCAAATATTTTGCTTCTTAATCATCTGCTGCAATCGCTTTTGATGATAGTTTAAATAACTGACAGAATCCGCAAATGTCGGCGATTTATATGGATGCTTCACATGGCCATGCGACGCTGCTAATAATGAATTGTCCTGTATTAAATTCAAATGTCTAGCTGTTTGTACAGCTGCAACTGTTGCAGTGCCTGCTGCATTGCATGACAGTCCTTTGAATTTAAACTCAAGTGCTTTCAAATCAGCGTCATCTGGATCGATTTTAACTGCTCGTCGCATTTTGGTCTTGACTGGCTTTTGGATATTGGACACGATTGGCTTCTTCGGTTTGCAGCCCTTATTTTTTGACCTCTGCTCAACGTCAGTGCGAAACACCTTTGGTTCGACACGGACTATGTGTGGTTTGGGCTGTTCATCGAATCCTCGGAACTTTGTATCAGCGGATTTCTTAGTGGCTTTGCTCTTGCCAGTTTTATTTGATTTGGTGGCTAGTGGCGCTATCATTACTTTCACACCAAGGCCAGTCTGTACGGCATCCGCATAGCTCATTGGCATACTCTGCAATGATGATGAGGTCGAGGAGATCGGTTCCTTTAAGTTCATGTATTCCCCCAGAGGCTTGCGACGTACGGGAACGAACTGACACGGCTCCTTGTCCAAATCATCGCCGTCGGCATCGTCCTGCTTCTTTTGAGCATTGCGGTTTTTGCGTTTGACGAGCGCAGCCGCTGATTTTGTTTTGGGCGCCTCCAGCTTTGACTTACGTCTTCCTGTAATTACCACGGGCTTTTGGCTATCTTTAGTGAACGGACGCATTGAATTTCAAATTATTTAATTTACTCTACAGCAACAAGCGACTTAATAGTGACTTACCGATAACGGGATGTAGTTTTCGCTGAGTTCTGTGATGTTTTTTATTGCTACTTCTATTCTAACAAACACTCTGACAGTAAATTTTGATGACTATAACAATTGTGTACAACCGGAAACATTATAAAATCTTACAAAAACAAAAAACATTCAAATATTGAAACGAAAAAATGTTTTCCGCTGGCTTATTTCTACGCTCAAAAGCCTTCAACCTAAATTTCGCGTAAGCCAGATTTTTTAATATGTGTTTCTTGTGTTTTCTTGTGCATATACCAATAACCAATATTTTATTTTAATAGACGTTACTCAGAGTCAAAGAGCAACTTGCCAAATCTTATCTTGTTGGGCGGTGGCCTAGGAAAGATGCAAGGTGGCATTAAAGAAGAGGAATATTTTAGCTCTGTCAATCATGGGCTAATGTCCAACATACAAAAGCATATTGAAACCTCAAAGAACGCTGACTCTTTGCGTAAATGGGAGGAATACCAAAGAACATTAGATCACGCAACCCTCTCTGACACCACTTGTACCAACAAAAACAAGGACATACATGAAGAAGCCTTTTTTCTGAATGAGGCAAGTACATTTATACGATTCCATAACATTCGCAGTTATTCCTATTGCATCCAACAGAGCACCGAGTGCTTCAAGGCTATGAATAATCGTGGCAAGATCCCGGGTAATACTGAAGAGGAGGATTCATAGGCTGCGAACGCAATCTTTTCCTAACTCGTTTTTATAAACGAATGTAGGCCTTTTATTCAGTTTTTGTTTTTAAAATTTTGTTTTCTGCACATCCACATCATCGCATCTCATCGCATCGTTTCTTTTCAAATTTATTTAAATTTGGACCGTTGAAGTCTTCACTGATTTAAGCAAGTTGGCATTCCCAATCAGTTAAAAAGCAGCTGAGATTTTCATAATGCCTTGAAATAAATCGCATAAGTCATACAGCACATATATAGTGAAAGTGATATACTATATAAGCTTCCGCTATATAAATCAATATGTTTACATTCAGCCGTCTCAGTCAGCGATTATATCCAAAACAAATACAGTAAGTTTAATTAAAAAAATAAATGTCAAAAAATTCTCGAAGATATTCGAGATAGCATTGCATAAGATATCGTCTGCTAATAGTTTAATTGCATTTAATTATGTATTTATATTAACCACATTGTAGGCACTTGAGAATGTCGCATGTGGGTGAACTTGGCAGCGGTGCGGGCAAAGGCGGCGGCGGCGGTGGCTCCATACGTGAAGCCGGCGGCTCTCTTGGCAAGAAGGAAGCGGCACACGAGGAGGAGTTCTTCTATAAGCAGGTTAGCCACGATTTCAATGAGTATTTATAGCATTCATATACAGAGTGTTTATTTCTGTTTTAGCAAAAGGAGCAACTAAAGAATCTAAAGACCAAGACGGACAACAAGACACCTGATGCAAATAAAAAATGATTTCATGAGCTCTAAATAATAGTTTATAGTATTTATATTTGTATGTGAGGCAATTAATTGAATAAATTGGCATAAACGGTCTCTGTTTGATAAAGAAAACTCTACCATCAAAATATCGCTAAAGCGAAATTCAACACATTTTTGTGAGAGGAGAGGCAATTTAATTTGAATTCTTAATATATCTTAGAATGATATATTTTATTATTTGAAACCATAAATCGCTTTTATTGCATGCTGTTTGCAGGAGTTGCTAAGTGAAGATAATTGGCAGACATATTTTGCAGATTGAATGTTATTTTATCGAAAAAAAGAGTACGCAATAATCTTTGGTGTTTGATTTGTTAAATTTATTACAAAAGCTTCCATATTTTAGTCATATATACTTAATCTAATTATAATATGTGTATGTAAGTAAAAAAATTGTAGCTCCTCCGTTCATCATTGACGCTTATTGCGATGTGGTTTCAACTTTCTTGGCATTATCCTCTTTGGATGAGGGGCCCGTCTGTGTGATTTGCACCAGGCGTTCAGATGAGGGCGGTGGCAACTTCTTCATGGGTGCCGTAATGGTCAGCAGACCATCCGAGGAAAGCGAAGAGGTGACTGAGTCTGGATGAACATCACCTGAGCAACAAACAAACAAAGTATTTATTCAAATGAACATCCAACAGGCCAATTAGAAGGCAAATTTGATTTTGATACTCACTTGGCAGTTGGTAACGTCTGGAGAACTGGCGTGAGACAAATCCATGCTCATCCTGCTTCTCCTCGTGCTTGCCCTCGACAATAACGAACTTGTCAGCCACCTTAACCGTAATCTCATTGGGCGAGAACTGCTGCACATCCAGAATAACCTCGAACTTTTCGCTGTCAATGTTGAGCGTGGAGCCGGATTCCTGCTTTTGCAGACTGTTGGCCGAACGCTGCCAAGGGCGCAGATAACCGGACCGCAGCATTGTGGGGCGGGAGCTCCAAACGGATGACATCAGATCGTCACGCTTGAGGCCCTGGCCAAAATGTTGATCCAAGAGGCGCGAGGTGCGCATTGGAAAGTCGAGCTCATCCCACCAGTCGCGGAACATTAGAGGAACTACGGACATCTACGTGGCGTGAGAAGAAGAGAAGATAAAGCTAATGGCAGTTAATGCACATCTTCGGTTAGTCAAATGAAATCAAATTAAATCACATCACTCCAATCACTTCACAACTAGTGTATCTGATATATGTTTTTATTTGTATTATTCTTGTCATTCCATGTACCTTTGCTAATTGATCACTTTTGAATTTCTCGCTTTTTTTGCGTCTATTCCGTTTCGCGGCTGAAGCGTTTTTGTGGTGCTTTTCAAAAATCTGGCCAGCTTTATAGCAACATCTCACTGTTTACATCTTCTATGTGCTAAAAATATGAAAATGTATTTGCTATCTAATTTTAGCCGGGCGTCATCCATATGAGTTTGCACCCACAAGCATTATATCTTTATGACTAGATCTGTATATATCGTATTTGGGCCCAATATATTATCGTACATAAATTGTATACCCTGTAGCAAATAATTAAAATTAATTAACAATTAAATGAATCCTAAACTTTAATTAATTCATTTCAATTTGAATATTATTTCTAAACTCAAATGGTTGAAGAAAACTTGTGCGCAAAGATTATAAATATTTAATACTGGGTATGGAATATTTGTGTACTACATCATTTTAAAAGAATTTGCATGTTTGTTATTTTGTTTATGGGGGAGGACATCGACGCCAGAAATGACGTCGATGCATGGAAAATTCTATACACATTTTAAATGATCCACAGACCGTTTGGGAAATGGTGTTTGAAATTTAATTTATTTTCGCAAAACTTTTTTCAAATGCAATTTTTGGTGAGGCTTCATTTAGCAAATTGATACAATTTAACCATATGGCAAATACTCTTAAGCAATTATATATACAGTGAGTATATATATATATATATATATATATATATATATATATATATATATATATATATATTCAAACATTTCTCAGTTGCCATGATTAGCCAACGTCTACAATTTTGGCCATAATGTTTGTACATGTTTTCACCGAACCATTTTGGAGGCAAAGACCAGAAATTGCCAGAACGTATTTACGACTCTTGTTGATTTTGTTTTTCTTTTAAAATAAACACCTACATTTTTGTTACTTATTTATTCGCTTGGAGGAAAACCTGTTGAAATTTTTGATGCCACTTATTAAAATGCTTTGGCAAATAAATGAGTTTTCAAACTATTTTTGGCATCTGCTGCTGAGTCACGACGCGTCTCTTTTGCTCAGACAAACGCTGTGACGTACAAAATATGCCATAATTGTTTATTATTGTTTAGTTGAAACAAATTATTACTATGCTATTTACTTAAACATATCGCTTTTCAAGTATGTTTTAGAGACTTACATGGTTTTAATTAAGTTAATCACAATTTAGGAGTGTTAAAATATAACTGCCAGTTTATAAATTGTAATTTTAATAGAATGTATTTATTTCATATAAAAAGAAACACCCTGTTCTTTTATGCCCTGCATCTGCAGCCCCCAAAATGGTCCACAATTCACGCATGTGTGTGTGTGCGTGTTGGATGGTGGTAGCCGATGTAAGCTCAGCGAAAGCCGAGTGACGCCCAAAAGTAGGCCAAAGCCAAAAAGGACGCCAATTTGCCACAGCACATGCAGCTGTGTCTGTGCGATATTATCGGTGTGCGTGTGTGTGTGTGTGTGTAACGCGTATATGTATCGGTGCGTGCTTCGGTAACTGTAAATCGTCATGTGATACGCGAAAAAGTGGCGAAAACATAACAAAAACCGCAATTACGAAACGCAACGCAATGCAAAAGGTGCGACCAAATAAAGCGCTGAACGTTTTTTTGTGTGTATTTATTTTGGTGTTGCCTGCTTTCAGGCGCTGCCCGTACCGATATGCCTGACCAGAACTGGGCTTGGACATGGATGGTGGTTACCCATGCTGCTGATGCTGCTAATGGCGCTGACGCCGTTGCACGGCAATGACGAAGGGCATCTGAGTAAGCGCTACTCGGACCAGAGTGTGCACGGTTACATGACTGAGGTACATATATAAAAATTTTCGCCTATTTCAAAAGAATTCTAAATATTTTGGCCATCTGTGTAGCGCACCTGCTGGTGGAATGAGGTGTGCAAAGAGGAATTTCAGAATCTCTTTCGCTGCAAATGCCCACAGTACTCCTACTGCCGGTAAGAGGTGATTTAACCTAGTCATAAAGACATTATATTATAACAGTTACTGTGCTTAAAGCTCGCCAGGACGATATTACAATGCATATTGCTCCATGACGGACACCGGCTATATCTGGACCCAAATGGCGTTGGGCACCGTTGAGCGTTGAGCGCGTGACGTCAAACATATCGCAGCAGCAGCAGCAGCAATAACAAAAGCAATAACAACACTAAAACGAAAACGACAAGAGCACCAACCGCAGCTACACTGACTGTTGAAAGTATGCAACCAGTTACCAAGTGGCCTACAACTTAATATTCTAAACAATCGAATGCCCATTTGTTAACACTAAAGTAGACTAAACACACTAATAATGCGAGAATACTTAATAGTATTAATAAATTGATTATAATTAAAACAAATATCCACACGAAATAAATATAAACTCGATTTATTTCAAATCACTTTGAACGAGCCTTGTACACATTCATGCAACTGTGAGTGTATTTGTATGTTGTGTTGTCGATTTGTGTGAATATTAAACACAAAAACAAATAAACATTCGCACTTAGCCGCCATATTGTTGTCTGACTTTTTGCGCCCATTTTTGGGCAATTGGAAAATCGATAAAAGGCTTTTAAATCAAAACGCGTATGGCTGTGTGCGTGCCACAGTGGTGGCAACGATATGACTGTGCAGCAGCCATATGAAACGCATCGGTTTCGGTGTATTCATCCCACTGTGCTGGCGAGGCGCATGCGTTCGCAATGAAAGCGAAAAGCGTAGGTGCTGTGCGTGTATTGGCCCCGAGCCAGTTCAGTTATTGCCAGCTCAACATATAGACAACTCCAACAGATGTTAAGGCTACCAACACGATTGCCAGCCAAGAAAATCGTGAAAAATAAATCGCAAACTATAACTGAATAAATCGTGCAAATAAACGGCAGATCTTCAGAATGCGACACGTTTCATTTGTAGCGCTGCTGGCGCTTGGCCTTGGTGCACTGACTGCCGTCTGTGGCAACCACCTGCCAGAAGCGGCTGCCTTAAATCTCAATGAAAGGTTCTTTGACGAGGTCAGGGAGCTCATCAAGCGCCGCATGGAGGTAAGTTGCGCCTCTTCAATCTCTGCAATTTGATGCTAACCATCCGTTTCTACTTATATTGTAGACCAAGCAGGTGCCGTTGGTGGTCGATGAAGTGGCTCTGCAGAATCAACGGAGCTATGACAATGTGCCCATACCTGCGGCCAGTGTGCCTGTGCCAGTGCTCGTCGAGAATTGGCCCACCGATCAGCACAGTTTTGGACAAGTCACTGCCGTCTCTGTGGATCCCGAGGGTAATCCAGTGATTTTCCATCGCGCCGACCGCTATTGGGACGTAAAGTAGGTCAACAGCTGTCCAGTAACAAGTGTTTGTGTGTACATCACAATTAATAAATGATTGTTCGTGGGTGTGTCGCTTGCAGCACCTTCAACGAGAGCAACATTTACTATCTCATCGAATATGGGCCCATTAAGGAGAAGACCATTTATGTGCTGGATCCGAAGACGGGCGCCATCAAGACTGGCTGGGGCTCCGATATGTTCTACATGCCGCATGGCATGACTATTGATGCACACGGCAACTACTGGATAACCGATGTGGCTATGCATCAAGCCTTTAAGGTTGGTTCTCGAGTCCAATATTTAAAATGTACAGTACATATATTAGACATCTTAAATGCATCAGACACATATTGAGTATTATGATCTTAACATAGAATTAGAATTATTTTTAATAACTGAAGAGTTCTGGCTTGCCAACGATCACTTGATAATTCTCTTCTCGCAACAGTTCCGGCCCTTTGAGAGCAAACCGCAGCTTGTGATTGGCAAGCGTTTCCGGCCTGGTGGCTCCGTCAAGCATCTGTGCAAGCCAACCTCCATTGCGGTTGCTACAACCGGCGAGGTGAGTTCGGCTCCCATTCAATCCGCATTCCTGAATTATTTAAATAATTTGTTCTCTTTTTCAGTTCTTTATCGCCGATGGCTACTGCAATAGCCGCATACTCAAATTCAATGCAGCTGGAAAATTGCTACGCAGCATTCCACAGCCACCCGGTGCGTATACGTAATGAGCTTGACCAGAAACATAATTGTATAACTCGATCTATTTGTAGAGTTCCTGTCGTTGCAGGTGCCACACGCTATCACATTGCTGGAACACTTGGATTTACTCTGCATTGCTGATCGCGAGAATATGCGCGTTGTGTGCCCCAAGTGAGTTGCCAAAAACTATCTCTTGAAAATTGAGTTGAACTTAATCGCATGTTGTAAAAATTCACAGAGCTGGCCTTAAGTCATCGCATGGAGAGGGTCAACCTGCCGCCACCATACAGGAGCCGGATCTGGGTCGCGTCTTTGGCGTCAGTAGCTATGGCGATATTGTTTTTGCTGTGAATGGACCCACATCAATGCTACCGGTACGTGGCTTCACCATAGATCCACGCTCCGAGGCCATTATCGGCCACTGGGGCGAGTTTAAGAATCCACATTCTATAGCCGTCAGCGTTAATGGTTCGGCGCTGTATGTGACAGAGACGGGCACCAACCATCAAACGAATCGCGTTTGGAAATATGTCTTGGCTTGAGGCATTGGTCACCAAATCACGCACACTGTCAGCACCCGAAAGACTCTGAAACACGAACGGCATATCCAAAAAGAGAAAACAGTTAATAGCAGTTATGAACTACCAGAATATCTATAGATCCCAATAAGCCGGTCCCCTAAAAAGCAGCAACAGAAAACCAAATAGTAATTGTGGCGAAAACACACACGGACACACACAATTATTTCATATGATTAAAATCAATAGTAGTAATTATTAAAGTACAATATAAGTATGTAAATTGCTTGACAAACAAATACCACAACAAACATAACCTCAAAATTTATGTTTTGCACTGTAATGAAGCAAATGGAATTACAACGCAGCTTATCTAAATATATAACTATCAAATACGTAAATATGCGTGGGCGTGAGAATTACCAATGCACCATTGAAATGCATCTAAAACTTATATAAATAAATCACTTACAAGTATGTATCATATTGTAACCCGCACAAATATATACATATATATATAAATGTGTACTATATCTTTATTATATTATAATCCATGTAAATTATGTATGTAATAAACTGTTGTTGTTGTTGTGCATATATTAAAGCCTACACACAAGAAAAACTATTAAGGTGTAATGAACTCGGGACATGATTTAACTTAAGGCTATTCCGGAATGCTTACAACTTGCGGGGGGATTCCCCAATTAATATGAGTGCAGCTTTGACTAGACAAAGCATTTGACTAAAATACATCGGCAAGTATATATGGTATATATGTCTAGATAATATATAGATATTGATATTGGGAAGATATATTCGCTTAAAATTAGCATGACAAAGTCAACAATTTACCCTTAAATAACCAAAAACAATTATAAAATCTTATTCTGAACATATACAAATATAATATGAAGGAGATACAATAAGCTTAACAATACCAATAGAGGCACTAAGAGGCACTTAACCAACGCCTGGCAAATTCGAGGGTATCATTTAGTTGCCGCATCCATTCGACGAGTTCAGACTGCGTGTCGGCTGCAAAAAATGCCTCAGAGTTGGGACACTGCAGCCAGAAGCTACGGGCCCGTGCACACAGCTCGCGTGGCGCCACATCCAGTTGCCGCTGGCGGCAATCAGCTAGCTGCATGGCCAGCAGCGGTGGTTGCTCACTGAGATTGTGTTCGTGCTGCCAAACGGAGAGACACAGTCCGTTGAGCGTGCACCAGCGACGATTCCAGTTGTGTTTGTTCCGCGGATCCGTATCCTGCACGTTAAGATAGCCAGAATATTGGCTCTTTGGCAGGCGCAGCTCGACGCGACCGCTCAGCGAAATCTGTGGCAGTAGATTCGAGGATTTCGTGTGGGGCGTCAGCGGCAGCTGCCAGGTGCGTGAGGCGCGCAGCCACAGCTTGTCACTGGGCTGGGTTTCATTCATCACCAGCTCGTAGGGCCCAAGATCGCTGGCCTTGAGCATGAAGGATGCGTGTAGGCGAAAGCGCGAGACGATCTGATCACACTGTGAGGAGTTATTGGAGGAGGCGGAGCCAAGGCTGCCACTGCCCCGTTTCTATAGATAAGGATCAAGTTATGAGTACAGATGTGCTTATAAATCCTTGGCCATTACTTACCAGCAGCGTCTTGGTCGGCTCTAGCGTCAGTGTTGAAACCTTGCGCAGACGCAGCATAAAAATCTGACAGCGCAGCTCCATTGCCTCCGCTTGACCAGCACTAAAGAACTCCAGGCCACAATCGCGAAAGATTGCAGCTCCATTCTGGCACTCGATCGATTGTGTGGAACGTATGCGACCCTCGCACTCCATGGTGCATATGTAGTAGGAGTTGAAAAACATGTCCTGGCTGACATCAGCCCTCACCGGCAAATGCAGAGCATCAATGAGTAGACACTGCATTTGCTGCCTGGCTGCCAATGTTGCCTCGCTTAGCACAGCAGCTGCTGCTGGCGGCGCTTTTTTGCGCAGCGTGGTGAAGAGAAGCAGACGCTCCGCTTCCACCATTTCGGCTGAGATTTCCAGCTCGGGCATTTGGCGACAAATGCTAACTGCCTGTGCGAGCTGCTCATTTGTGGTCAGTGACTCGTTGAGCAGCGAGTCCAGATTCAAGGTGGCATAATAGGTGCTGCTGTCCAGTTCGCCTTCAGTTTGATTGGATTGATCTCGCGACAAGCTAAGACTGTGCGTCAGTCGTTGCTTCTCGGCCAGTAGGAAGTCCTTGCCCTTGCGATAGGAACGACGCAGTGCATCCTTGAGGAGGCGATAACGCGCCAATGTGCTCACCGACAGCAACTGGCTGTCATTGGGCGGCCTCTCGGCAAGCTCGCTGAGGCTGCTGTGCGCATTTTTCACCTGGCTGGGCATCGTGGGCTGGTGTGGAGTCGTCGGGCAACTGTGGCTGACAGTTGGTGGACGACCTGATACCGTAGGGCCATCGTTTATATCAATGCTGAGCTCACGCGAGGGCTGAAAAAAGGGCACAACGCAAGCAATAACAAATGGATGCTAATCATTAACAAGTTGAAGCTGAGATTAAAGCAAAGAATCAGCAGGAAAGGTTTTTTTTTTGCTGTACAGCTAATTATGCGAGAAGCTTATATTTGTAATGTGGTTTATGGGATTGATGATTGTGTACAGTGAATAAATACAGTGTGAAAAGTCATTTATGCTAATAGGAATCAACAAAAATCTCTACCTTAGTCGTAAAGCGCTGATTCTGCTTCTTTGGTGTGCTCTGATTATCAAAAGACGGAGGCGGTGGCTCAAGCTGAACCGATCCATATTGACTGCCAGTAGTGCCGCTGGCATTGCCGTCCTTAATGATATAGTCGCCATAGATTTCATTAGGCATATCATAAGAGACATCATCCGCATTCGAGCCCCCAGCGTCTGCAGACGCAGTGAGGCAGGTCTGCAAATAGTTAGATTATCGAGTTATAACGAGCTGGAAATGTTAGTTTAACTCAGCGCTTACATTTTGCACCTTCTCCAGCCGCACATTATCGTCATGATCCAGCACCATTTCACTGCGACACAAATTCTCCAGAAATATCTCACTACGCTGCAGCGAAAGTTCCGATTTGGACAGATTACGATTACTCTTGGGCGGCGAATGCTTTTCTTTTATGTTGTTCAGCGACTGATGCATCGGCAATGTCGGCTGCTCGGATGCTTGATTAATAGACTTTGATGTGGACACCGTATAGGATGTATCGCTGACCGGCTCATCTGGCAGCGGCATAAACTGAAAGAAACTGCCATTTATAAGCGATTCCTGTAGAAATTGGCCCAACGGTCTGGGCTGTGCCGCAGTCTTCGTCTGTACTGGTTTCTTGGCCTTTTGCACTTGGGCATACAATGCGTTTGGATCTACAGTTTGAGGCAGAGGCGAAGAAATGGGAGTTGGCTCGTCTATTGTTGCCGTTGTTGTCGGTGTGGACGTGGGAGTGGGTGTCGGTGTCGGTCGCACATCTTGCTGGGCAGCGGTTCTCACATCGAAGTGTGGACTGCCGCTAATGCGGATGCAGTCCTCTTCAATTTCTGAATAAATGGGCTCCCGGTCAAGATCACGACGCTGACGCAGCGCTGTTGTTGCCGGACGCACGAGCACTTGAGTGCTGGATCCATCAGTACAATCGAAACTATCACTTGGCAGTTCCGTATGCTCCAAGTGGGGGAAATGTGAGCACTCCTGTAAATATATTTAAATGTTTCACATTGATATTCAATTGCACAGCAAATTATAGCATCGCTTGCGAAAAAATATAGGTCAATTACTATGTGTTAGCATACAAAATGTTAGTTTTTTGTGCAATTACAAAATACGCGCGCTATCGATAACTAATACCACAATTAAATATCGCCCAGTGAATGGCAATTTAACCGCACACAGTGAATGGCACAAAAACACAGCTGATTATGATTGTATTTCTTTTCGGAAAGAGGAAACTTTAACTAGGTTGTTGCATTTGGCCCTGCACTTGAGTGAAATGTCCAAATCCTCGATGCGACGCTTTAACATGAGCTTACAAATCTTACGTAGCAGTGCATACTGTAGGCGCCCAGCAAATCAAAAAATGGAACAGAGCTACGATTACAATCGGAAATGGATGCTGGCACCGAATATCGAGGCTAACCCATTCCCCAGAATTAAGTTGCTATCGTACAACATACTCGCCCAGGATCTGCTAATGGAGCATTTATTTCTGTACGTAAATATAAAACCGGAGTGGCTGACCTGGCAACGGCGATTGAATAACTTGCAACGCGAGATCAGCAAACTGAATCCGGACATACTCTGCCTCCAGGAGATGCAATACAATCATTTGCCCATGCTGGTGCAGCGACTGACAGCGAGCAGCGGCAAGCGCCTCGAGTATGTGTATAAGAAGAAGACAGACTACCGCACAGACGGTTGTGCCATCATCTACGATGCCTCCAAATTCAGGCTTGTGTGCCAGCAAGGCGTGGAACTCTACGATTCAAGTGTGCCGCTGCTGAATCGTGGCAATGTGGCGATTTTGGCCAAATTTCAACTGAAGCAAAAACACTGTCCGCAGGAGGAGCCCAAGGAGGTAATCATAGCCACCACACATCTGCTTTATAACCCGAAACGCGACGATGTGCGCTGTGCCCAAGTGTCCAAGCTGCTAACCGAATTGCATAGTTTCGCCGCGGATCAGCCGCCCGGCACAGGTCAAGGCAGCACCCCTGTGATTCTAACCGGTGACTTTAACTCACCGATAGGCTCGCCGCCCATAGAGTTGCTAACGGTCAAGGATGCGAACGAATCAGCGCTTAACTTGGAGCCACTTGATTATGGTGACTGCACTGCCTCAACGTTTCAGGAAAACTGGATCACCGTTGACTACATCCTGCGCTCCGTCTGCCCGCTAAGCAAACATCAGCTGCAGGTGCTGAGCATCTACAGGTTGCCCACCATTGACTGCTGTGCCAAAGTGGGCAACATACCCAATCACTACCTCGGTTCGGATCATTACGCACTGGGCGCAGTCTTTGCACTAGCCTAGCATTTATATAGTTTCGCCTAATAAAAATCTCTTACGTGTAAATGCACGCGCTTTCCCAGCAGACTTTAAGTTAAGTTAGGGACGTCAAATCATTCAAGGATTAAGTGTACAACATTTTTCGAAAGATGCCCGAAAACTTACCCGAAATGTGCGTAGTGCTCGTTCATCACTGGCTTCCAATTTGGCGCGTATGCTGCCCAGCAGATAGCCCATTTTGGTGATGGTCACATCCTGGTCGAGATCCTTGTGATATGAGCGATATGTAGCGGGTGCAGCTGTGCTTCCACCCTGAAAGTCAAGCTTGCGTGGACGCTGTGCACGCGGTAGCTTTTTGGGCGGCTTTGGTGGTTTGACCTTTCGCTCGAAATCAAAATAAGGCTGCTCCGAGCTATCCTTGTACTCACGCCGCCGAGTGGAGCAGGTGGTGGCTGAGGGCGTTGTCTGTACAGGCGAATGATAGCTGCCTGGCGGGGATTGTGACTGCAAATCCAGTTGCAATTGCGAACTGGAGGTCTGCACACCCACTGTGCACAGTCGAGGAGTGGGTTGTTGTCTTATTCTTTGCCACAGATGCTGCTGCTCCTGTTCGTGTCGGTTGCACTTTTTCGGGGAGACAAAGCGCAGTATTTTCTTTTTGGAATTATTAAGAAAGCTGCGTGACTTGCTGCGCAATCCTGGTCGCTTGTTCCAAGGTGACAGATTGCGCAACTGTTCGCCCCAAATGAATTTCTGACTGCTGCTGTTTTTGTGACCCGTCGGCAAGCGGGGGTATTTAATCGGAGTGTGCTTCTGATCCATATTGACGGCGAGATTCTCGCTAACGCCATCCACCATATCCAGCGAGATTTTGGGCACTACTGGCAATTGCCAACCAATGTTGCCACCTGTCACCACCTGTGGTGCTGGCTGTGGCGCATGTGTCTTGAACTGTGCCTGCTTTGAGCCATCGTAGTTCAGCATATCATTGATCTTTGGCTCTGTCCAGCCGATCATAATCTCCTTCATGGGCTTATCGGCCACAGCGTTCTTTCTGCTCACCATGTGTATATTCTTGGCATAGTGTGCTCCACGCTTGGATTCCACCACACGCTCAATGTCACTCAGCGAGGGGCAGGTGGCAAGCGGCAACGGAACTCCACGCATTGGTTTCTCAACTTCAGCTGCAATTTGAAGGGGATATTGTTAGATTTAAATAAGAATATGGAAGTATAAATATAAATACATTTTGCTATATGATTTTGTTTATTGGCCATTCGATTGTTGCAAAACAATTGTTCCTATGACAACTTTATGATATAGTACCAAGCAGACAGACATATGCAACCGATTAAGAGCCAAGGCCTTAAACGTGTCACTAGCAATTGAAAGCTTTTAGCTATATCGAGTCGTCTCTTGATGGTGAGCAGGAATATGCATAGATATGTCATAGATACATACATCCTCTCGAGTTACACATGTTTTGTCAAGTCAAGAAACCCTTTGCGAAGGGCTTAAAACAATCAAAATTTGTAAGCAAAACGTTTATTTCTATAATTTCTACAATTTAATGTTTAAACTAACTACGATTAGCAACCAGCACCTTCAGTTCATCTATTTTTATTAGTTCTCCTTTAACTTACCCAATGGATAGGATTTACGTGTGCTCTTGGTCTTTGGCAGGTTATCCATTTTAGTTGTTGGCAGCTGGACGCCATGCTTGCGCAGAAACTCATCCAGGACACGTTCGGCATCGCGCACCGACGGCGTCGTCGAGGTCAACGATGATAACGAAATTTTACCATCGAGACTCTGTGCGTTGCGGCGCGGAGGCTTCGGTGGCGGCTGCTCCATATTGCGCGCCTTGAAATTCACCTGGCCAAGGGAGAGACGCTTCTGCAGCAAACGACCACCGCCCCCACTGGAACTACGACGTGAACTGCGACGTGTCGAGTGCAAACTGTTGCCTGTTGCCACACTGGCGGTTGGTTCCGTTCGAAATGCTTCACTCTCCTCCTCCAGCGGTGTCTCCTGCTCGCTAATGTTGGACAATGCGGGCGCTGAGGGCATATAGTCAATGCACTCAGTTTGCTGCATTTTTGGCTTAGGCTTGGAGGCTGTTGTAACTACCGATGCTGCCGCTGTGGAGCGACTGACGCTGGACAGCTTCTGCCTGTTGACGCGCACCTCGGAAATAACGCAATTGTCGCGCAGCTCCTGTATAATGTGTATAAGCGGCGCATCCTCGCCCACAGCACGCAGACTACTCACGGCAGTCATTGGGCCAGGTGCACAAACAGTGGATGCTCGCTCCGTTTGAGCAGCTGGCTGCTGCTTTTGACGACGTGACTGAATCTGGCTCTGGCTCTGCTGAGCATTTAGATTATTCTGGAGCGGCTGTATACAAAAAAACACAGCAAATAACGAATTTTATGTTTAAAAAATGGAAAGGGAACACGCACCTTACTGCTTTCGGGGCGCCTGCTGCGTTTGTGCTGGCGCACGTGCCAGTCACGTGGCGGGGCTGTGGACGCACAGTCGCCGCTGTCGCTGGTGAAGCAATAGCAGAAGCCATTCTTGCAGGGCTTGCCTTTCCGCTCTTGCACCTTGTTGCACAGATTCTGGTTGATTAGATGTGCGTCGGCAGCGATTTGGGGTGGCTGTGGTGCTGTTGCTGCTGCTTTTTCCTCGGCTAGCATTTCTCGATCGCGACTTTGGGTGGAGACGCGTCTGATGCGGCGAGCACGAAACTCGTTAATGCATTCCTGCAAACTAAACGAGCTGGTCGAGCCCGATTCTGCGGAATTTTCTTCCTCCTCCTCCCCATCATCATCATCGCCGTCTCCATCATCATCATCATCAGCGTTGAGCTTGGGGTACTTTGAACCTGCAAAAGTCTGTCAAATGTTGTTTGTTTGTTTACATGAATGCAATTGGCATTTATTAAGCACAAGTATTTGATTATTTTCACTCACCGTGGCCATTATTGCGCTTAGCTATTTCACTGATAAGCCAACACGCCGCAATCGTTTCAAAACGCGACCACAGGTCGAGCTCCACGAACACGTTGCACGTTTTCTAATTCTTTTTTCCAAAGCAAAAGAAAAACGACGCGACGCTGCTGCTGTATTTGAATTGACACTCTCTCTGCCTCTCTCTCTCTCTCTCGCTCTCTGTTGTGCCGCTTCTTCGCCGTTATCAGCCGCAAATTGTGCAGGGCTGTTCGGCTGTGCATTCGGTGCACAGTGTCACACAGATAATAATAATAACCGGTTTTCAATATCTGTCAATGCTTATGCGATTTGTATACATATTTATATATAAATATGGTGGCAATTGTAATAAATTAAGATTAATAATTAACATTTAACAAATGCAAATGTGTTTAAAAATGCTTTCGATTTATGTTTTTGATTCACTCTATTTAGCTTATTTTAACACCGCACCTTCAAATGAAGTTTCGTTAAGTTAGACAACCCTGTCAGTACTAACAGCAACAGAAACAGCTGATATTTGTTCGCGGCGTGTTACGTCGCTTTTGGTTGCGAATATTGAGAAATTTTTTAATAAACACAAACGGCAGTTGAATTTCAATTGAAAATAAAGAAAAACACTCAAAATGTCAAATAGTCATCTGTTTCTCAAATCCGGTTTCCCGCGCGCACCCCTTCAAAACGGAGTGGGCCGCTATGTCTGTCAGCTGCAGCGCCTTACACTGAAATTCTGCAAGAACAACGGCTCCAGCCGTGGCATGCGGTAAGCAACAAATAAAATTGTTTTTTTTTTTGTGTTTATTTACATTAAATGCCCAACATTTATAAATAGAGATTTCATTGAAAACCATTTGGTGGACTTTGCCAAAGAGAATCCAGGCATTGTGGTCTATGTAAAGCCCCGACGCCACCGCGCCCCTGTCCTAGTGGGTGAATACTGTAAGCCAAAGAATCTCCTATAGAAATGACATGTTAATGAATAAATTCGTAAATTCATCCACTCCCTCAGTAAATGGTGATCGCGAGTGGCTAAGCGTTCGTAATAGCACACAGACTGAGATCTCCAAGTGGATCGACCTGCTGAAGACACAAAACGGCAGCTCCAGCTCGTTGCGTCTACGCAAAATGTGGCACACAGATGTGCCATCAATTCAAGGTCCTTGGACGCCATTTCTACTGCGCTCACCCGATGCCCACAACCAGACATATCCCACCAGCGAAGCGTCCCAGCCGCTCGATGTGCCACAAACGGCCACCGAGAAGCTCATCGAGCTGTTCAAGCAGCAACAGTTGGAGGCTGATACCGTCTTGGAGCAGAAGCGAGCCGAGTAAGATTGTGTGGCATGTTAAAATAAGAGGCTTAGTTGAGTTTTATAATTATAATTGTTGCTTTTTATTGTGAAAGCCAACGTAAATTTGTTTTTTAAACAAATAAATATGTATGTGTTTAAAAATCAACTAAACGGCTATAACTTTTATCCCATTACATGTAGTAATATCATAAATATGTGCCAAGAGTTTTATAATTATGATATTGGGTATATCAATTTGATATGTTCTGGGTACATTGAATATATTTGTGTTGCAAAAATATCATAAATAATGCTTAAGGCTATTGACCCCCGGTGCCCTTGGCTTCGAGGTTGGAATACATAATAAGAAATACACATGTTAAACAGGTTTTTTTAACTTAGCACAAAACAACTCTTGATATCTGTGTATTATAACTAACATTCTTCTAACAATATGTTATTAATATGCGTGTTGTGTTTTCTCTTGCGTGGTGGTTAGGTTAGTTTAGGTTAGCTAGGAAACTTGTGTGGAGATCAGAAAAAATGGGTGGTTAATTAAGTACATAAATACATATATGTATATACATATATACGCATCCAATAGTTTGTACAATATCTAGCGAGTATATAATTGCATTTGAAGAGCAGCGAGCTTTGGAGTATCAAAACAGACAAAAAGTATCAAACATTAAATTACACTGTGCACATCAAAGACACACAACAGACGCACACAAAACATTTACAGACAGACTTTTACACACTTATTACATATACAATTACAATATATTGATAATAAAAGTATTTTGCTTGTGGGTTTGCTTATTTGTTTGTTTGTTTGTGAATTCCTTTGGCGAAATGCATTTCACTTACAATCTAAACGACAAAAATGTTAACATTGTCTTAGAATAAATCAATCGATCTGGACGTTTTTGGACTTCTACTTAATAAGTGTTAATAGTGATATCACCAATTCAATTAAAATATGCCTTTTGCCTGCAGAGTTTTCTTTGTTTTTCTTGTTACCTTCCGCTTTCTAACTTTCTTTTTGTTGGACAGTGTAGGCTTTAAACTAGCTTTTTGTATTTCATGTTGTCTTTTTTTCTTTTCGTGTTTTTGTTTTTGGTTTGATAATAGCCCCTCTTGCGATAGCTTTGCAGCATCTGACTGCATTCAGTTCACAAATCACCCGTTTCCATGGCCGAATTAATATCTGCGACAATTTTGCCCATCACCTCGCGATATGGCGAATCTGGTTTGAATGCCGTTTCCAGCAGCGACGCATCGCCAAAGAAATTGAACACATCGTCGATGCGGCCTATTGACTTGTTCGTTAAATGTGGCTGCACAATTTGCTTGAGCGCCTCATGCGACTCACTGATGGACTTTTGCAAATATGCCAGATCGAAGCTGAAGTCCAACTCGTAAAATGATATGATGGACAGTTGTGTGTTCTAGAAAATAAATGATTAATACACTTTAAATAAACGACAAAAATCGATAAAAATGTCAAGTTTACCTGAAATTTGCGCTTAAAGAGCTCCGCATGTTTTAGCTCCTCTTCGGTAAACTGATTGTTTCGATGTAACACTGCAATTTTGATGACGATTTTGATGATGTTTTTCAAGAGTTTCTCAGCTTGCGGCTTGCTGTTCGTGTGCAATATGCACAGCTTGTAGAGATTATCCAAGAGCGAGGCCGTTGTGCCGTCAATAAAAGTTTTCGCTATGTTTTTCGTTGCCATGCGTGATAGTATTTTCTTTTGAGCGCGTAACCCGAAATCGTGCGACTTGAACACATTGTCCGCCATCACAGCTACAAGAGTTGGTTAAACGGGATTACTTTTGGCCGATTCAAGTTCAACTCATTTGAATTGGTAATTGTAAAAATAAACATAAAAGTGGAAGTGAAACTTCAACTGAGGATCAAAACAAAAACGAAAACTGAACTCAACGATCAAATCAAATGTTGTCTATCAGAGCAGTTAAATCAATTACCTTCCAGATTCCAGTAGTCAACGCTCCAGAGCAATAGGCTCTGCCTTAAGCCTGCGACAGACATATTCACGTCTTTTGTTTTACATCCAGTCGCAAGCATGAGAGTTGATAACGAAATTACAGATATACAATATATATTATATATACACACAAGAGCACACACACACACACACACACACAGAGTATATTAGGCTATGTCAACGAAGCGTATCTTTTGATAAAAGAAATGCCTCCTCGAACGTTTCAAGATAGCGTCAACTGAATAATGGGCCGCGAATGCTTTTTACAAGCAAAACATTTTTGTGCTTGCTTTGCTGCGACTTGCTGAATTTTTTATAAGGCTATTCTAACGGCTTTCGTTGCATACTACGTGCCCGCGCCATAAATGGAGCCCTGAGGCCTCCCCCAAAAAAGGGGCGCCTCGCCATTGGCCGTTAGACCAATTTAATTAAGTAGGCACATATGTATGTTTATACAGTATATATATATATATATACTCTCCATTTATATATGTATATGCATATATAGTTTGTATACACATGCATATTCTAGTCCCGCCGTGAAAGAGCCAAAGGTCACGCGATATGCATTGGATGTGGCCCAAGTAGGCAATGGGCTTATAATATGACGCAGGCCCAAGGACAAAAATCCTATCATTTACTTAGCGTAGGCCCAAGCCGGATGTGGGTGCATAAACGGAATTGACGCATCGTTTGGGTTGATTATCGTACGCAACATACAAATGTATATATACATATATATTTATATTTATAGCAGTTACTGTTGTCGTTAAGAATTATTACACATTGCTTGTAGCTTGGACGAATGTGGGTGAGATTGTTGGTTGGTTGGCTTTTTTGTTGTATTATTGATTGCAATAGGCACAGTCACAATCACATACACACTGTCATTCATTCAACCATTCATTTATATGTACATACAAATCCTAGACTCATTTTGGCGCTCAATTAACTGCCCGCCAGCTCACCTGTAATCTCTTCGTTGTTGTTGTCGTCCTAGAAATCCTTGAGAATTCTGTTCGAATGCTCGAGTGTGCGGGAGGCAGGCGAAATGATGACTGGAAATCTCAGTTTGTGGACTAAATAATTTTAGAAATAAGTGGAGTGGTTCATTTATCAAGGAGTGAAAACAACGAAGAAAACAAAAACACGAATTTGCTGTGTGCAGCAAAAAAACGACGCAAAATAAAACCTAATGATGACTACATTAATCGATACCGCATTCAAATTAGTGCCATTTATATCGATATCTCGTTCGGTATCGCACACAATTGCAAAATTCCATTTCGATTTCATTTTAGAGTGACCGCTCACTTCTCACATGTGCATAAAACTGTGTATCGATAAATTGAAAACAGCGCTTTTTTTTTGAATCGACTGGGATTAAATAGATTTTATTATTCACACACCCAAACATATACACAGTTATTTGTTTTTTCTACTGAAAAGCTTACAACTAGCACGGTGTACAGACAGTGCTTACTTATTGGAAGTCTCTTTCGGGTTGAAGGGTATCATAAGGTTTTCTGAAAACGCCTTAATGCTTTCTGGTCCGCGCACCTCCTTCTCGAGTAATGGTAGCTTGGTTACATGGAAGTCCTCGTATAAGTCGGCAATCTGATCCAGATACTTCTCCTGTATCTTAAAACGGGAAGCGCACATGCTGCACGAATTGTGCGACTTCTCCAAAAACAACAATTGATTTACGATTATGTTGTGAACATCGATACCGCATTTGGTCAGCTCCTGGACGAGACGCTCCGTTTCATACAGCGAAAAGAACTCGGCAATACAAACGCAAACAAATGTTGTTTGATCCTGCAAATATAGAACATTAATTAAACACATATATATATATTATATTTTATATTCTTAATTCCTAATTGGTTTTGTATTCATTGCATTGCATATTCACCGGATTCTTAAACTGTTCGTTGACCTGCGTGATGACGCGCAGCATGTCGTCCAGCTTTTGGGATAGTGTGTCCGCATTCACATCGGCCATGCCCAGCATGGCTACGAATTGTGTTAGGAGTGGGGCTAGTTTCATCTTGAGGCGCAACAGCTTACCGAGACCCTTCTCGACAACCTGTGGAAATGCGATCAGGCGAAGCGTGTGTCCTGTGGGCGCCGTATCGAAGACCACAACGGAGAAGTTCATGCCTTTTACCAGCTTCATTACCTCGGCATAGCTCATGGCCTCATCGATGCCGGGCAAGGCATTGATCATCTCCTGCATGACACCCTTGCTGACGCGCAGCGCCTCGTTTTCTCCATCAAAGTACTCCTCGGGCAGTTCGCTGAGACCTGCATTTGGATCGATCTCCATGGCGAACAGATTATTAAAGCCGTTCACCTTTGTCGGCACCTTGGTAAACTTTTGATCGAAGGCATCGGATATGTTGTGCGCGGGATCTGTCGAGATGATGAGCACGGATTCGCGCACCTTCGCCAATTGCACTGCCAAACTGGAGCTGTGGACGGTTCAGCATTGTTTTTCACATTATTATTTTTGTTGCAATTAGCATATGCATTTGTCTGTTTTCCCGTCTTTTACCTGCATGTTGTTTTACCCACGCCGCCTTTTCCACCCACGAAAATCCATTTCAGAGATTCTTGGTCGACCAGGTTTTGCAAGCTAGGTTCTAGGGGCGCTAAATTGTCAACCATATTGTGAAATTCCTATCGAAACACGTAATTTTGTGTAAAAATATTAACAAAGTTTCAGGTGCTGTCTAGGGATGGCAAAATAAATGTAAGATATATCGACTGATAGCCTATCGAAAATATATCGATATTATCTTCTAATCGAATGTATTCGCACCAGCTCAAATTCTGTTATTTTTTCATGAATCGTTAGTTGAATGACATTTCAGACATATATAAAATAATTTTTCCCTTATCTTTCAGTGTTATAGATAATGTTTAATTCTGTTCATTGACCATTCAATTAACTTATTTTAATTCGATTTTGATGTACGGGAATAATTGTTATGAATTAGAATTCTGCTAAAATTCTGTTAAGTGCTCGATAAGTTTAAGTGTTGCTAGACCTCAAAAGTAGTGTTTGTCAGCGCCGCGAATAGCCGTTTTTAGTACTGGACCTGTGCGGAGCATTGATTTGCATGTTTGTTCTGGGCTTTTGACTGTTTAAATGTGTTTGTTTTGTAATTAATTGCACTAATTTCGAGTTTCGAACAAAACTATTTCGAAAAGATTTCCATTAAAATCGCACGAGGAAGTAAGAAAATTAAATTCGGTTAATGGTGTGAAAAGTTTGAGATGAAAGGCGTGGGTACCACCAATACTAGAAAATAGAAGCAAAGCAAGAGATTAAGCGTGTCCTGTATGTACATACGTGTAGGTGTATGTGTGCGTGCGCGAGTGCGCCTTCAGGATTCTGGCTCATGTGCTCAATTTTTTGTTGTTGATCAAATTTGCCGCAATCAAATAATCGCGAGTGTTTTTAAATGTGTTCAGTGTGAATTAAAATGATAACGGTACACACACACGCCTATAAACACTGCCAACAGAAATCTTCGTTAAGTCAGCCGCCGATTTTGCAGCCGCACCTACGTACATATGTCGATATGTGTATATTGTGGGTGGGTAGCAAAGTATAGAGTACAACGGAAAATAGCAGTTATAGTAATAATAATGGACAGATCTCTTGCAATATAAGGAAAGCAATGAAATTAAGAATTCTTTAATAAATAATCGAATTGTAAAAAACGCAAATAAACGCAATACACACGCATTAGCAGCACCAACATATGCACACACACACACAATCCCAAAAAAGAGTGAGAGAGAGAGAAAGCACGGTGCCAAAAAGGAACGTCAAAAGGAAGAAGCAGCACAGCTCAGCATCGGCGCGTTGCGGAAAGATTGAAAATAAACGTGTAGTAGAGAATTTTTGAAGCACACTCCACACACACACATCCATACGCCGCCCACCGCCCACAGCCGCCGAGAGCCCTCTCACACTCACATACACACACACAAACAAACACAGACACACACACACACACATAGTTGACATACATACAAACAGAGACTCGTATGCGCGAAAAGTGTAAGCCGTGCACAGTTGTTGGTGTTGTTGTTGTTGCTGTTGCTGTTACTGTTAGCCGCCGCCAAAGGACGACAGACGCGACGGCGACGACGACGACGACAACGCCAACGAGCACGACGACGACCACGACGGGGAGGAGGAGAAGGACGTGTTGTTGTTGAAGCCAACGCAAATGGCAGACCCTCTAAGCGGGCGCTGCTTTTGAGACATGTCGTAATGGCCAGAGAGGTAAGTAAGAGATTTCTTGCAGGCTAAGCGAAATGCGAAAAGCGCCCACACATACACTTATAAATGTATATGTGTATGTATGAGAGTATATTCATAGTTATGCATTGCTTGTGAATTAAAATATTACAGGCCTTACATAGGTTTGTTGTTGCTGTTTCTTATAACATTCAACTGTAACAGCCGCCAAATTTCCCTCTGCTAAATGTATTGTCGATTTAAAGTTGTTCCCCAATTCTACGTTGAGCTGCGTCTAAGCCCCTGTTAACTGCATTAGTGTGTGTGTGAGTGTGTGCGACTGTCAGTGTGTGCATGCTTTATGCAGTTTCTTCATTTCGTTTCGCTTTGCTTTGCTTTGCGGGTGAGTGAATAGCTTTGACCCAAATAACTATGGTTATACACCCTACTGAATGTGCACATGTAGCTTTTGTTGATGTGTGTGTGGTCTGCGTGTTTATTGTTGGTTTTTGTTTGCAGTGCCAAAATTAACAGTAACAGTCCTATGTTAGAGTGTGTGTGTGTATGTGTGTGTGAATGCAGCCTGCAGCGACAGGCTGAGCCAGCAAGTTGCATTTAATGACACTCCCATATCAGTTGGCTGAATTAGGCTTGTGGGGGCGGTTTAGCAGCATTCGCAGATGACCCACATGTTAATTACATCGCCCACTAACTAATAACATATTCAGTTACACTGAACCTTTGTGTAAATGTTATGCTGTTATGATGAAGCATTATTTATGTATTTTATAAAAATAATTAAATATTTAATTATTTTCTTTTTACATTTGCCGAATAAGGGCATAGTCTGGCAGTAATTTCATAAAAACGTTCAAAACGCCCAGCTTCACATTACTGTTAACAGTTTGGGGGAAATGTTAGCTTTTCTTACAGCTGGCAATGCTGGTTGTGTTGAGAGCCTGATAGAGAAGAGCTGCTGCATATGAAATTGCAATTGCAAAATGTCGTTGCTCTTATTCTATCTCTCTCTCTCTCTCTCTCTGTGTCTTTATATAAATAACAGAATTTAAATGTACAGATAAATGATTTTTTTTTAATAATAATGAAGAAAATATATATTTCTTTTTAGTTATTTCTTTGAGCTCATGCCGCCAAATGTTTATTTAATCTTGTCGAGATAAGTTTTCTGGATGCATTTGATAGATTGAGACCATTTGCACTATTTATTTTCACAACAATTTGTTGATCTCTTTTCCATTTGCATTTGAATATGTTAATGGTGGGATCTTTCTTCCGAAGCTTTGGCTTTCGAGTCTTCTTTTTATTTAAAATTAATTTTAAAATATGTGTCCACTCACTTTTATCGAATATTGAGGATTATAACAAAAGTAGAAAAAGTTTAAGAGAGCAATAAAAACTAAAATGCAAAGTTACATTAATTAAGATATTGGTAAAAAAAACTTTAAGAAAACTGAATGAAACATTTTGTTTTGTGCTGTGCTACTTATGTGCCCATTGCTGTATGTATTTAATTTTAGAATATCTTTTTGACTGAAACTATTTTTTAGCTATTGGCTTTTTATGAGCTAATTCCTCAACTACCGTTAATAATCTGCATTTTATAGCATACTTTCCAGCGCGAGGATTTATTAATTTAGGAATTTCGATTGTGTATAGCATGGTGCATATATGCCGAATGTAAACAAATGAATCGTTCAATTTGAAGGATTGATTTAAAACAAATATTTGCCCAAATCGCTGCTTTGCTTTAATCAGCTGCAACAAAGGGGAGCGAACCAAATGAAAACGAAAGCGAGCTAACCCAACGAACCAATTGCAACCTTGTGCAACTTCTGAGCCTCCCTCGCTCAGCACCTGCGAATGTATATTATATTTACATGTATATATATATATATTTGTATATAAATATATATATATGTGTGTGTGCCTAATTGACAGAGCTTCTGTCATTCATGTAGCATTATAAAACGGTAGCTGGAGTCGGGAGCTGTGTAAAGCTGTGAGCCACTGTGAATCCTGAATACTGAATACTTGTGGAGCGTTCGTGCGCCCGTTTTGTTAGCTGTTGGCTGTTAGCTTTAGCGCGCCCTGATTATATCACATTGAGAATGTAGGCCAAAGCACAGATGTTACTACTAAACACGGATAAACGGAGAGAGACAGAGGGGGAGATAGAGAGAGAGAGAGAGAGAGAGATAAAGAGAGAGTGTGAGCGATGATAAATGCAGTACAGATTGTGTAGAGCAGCAGAATGCGTTAACATTCAATTAATTTACTACAAAATACAGTGGAGCCTCGCTAACTATAACATTTCGATAGCAAAGTTTATTAATTATGTTTAGAGTTCTGCTTGAAATATATAGAAAACTTAATTAACCTAAAGCAGTATTTATATTTAAAATTACTAAGTGTTGTGCTTAAAAATTCGAATTTTAACTTGAGAGCTAATTATGATTTCTCATTAACAGAGCTTAACATTCACACACACACACACACATGCACACAGATAGCATAGCTGCTCACGAGCTTTGCTCTTCCCTTTTTCTCGCTCTCTCTCCATTTATGCGCACAACTTTCGCTCTCAGCAGCGGCTCTCTGTGGTCTGTGTGTGTCTCTCTTCCTCTTTGCATTCGGTTCGTTTCGATTCGGTTTTGGGGGCTGGCAATGCATTTGCAATGCAAACAGCGAATAGCAGCAGCTGCAGCAGTGCAAAACAGTAACAAAATCGCGACGCGAGGACAGAGGCGATTGTGCTGTGTGCTCTGCTCTGCTCGGCTCGGCGATGCTCAGCGATGACCACACGACGCCGTTGACATGAGCCATGAGCCAGGAGCCAGGAGCAGGCAGGCAGCAGACACCAGTGTGTGCCAGGCAGCCAGCCACAGCCAGCCAGCCATCAAGGATGCTACTTTCATTTACGAGCGCTTTTCACAAGCTACGTGATTCCGCTGGCACATTGTTGAAAAATTAAATTTATAACTGGGTGTGACAACTGCAACGGCAACGGCAACGGCAACTGCTGCTGCCGCAGCAAATTAATAATTTTCCACATAAAAAAAAAAAAAAGAATACAAAATAATTAAAGAATTCGTCGTGCTAAATTGTGACTGTGAAATAAATTTGTAACTCTCTGAAAGTGTGCCACACAAACTTAAATCGAACGCAGCACCTGGCCCCTGTCTCAGTCTCAGTCCCAGTTGCAACACCAGCAGCAGCAGCAATAGTAGCAGCAGCACCACCCAATCCCCCCACCAAATGAAAACTCGGCGGTTTCAGGCACACGCAAAGTGGCGCAAGGCGCGCGTAGTAGTAAAGTGAAAGTGCGAAGGTCAACTCTTGACAACTCTAGCGCCTGCCCAGCCCAGCCCAGCCCAGCTGCTGTGGCCCAAAAACCAAAAACCTGTCAAAAATTCAAATTTCTTAACGAGAATAATACGAAAATTAATACTCGGTGTTTTTTTTCTATAATTATTATTGCAAAAGTAGTTTTCAATTTTATGTTTTTCTTTTTTGGTGAAAGTGCAAATCAATTTGTTAAACAAATTTTATAGCCTTACGCGACGAATTTTCCCAAATGGCATTTAAACAACTACAATAAAAACGCGTTTAACTTAGGCATAAGCTTTTTAAAGTTTTATAATCATAATTTTTCTAAAGAAAACAACAACACAAAAACCAGTGCGAATTTTATGAATTTTATATAACAATTTTTAAGCAAAATATAAAAAAAAAATAACAAAATAAGAAAGAAAAGAATAATTCAAGATAAAAAATAAATAAAACTATTGTAAAATGTTAATTTCATATTGTTGTATGTGGTGCAGTGTTGTTAATGTTATTGTTGTTGCCATTGTTATTGTGAACTAATTTAATTGGGGGAGAAGTGTTAGTAATCGCTTTAAAGTGGCTCTCAAAGGTGAAACAAGCAGTTGCACCATGTGGTCCAATGCTCTGTGCACACTGGGCGTGACAAAGCCACTCTGCAGTTGCCTAAGCATCAGACAAGTGGCGGCCGCAGCAGCCGCCGCTGCGGCAGCCAACCAAAACGCTGGCGCAGCCATCACCACAGGACCGACGGCCGCAACAAATGCAGCTGGGGTAAAATTCCAAAAAAAAGAAATAATAAAAATAAAAACATACACATCTAATAACTAATTATCGATATGCATTCCACAAAAAAAAAAAAAACACGCCCCTTTTGCTGCAACAGCAACAGAGGCAGAGCAGCAGCAGCTGATGGCCATATGGCAGCAGACTTGACCTATCCCAATATGTGCTTGCAGCACAAATACATATACATATATACAAAAAGTTGGCCTCTTCCGCTCTCTCTCTCTCTCGCTCTCTCTCTCTCTCTCTCTCTCTCTTTCTTTCTCTCTGTGTGTGTGAGTGTTTGTGTGTGTGCGTTTTGTGTGTAATACTGATTAAAGTATTCCACAAACTGCAATTTCAATCCCAACTCAACTGACAACTCCAATTTGACAAACGAAACTTTTTGCAAACGTCAAAAAGCATTTCGAATCATTTTTCATAGTTCTTAACTTGGGTTGGGTAAATGCATGTGTACATACACATATACATACATAAATACATATGTACTCTTTTTGTTTTTTTTCTTCTTTTTTTTCGTTGTTATTCAGCTCGTGCGCTGCACTCGTTACTGGGTCACTGGAGCGCCACACTCATGTCCTTGCAATACATTAAACATGACTGCTTCTGCTGCTCTTCTTCTTCTACTTCTACTATGCAGTTGTTGTATTTGTTGTTTGTATTGATGCTGCCTGCTTTCAGTGAAAGCTACTCTGTTAGCTAACAGTGCGCTGTAAATGTACAACAGCTGTGACCGCTGTTATAACAAAACGAAACCTTAAAATTCATTTCGTTTTGCTTAATATCAATTTTGAATTGTTTTTTCGCTTACCAATTATGTTCCATGTGCTTGAATGTGTGTGCGTGTGTGTGTGTGTGTGTTGGCTTGCACATATACCCTAATCTCGGCCAGATCAACTGGAATATCAGCTGCAGCTGCAATTGCCACGAACTGAAGCTGGCAGCGGCCTTGACATTTGCGCCCTTCTTTTTTAGCGACTACAAGCCTCAATTATTAGTGCAACTTGTGATGCTGCCCGGGCCTGCCACACCCACTTGTCACACACACACACACGCAAGCACACACACACAGGTGTCACACCCCCATGCCCGCATACATGCATATGTGAGCATACATACATATACATATAGGAGCATAATCCTCTTGCTAATCACGGCAGTAAACACTGGCTATGTACAGACCTGATGTGGTATTGTTTAATCTTATAATGATATGCTGGTATATTGTGCATTTACTTTTTGCTACGAAAATTCAAATTAAAGCCTTATCTTTAAGAGCATGTAAATCCCATATTTCATTCTGTTTATTATCAAATCGCGTCCAGAGACCAATTTTCTTTGCTAATTAAATTTGATTTGTGAATAGTTGAGCTGTTTGTTTGACAACTTTACTTAAGGCTAAATTGTGATTATTGATCATTTATGGACTTGTTATCCACAAGGTAGATGTTGAGTCAGCTTAGGTGCTTTAGCAAATTACTATTAAACTAAGCTCGTCATACTATACTAAAATAAGTGTGCTATTACGTATAATTTTTGTTAAATTAAGTTTATAGAGATATAGTATATTGAGTTTACCACTCCTAGGATAACCTTATTGAGCATTTTGCCCTATTAAGATGTTGCGCATTCTATTCTTACTTTATTAAGGTGCTAACCTAACAGAGGGCATCAGCTTTAATATTGATATGCATATTTATCTTGTTGCAGGAGTCTCGCGGCAAGCGACCACTGAAAATTTGGGATAGTTGGCGGAATGTGCGCAAGGGCGTCGTAGTGGGTACATTTGAGGAGCTATTGGTGCGTGGCAAGGACAAATTGGGGGTTCCTGCTTCAGAGCCCGTGCGCGTTGTTCTGGAGTGTGATGGAACCCAAATCGAGGATGGCGAATACTTTCGCACCCTGGCCAACAATACGGTTCTGTTGCTGTTGAGGCAAGGCGAACGATGGTATCCAACCGGCGTGGATGTCATAAAGGCTGGTGAGTGTCATTTGCCTAACCTCTTCCCTCATAATACGGACAGTTTAAAGACGTTTCATTTGATTTTCAGCTATATCAGCTATACCGAAAATCGTCTGTGAGACGATCCATGCCTTGGAACTGCACGATGAGACACCATCTTGGAAGATTATGGATAATAAAGGGCGTGTCACGGTCGTATTGCACTGGGATCAGCGCCAGGGCGGCGGAGGAGGAGGCGGAGGTGGCGGAGGAGGTGGTGGTGGTGGAGGAGGAGGTATGTGTATGGGCCCCGGCCTGGGCAGCAGCAATGGACTGTTGTCATCCGACAAGTATTCACCCTCGAAGAAGGGCCTCTCAGCACAAAGTTCGCTGGATAACAAATCGGTGTCGTCGCAGTCGTCACAGCCGCGATACGCCAGCCCACAAATAACGGTCATCAGCGATGAGGGACCGGCTAGTATTTACCATCCGGGTGGCGTTGTCCTGCCACCGGGCGTTGTGATACCTGGCAGTAGCAGTCGTCGGCTCTCGAAGCAGGGCGGCTCCTTCGATAGCGCCGTGGGCGCCGTGCATGTGCATACGCCCGAGTGTGCACATCATGCGCACACGCCCAGCCGGGCGGGCAGCCCGAGCACCACGGAATGCGATTTCCATTGCTGTGCGCTGCACGAAGAGGGGCGCAAGATAGCCGTGCACAAGAGCGTGGCCACGTCGCCCATACAGGACGGCAGCAGCAGTCCGCAGCCGCAGCTGCAGCAGCAGCATCATCAGGCGACGCTGGCAATGTCGTCATCGGTTATGGATCCTATGCTAGGCGGCAGTGGCAGCATGCAGCGCCGCTCATCCGGCGCCAAGGGTCATGTTCGCTTCCTCGACATTGCACCCGAGCGCGATAGTTCAGAAAGCGAGACGGAGAACACAGTGATGGAGGATGATAAGACGACGACGGAGAAGTTTCTGCTGCTCATTGATCAGCTATCTGTCGATCAGAAGCGCCATCTCAGCATCAAGGACATCGGCATCATACTGGAGCGCCTCAACTCCAAGATACTCGACGTGGAGCGTCTGGATCGCGAGTCGGAGTCAGATGATTGCTACAACTGGACGATAAAGGCGACAATACGCGGCGATGCGCTGCGCGAACTGGGCGTCATCTATAATGGCAACTACTATGCCATTTCCGAGCATCCTGGCTACAAGGAGGAGCTCGAGGAAAACGGCGAGGAGGTCGAAGAGGAAGACGAGGAGGATAGAATTTAAAGCAAAACAAATAAAAATTAATACATAAATCACCAAATGGTGGCAAATGGAGAAAAGTAATCGAAGTAAAGAATGCAAGAGGTATCAATAATTAGCGCATTTTAGACAGGGCCGGACGCACAACAGTGCCCCGCCCTCCCCCCACGCAGATACAAACATAAATTCACATACACACACACACACACACACACACACACTTACACACTCCTACATACATATAAAATGAAACTTAATATATGAATTATAAAAACGTAAGTAAAAATGCAAAAAAAAAGAAAAGAAAAGAAACAGCACACTGTACAATAGTGAAGTAAGCAAAAAAGTGAATAACAAAAACAAACAAACAAACAACACAAATAAAACACAACAGAAACAGATGAGAATAATGATAAAAACAAAACAAAAACCAATTGAAAAGCCAATATAAACGAAATAGTTTTCGTAGCATTTAGCGAATTTCTCATTGGCCGGGAACCCATGCGTAACGAACCGTAAATGCACATATACCTTTAAGTATTTTCTGTTATTATTATTATTGTTATTATTTTGGTTATTTATTATAATTGTTGTTATTAGTTTGTGTGCCAAATGGCCTAGTGCATGCCTTATTTAGTTGTAAACCCCACCAAACACACAATACAGTTTCTCACCATATACTTCTACAGTGATCGCCCATCAGAGGAGAACACTTTAATTTGAAAAGTGTTGCATTATTGAAGTTAATTCAGAGTATTAATCTCGAGCGATCACAGTACTGGGAACAGTATAGTATATATCCATTGGCCAAATCAATCAGCTCTAAGAGTGCCAAAGAACATACCTATAAATATATATTTATATATATATATATATATATGTATGTATGTATGTATTTAGTATACATTATTTTATATAGTTCCTCAGTTGAATTCCTTAAAACAGCACATTGGTAATTAATATGAACCCAATTTACTTGCAGTTGTTTTTCATGGCTTCCATATATGTTGTTTCAAGTTCTATTAGACTATTATAAGTAATCTAAAGTTAAACTTTCCCTTGAATCAGCATTTCAAAACTGCCGTTATTTGTAGTGTTGTAAAACGTTAAAAGAAAATTGCGCACAACAAAAGCCAAGCAAACACTTTGGCATTAATCATACTACATATATGTATATGGAAATGAAACAATGATGATCGTCTGGCTTAATGATGATTACGTAATTAACTGTAGTTATACTTACATTGTAGAAACTAAACCAACAACAACAAAACAAAAAAACCAAAAAGAAAACCAAAAACAAAAAGACAAATGGAATCAACAGACATTTATAGCAATGAACACACATTGCCTTGTGAACACACCCCCCCTCCTTCTTTCTTACCAACCCCATCCCAAACCTTTTGCGTTCCTCTGAGTGATCAGTGATGCGAGGATTGTGTAATTAGAGATTAAATAGTATGTCTAAAAAAAGCCAAATAACATATTAACATATTATACATACAATTGAAACACTGCCAACAACAAGTTAAAAACAATACTCGTAACAAAATTGCATTTGTCATGTTATATATTGTTAAACAATAATGAACAACTTTAATTCAATTCAATTTGTTTGGATCATACATAAATAATTCCTCAAACTATTTGTGACTATGTTTTTGTAAAGTGTTCCACGGTGCGCAACAGCAGAAGGTTCTTAGCAAGAACAACTAAAATAATAATTAAAAACAAAACAAAATATAAGAATACACTAAAATTAAAAAAAAAAACAAAAACAAAACAAAAAACGAAGGTATATCACCTTTAAAATGTTATTGTAAAAAATCAAGCAAAAAATTGTTCAAATATTTCGGAGCTGATTGTAATCGTAACACTTAATAAAGCCAGTTTGTGTGTTGTGGCTATATTTCAAGTGCAGATAAGCGTCAATAATATCTGTGCTCAATTCCCCTCTCCACATTTCAATCAATTATAAAAATAGGTATAGCTTATCGGCTGTCTGAAACCAAAACGAACCAGCTGACATTTTTTGATTGACCCAAAAATATATATGTTTTTTCTTATCACCCTTCTACCATTATCTTACCCATACCTTACCCCTCGGCACACATTTGGACAAAAGAACAGATTTTTGATCTACAGTAAAACATTTTTTAAAAGAGAACATTTGTCCAAGGCACAACAAATAAGAAAGAGTATATTAAAATGAAACGCAAACATAGCATGTATGAAATCAAGTCGATAAATGATTGCAAATGATAATAAATACAAAGAGTTATAAAAGAGAATGGAAACCAAAACGAAAACACATTACAACAATAAGAACAAAGCAAACAAAAAGAACTCACAATTAGTAAACAAAACACACAAGAAAAAAGAAAAAAAAATACGAATTCATTAGCGTTGTTTTAATTTGTTAGTAAGTCAACCAAAAAAGAAGAAAATGATAAACAATGCAACACGTGCAACAAGAATGATATATAATATAAGCCGCAGAGTACAGTGGGAGTCATGATCGGAAAGAAGAAGTCGAGTGCTACAGCAACGGGCACTATTATATATATATATATATATATTTATATATATGTATATAAATATATAAAAAGTAAACAAAATACCTATACATACTCAAAGATACATTGCATTACATTTATAATAAGTGAACTCGCAGTATATAACATACAAATTCAAATTTCCATACCGAATTCTGAATACTGAATACTGACTTCTTCAACTGACTTCCATAATCATAATCATTGTTAACACTTAACTATAAAGAATAGCGCTTTAAAAACGAGACAAGTTTGTAGCCCATTGTTTTTGTTAATATACTGGGAGATATCCGTATCTGTCAGAGTTAAGCCTAAGTTCGATACAGTCTCCCTTTAGCTATGATTTAGCCAATCCGATAGTAAACGAGAAATGGAAAGAATACCCCGACTAAACTTTAAACACGTAACACTCTGTATAAATGCAATCAGTTAGATTTATAAGATAAACGAATGAATATGATGTCAGATCCAAAAACGAAATCAGTTGCATTAGTTAAGCTACAAATCTGATGGCTAAGGAAAGTAAAAGGCGACAGTTAGAATGGATGTAGGAAAGAGTGCGGTTGATAGTTGATATCTCCTCTTTGGATGTGGCATGGGAAGTGGCCAAGGCACACAAAAAAGCAAGATTATACGTTACATTGTTTTAATATTACAAATTACGAATAAATTGATCAATTAACATATATACAAGAAAAGAAAAAAAACATAAAAAAAAAGAAATAAATGACAAAAAAAATAAAATAAAATAAATAAATAAGAAAACCAAATAATGAATTGTTTTTATTAATTTTGTTAAAAATGCGAATAAAACTTAATAAATAAACATAAATATACAAATACACATACAAAATGAAGAAACAGAGTAAAGTAAAAGCAAATACAAAACAAACAAAATTCAATTAAAAAGCAAAAAAAAAACAGTTTAATAAAAGAACAAGCTCAAGTTGTGAGAACAAACAACAAAATTTGTTCAAAAACGTAAATGTAAAACATATAAATAAAACAAATTAACACAAACGAGTAAAAGGAGCTATTAATAATAATAACAACAAAAGAAAAGAAAACACACATAAAGCATGAATAACACATTTAAAACATGCTAAAGTAAATACATAACAAACGAATAAACTAAAACATAAACATTCATAAAAACAAAAATTGGACTAAACTAAACATTCACCATGGGTAAAAAAACAAAAACAAAAACAATAAAAATTCGATTACAACAAGAAACATGAGCAAAAGTAAAAACAAAAAGGTTATTTATGAAGCGATTTAAACAATAAAATGAAAAATAAATACAAAAAAATTTAAACAAAATGAAATAATTAATTACTTTGGGCGAGCGGAAGTGAACTCAAAAGGGATTCACACTGAGATCAAGACCAAGTCGATTATTGCACAAACTGTTTATTTAACAAACAAAACACGTTGGTTGTTTTTATTTTTTTTTTTCATTTTTCATTTTTCATTTTTTGTTTCGGTTAATGGTTAACTATATAAGTATTGAGCTCACAACATGTGTATATGTGTATTCTTATGCATAACATTCGTTATAGGGTTTACTGCCTGATCAGTTGGCACCGCGTCGCATTCACAGAATTGATTAAGTACAGCGCTTGAGCACGCAACTTTTTTAAAGCCACTAAAAGTCATAAGTCACTTAAGTATTGCAAGTGCAATTACGATCGTGACTTATACATATGTATATGTCTGTAAGTATAGTTTTATGTATGTTTGTGTGTGAATTGTTACTCAGTCCCATTCAACGACAATTACAAAAAGTGACGAAAGCTTCAGCTTTATCATTTAACTGTCGCAGCCACACACACACACACATCCATATAGAGAAGTACAGATATACATATACATACATTATTCATCAATGTCGGACCATATCTAACGCGCACAAGTTATTCATCATTTACTAGTCTGGTTTTGACTGGCGAGAAACCGATTACTAGTAGAGAATGCAAACATTATTGTCTGATGGGCGATGAATTGTTTGGTGGATGTGGCTGGAGGGGGTTAGTTGTGAACTGTGGGCTGGGCATTTGTTAAGTTAATTGAATTAAGTAACTCACTTATCAGACGCGTGACTAACAACTAATTGTGTGCTTCGATTAACCTTACAGTTGGCATTTCGTTTGTTTTGTCGCCCATTTTCTTTTCATTTTTTTTCTTTTTAATTCTATATCTTGTATTGTTTAGTGTCTTTGTTTTTGTTTGTTTTGTGTATGTTTATGTATATATGTACGTATATGTTGTCTTTATTCGTTGTCGACTTATATAGATTAACAAGTGCATCTAAATACATTAAGTTAGTTGGCTTGATTAGGTTTTTTAGGCTAACGATTAAAAACGAAATCACTACAAAAATGGAGGGTGGTTGGTGAGGGGGTGACGATATCGCGTCAAACTGGGCGCAAGATAAGGAAATTCACAATTCACAATACACATTTGGCTGCGCGATCTGTATACAGGTCTTAGCTGCCTATTCTTTGATGTTCTTGATGCTGCTGGCAGCGTTGTCTTTCAGCTCGGCGTCTGCAGTTTGGTGCTGCTGCGCGTAAACTTCTTCAGCAGTTTGGAGCTCCACTTGTTCGATCTTTTCTTACTCTCCGAATAGGTGGAGAGATTGGAGTTGCTAGCGGTGAGGGCACTGTTCTGCTCCTGGATATTGATGGCGCTAACCGACTGCGCATGTCTCATCGTTTTGTCTAACCTAACACTTCGTGGCGTCGTACTAAAATTAAATTTGTGCAACAGCTTATCCTTGCGCTTCACCTTCAGTTCGGGCAACGGTTCCGTCGTACTGCCCGACATGGACTTTAGCTTTGTCTCGCTTACATTCCAGTCGGTTGAATCTGGGACGTCAGCGCCGTTGATTAGTATGCGCGGCGTTTCCGGTGGAGCAATTGCTTCTGGTGTTGTGGGTCTGCGGTGAGTATTAAATTAGTATGGCTTTTATTATGATTTTGATTTAAATTTAATTCATGAACTTACGTTATTAGCTGCTGGCTTGTACAGTAAATGGATGAAGTATCAACATCCTGCAGTGATCTGGCCAATTTGTCCCAGAAATTGTAAAGAGTGGAGCTGGCTTCATAGTTCACATGCGTGTAGATGGCCAGCGTTTGGGGTATTACCATATTCTGCTTGTACAATATGGGTATAATTTTGCGAGAGTTGTTTTCTAAATGAATGGATGGGTGGATAGTATTTTAAATATGCATGACAATTCTCTAGTTAGTTAGTCAATTGGAGTACTTACCAATTTGCAGCTTTTGTGTAAAATTCACTAGAAATGTGTTCTCGCGACTTCGGAGAAACTCCTCGGTGAGAACGACTATCAAATGATTGCAGCGTGTGGCCATGAAGTGCGACAGTTCCACGTGTTCAAATGGCACACCCAACAGCAGATCCCGATGCCTCAAGAATAGCTATCAGGGTTTATTACATATATATTTAAATAGAGTTCTTGTGGTTGTTGTTTTTATTTTGGTGAAAAGTTACCTTGAGATTATAGGCCGGAGACTCTAGATTATTCATAATTTTGATGGCATACTCAATGTCCGCCTCCGCATAGAGAACACAGGCATTATAGCGGGGCAAAGGTTGTCCATTTTGCATGCACTTTTCATCATCAAAGCTGAGCAAATTGACATCACGCGCCAAGGTGTTGTTGTTATTGTTCTCCACGCACTTGTCAGTTGGTGGGGGACTGTCGCGCAATTGGGCCAATTGCTCCAGTTTCTGTTGCTTCACATTGTAGCGATCTGTGTCCTTGACTAGATATGTAAATGATTGGAGTTATATGTACTGTTGGAGAGAGAGTTAAGATGATTATGTGTTAACCCACTCAGATTCTCCTGAATATCGTCGCGCACATCCCAGCGATCGATGATGCCCAGAAACTCCTCGAGATGACCCACCTCGGCCGTCTGCGGATTATGCTTGATCCAATTACTGATAACCAGATCCATTGGCATATTGGCACACTCATCGACAAATTCACGCTGACCCGACAGCGACGCAATGCCCCGCCAGTCGCGCTCGTAACCCTCCTCGGAGCGGAGCACCTTCTTGCGATTGAGCATACATGCCAGCTGCCTGCGCGTTTCGCCGCTCAGCTCCGTTAACGGTGTTCGGTTGAAGCCGGTGCTAATGTTGGGCTCGGGCCGCGGTATCACCATTTTCGGATAACGATAACGATCCAGCCGACTGACGTCAGTGGTCGTCGTTGGGCAGGGGGATTGAGAATGAGTACGTGAATATGATGGTGATGGTGATGGTGAATGTGAATAGGAACGCTGCTGATGGCATACAAATTGAGGGCGCATTCGCACTTGCAATTATTTGTTACGACTTTTCACTTGATATTTTTATCAGCGCTCGGCCACACGGGTTATCAGTTGAACAATAAAAAAAAGAGTTGCGCGTGAGTCTGAGTCGTTAATTCTGTGGTTTTTTATTTTTTTACTCAATGTTTACTGATGTTATGCTTTTTGTTGTTTTTTCTGTTGTTGAGTGAGAATTGAATTGTCGCTACGCGTGCGGGTGGCGTGGAGTGAGAAAGGTGGGGAGGTAAGATCTACGGGGCTTTAGCGGGGAGCTGAGCGTCGGAAAACGGCCGTGCGCGAAATGTGCTGAACTGACCTCGAGCACCTCGCGACGCGTCACCGAGCACGACGTCGCTGATGTTGCTGCTGCTATTGTTGTTTATCTGTCTGCTTGTTTTTGATTGTCTCTCTTTTTTCTGTTTTTTTTATGTTTTGTACCGCCTGCGACCCCTGGCCAGGTTTGTTAGTCTGTCTGCGCAGATGATTTTGTTTTTAAATATTTTCATATAACACACATACACATACAAACAGCAGTTGCGTTGACAAACGAAGCGACGCGACGCTGGCGGAGCAGTGAATGTGCCTAAACACAAAAATAAATTTTTTATTGAGAAGAGCGCGACTTGCTTGTTGTTTTGCTGATTCGCTTCTGTTTCTGTTATTTACTGTTACTGGCGGCGGCTGCGACTGCTGCGTTGTCGTTACTCGTTTGTTTATTTAGCTTGTTTGAATTTGACGTTCCAAATGTTTTTAATTTACTCGAGTATTGCAGTTTATTTACTGCCGTTAATTGCTAATTAATTGTGTTCGTTTCCCCATTTTCTGCGCAACAGGCTATTTGCTAGAGTTGTATTGAATCGTTCGGAATAAGTTCGATCGAACGATTCGCTAAACACTTAATGAGCGAACGAAGGCCCTGACCGCCGTTCATCTGGTTCACCTATCTGTTTGCCAACAGAAATGTTACTACCAGCGAGCGCAACATCTGTTAACTGGAAGGCGAGCCATAACATACTTACTACTGATTTACTACATTTAAATTATCTTAATTTATTTGTACTTTAGAGCGCACAATCGAAGACACCAGATATTGAAAACTATCACGCACACTGACTTAAATATTGTAATGTTGCCCATATGCAATGTAAACGGATTTATCATCGATTACCATTCAATAGACAATCGAGTAGGCGCGAACTGTTAAGCACCCATTTTGGTAATCGCAGAGGCAATTCCTCTTAAGTGAGGAGTAAAACTGTTAATGGTGGAGTTCGCTGTTAGATGTAACATACTTAACTAGGTGGCACCGCCCAGCTTGGCGACGATTTTGAAACCATAGAAAACCTATCTGTAGATAAGCTTTCACAATAAAAACAGTAATATTATTAATATTAAGAAAACAAATAATTGCATCTGCCTAAGGTCAAAATGTTTTTCTGAAAGATAATGTACTTTATGAAATGAAAATGCATTGCTTCCATTTAAAAACTCTGTTTATTTTCATTGGTTTTTCACTTTTCTTCAAGTTGCTTTTATTTTTTGTTTCGCATTTCAATACCTTTCAGTGACAAATACTGGTATACTAAACAGGTGACAGAATTTGATTTTCATTTTGTTTATTATTTAAATTTAATTTAGTTTTATTTCTTGTTAGTTGAATTCAACATTTATTGTTTGATGAATATAACGCTGAATGCGTTCAAATGTTGGAATTTCACTTTGAATTACATTTTGATTTCGAGCAACAATTAACAGTTAAGTTTTGCATTCTCGCACACTTTTAGGGTGTTAAGTTTTATTTGATTTTCATTTTATGTACGCACAGTATGAACTAATTTACTGCAATTGTAAACTTTTGATTTACATACGCATCAAGCATTTCATTAATCTTTTATTATACTTAAATTTTGGTATTTACATTTTGCCGCAATTCGCTTTTTGTGTGTACTTTGTAAATAATTGCTCAAACTGGAGATTGCGCATCAGAGATTCTCCTTCTTCACTTGCCAAGCTAAGCTGAGCTGAGCTGAGCTGTAAAATATGGGAAAAGAACATTCGGATCCTACAATTCTGAGCTGATTTCTGAATTCTGATTTCAATATTAATGCTTACAAAGTAGTTTATTATTCGAATGTCTGTGTTTTTGGTTTCACTTGTATTGTATTGTATTGTATAATAATTCAGCTTACATTTTATACACTTAGCATTTAAGTGCTATTAAGTTTTCATCATCATCTTCAATCATCAACTAAATTAATTACGCTCATTGTATTTGTATGTATATATTATAGTTATATGTTCAATTTACTAATGTTAAATGCAATTACAAAGTACTTTGTTTTTGCGAAATTCCATTTCATTTGATTTTATATTATGCATACTTCTGCTTTGCCTTGAGCCTTATACAGTTCGTCCCTTCTCATGTGTGGGAATTTTGAAAGATGTTGTGTGTGTGCGTGCGTGTACGTGTGTGTGAATATGCATGCTTACTTTCAGCTTTAGGGTGTGTGTTAATATGTGTGTGCTTATGCATTTATGGATTTTGCAATGCACCTGTCAAAAATGCAAATTTTACATATGTATGTGTGTGTGTGCTGCAGTTAACTGAGTGTGTGTGCAGATGTGTGTGATGTGCGCGTGTGTGTGTGTGTCTGTTATTCACTATCATTTTTGATGTACTCGTATCGCATTTAACTTTAGTTTCTTTGCTTATTTATTTCTTTGTTTATTTCGATTTTCAAAATTTATTTAATTTAAAGCTTTTCATTTACTGTTTTTTTTTTCATCTATGAACTTCGTATTCCAAAAAATGAGTTGGTTTTTGATTTTATTTAATAGTTACTAGCAGTTAACGTTATTGACATCGATTTAGTTTGTTTTGTTTATCTCAAACTAATTAAATTTGCAACTCGAATAGCTTAACCCCGAGTTGCTTTAGATATACACAATTATTATTATTTTTTATTATATATATGTATATGTAATATTTTCATTTTGTTATAATTCTCACTTTCGATTAGGCACAATCTTACACAAAAATTCGGGCTGTTTTTTTTTTAAATTTCTTTTTCTTAGTTTTACCATTGACGACCTCCAACGTTTAGTATTTAGCAATTATCAATTGCGCTTGTAATAAGTACTTTTTTCTATTTTCCATTTCCCTTGTATCCAATTCTTAAGCTGGCTGAAAGATAAACACAATTGTTGACTGCATGCTGTGCCTGAAAATTGAGCTTTTCATTGCTTTTGCGGCTGAAACCGATAGAATATACATATGTATGCTTCAAGCTAAATTTACTTTAAATTAGCAACAGAGTAGACACATACACACACACACACACACACACACACACATACACATACAATTACATACACAAAAAACGTATACTTACTCTCACATACACACACACATACATTATAAAATTAACACACTCAATTGAAGCTGCTTTTGATTTGCATAGCTGAGACCGAATTTCAAATGATATACACAATTTGTATGTATATATATGTATACTTTCAATGATTAACAAAAATACATATATATACATATATATATGTATGTATAATTGTATTGTAGCTTGTACTAAAGTACAGTTATAGTACACATTTATCGTAGTCGCATTTACATTTACAATTGCACAAATTGAACAGTTTCGCGTGAAATTTTGGGATTTGATTTGTAATTGTAACTTATTGTTTAGCTATATTTAAAATTATATTTAAATTTAAATGTAATTCGACAACAAGCTCGTTTTGCACTTAAGTAACGTTTAATTATTTTTCATTTTGTTATTGTTAATGTTAATTGTCTAGTGTCTAGTTTATTTACTATTTGCTATACAACAATTATTTTTATGGCTCATCTCTTTAGCTTTCTCTAACACATTTTTTTGGCACACGAAAACAAGGTGAGAATAAATCTAGTTAATGAATTTGTTATTATTATTACAGATTATGCAATTATTATTGGTTTTGTTATTATATAATATGAAAATTGTGTTCCATTTGTTTTTGTTTTTATTTTTTTTTTAGTTTTCCTAGTTACCATTTACTTAAGAGATACAAAAACTTTTGCTGCTTTTAACGTTTTCACTTACGAATACTTTCAGTTAACAACTTTGTTTCAGATATACATAACTATTGACCAACTATTTTTTTTTTTTTTTTTTTTTTGTTTTGTTTCGTTTCGTTTCTTTGCCAAACACGCTACGCACAAGCCAAGGGAGGGGAGCCTCCTGTGGAGGCAGTGGAAGTGGGTTTGTTTATCAGAATTGTGCTGAAAGTAAAGTTGAGTTTATTGAGATAATAAAGTAAATTAAAAGTGAAGTGAAACCAATGAGCAAACTCTGACTGAACTAGCGAAACCTTTGTTTATCATTAGTTTTTAATACTCTGCAACCAGAGGGACGAGTGGGTAGATTCATTTAATAGATACTTAAGAACTTAACTTAACCTTCTTGGTATAACAAAGCTAACATATTTAGAGCTATAAAATTGTATATTTTGTGTCTTCTTCCAGTTCTTTAACTGGCCACAGAGTATCTTTTAGTCGTAGCCCAACAGCTGCAACTTTCTTAATGGCTTTTCTTTAAAGTGTAAATTATATTTAATACTGATTAATAAGAGCTTGATAAGTAGCGCGTTGACAACACCAACGATGGCTACGTCCTTTTTGTATTGTTTTGTTTTGTTTTGTTTTTTGTTTTGGGACGCAGAAACAGATCGTAACACGTAAATTACATTTAGCATACATGACAATAAATACATTTACAATGCATTCGAACCAACTTTATAAATAACATATTTAGCCCAACAACTGAGGCTTAAACTGGATCACTTTTGATTTGTTACTTTGATTTAGTGTTTTACTTTGGTTTTTATACAACTTGACTAACAATCTGTTAAATACTTGTATTGTGTTTGTTTCTTATCGCTCATATATCTAACAAGTTAATTTTTGATTTTGTTTTAGATTTTTGTTTGGTTGCTTAGTTAGTTAAATCTTCCTGTTTAAATTGTAGTTGTAACAAAGTGTTTTTAATTTGTGCGCATAACTTTTGCAAGTAGGGTATTAGCAAGTAGTGACGACATTTCCTCATTTGAGATACGTTATGGAATCTGCGGCGCTGCAAGCTGCTGCTGCTGCTGCAGCTGCTGTTGTTGCTGCTATGCGTGTTGCTGATGCTGCTGCTGTTGGTGCTGCTGCTGCTGTGCCTGATACAGCAACTGTTGCTGGCGCTGCAGATTGAGTTCCGTTAGATTCTTCATCATCAGCGTGCGTTCCAAATTCTCACGCATGCTGCGCTCGTTCTCCTGACGCACTGACATTGGGAACAGACAGTAAAATAAACAAATTTATTAATATTAGATATGCAGAAGAATTGGTTGAGATTTTAATAAATATAGTTAATATCGTAATAGCTCTAATGGAACAAGTTTTATTATCTTTTTATCACTTCTTTTGTTGCATTTCGTTTAAACTGCAGTTGAAGTAAATGCCTGTTGATGAATTCTTGAATAAAACTTTCATCAATCCAGACTATTTACTTTAAGCACAGTTCAACAGATAGATATATATATATATATATATATGGGTATATATGTTTTATCTCGCGCACAGTTCATATTTCTTTGGGCCATGCCTCGGCGCTTTTGGCCATGATTGCGCGATGCTTTTGTGCATTTTATAGCAGTTTTAATTAAGGCCAAACAAATTGACACGTACCGAATCGAGGGGCGTGGCAAGTGCCATATTGCTTTTACCTCAGCTGGTCTGAAGTGTCAAAATTTGTTTGCCAATCAATCACATGTGGGCAGGCAGAAAGTTGTAGCCAGCGTCTGGTCTGTGGTCTGATTGTGAATTTGTGTCTGCGATATGTTCTGTTGCTCTTTTTTTTTTTGCGAACCTGACAAAGATTTCACACAACATTGTAACACAGCAGCAGCTGTAAGTGAGTGGCACGCTGAAAGTTTTCTACTTTGGTCGGCAACTCTGCATGCGCTACAGCTGCAGGTTCAACTTATAAAATAGCCATTGGCCGGCAATTTGCACGTTGCACGTTGCCAGTGGCCGTTTGCACATTGCACAATTTGTGCGCCGTTGAAATTTAATTAAAAAATACTTGCCCTAAATAGCAGACACACATACACACACATGATGCTTACCAAATTATTCGAATAATTTGCGAAAGCCTTTATTAAATTGTAAAATTAGTTTGTCTTTTATTGACTGCAGCAAAGTGGGTTTTACAATTAAAAGCTCGACTATTCAAATGTGCTGCAATAAATAAAATTTGCATAGCTATAATAAACAAACTCAAATTCAAGTTTGAAATAACAAACACTGAAGTTGATTTATACATTTATTTGCGGCATAGAAGACTTTTTGTATTCGCTGCTAAAATTTGCACCTCACTTAACAAAATAATTAGAAGAAAAAACAATCTTGAAAAATATATAACTGATTCATTTAATTTATTTCAACTTTTAATGTATGCAGTAAAATTTGGAATAGTTGTGTCTAATGTCCTTATCATAAGGATAACTATAGCTTTTAGCAACATTAAGCAAATAAATTAATAATGACAGTTGAAAGGGTAAGGGAGAGAACAAGAGTCCATACAATTAACAAGAAAATACAAATTCAATTGATAACAAATCAATGAGGTTTTGTGGTATTAGTATAAATATTGACTGCGTTACTGCTGCCCGCAAATAATATGCCTTGCGCTGGGTCAGACTATGCGCAGGGTATTAAAATAGCAAATTAAATTATGTAAACGATCAGAGGAATGCGGCTTTAAAATTTCCACCGATGCTGGTAAATGCAGCAATGTGCAAATAAAATAAGGCAAACGCAGGGCGCTTGTGTCGCCGACAACAAAACAGACAATCAGCTCGAAACTCAAACTCACGAGTCCTTAGCGGACAATGTGGTTGGTGGCCGCAATTGTTGTTCTGTTTCGGCAGGCACTGTCCTGCTGCAGGTGCCTTTCGCAAACGCTTTGAGCCGTAGACGCAACAACGTGTTAATGACGACAAGGGCGCAGAGGCAGGGGTCGAGGGTAGTCACACGAGTGACGATGAGGTTGGCTGCCATTATTCACTTGTGCAAGTGTGGCACAGCTACCAAGTATAATGGAGCCCCCATTCCCTTGCCTCGATGTGTGTGTATGAGAGAGTGTGGCTATTTGAGACCAATTAACATAGAACTTTCCCACTGGTAAACAAGTTAAATTGTTAACAGCCATTATGGGCGCTCATAAATGCCGCCGTGTAACTTTCTCTGCCTTTGTGTACGTGTAGGTGTGTGTGGATATGTGTGTGTGTGAGCCAGGTGTGCGTGTGCTTGTACTTGTGTGTGGGTGCAAGTGGCTGCCGTGTGTATTTCCTGCTTTGTGTCTTTCATGTTGTTTAATTATAAATGCGATGTTGAAAGCCACACAGCGCAGCTTGTGCCTCGCTTTCCTCTTTCACCCGATCCCCGGTCATCTGGCCACCACAAGAGTGACAGAGGCAGAGAGAGTGAGGGGGAGGGAGAGAGAGATAGATGCCACGTACCCAGCTGGCCGAGTAGCTGCATGATGTGATGTGCCATGACGGATGAAGACCGACGACTATATAACTACATCTAATTAGTTTCCTGCCTCCAAATGGGTGGTTGGGTGATTGGAGTCAAGGTGGGGCTAAAAAGCCAGACCAGTTATTGTTCTTGTTTCAGTTGTTATTTCACTTAATTTGAAATTATTGATGCAATTTTGGGGTTTCCCTTTTGTTTGCTCCAAGGAGAGCAGCTCGGCAATTTGTTTGTATATATAAATGTATATATAAATGTTAAAATTTAATTATGCCCATCTGACTGGCAATTATAATCTCCAACTCTCGGCAAAAATAAAATGAATTGAAACATATTTCTAATTTCTATGCACTTCTTTGGTACTTTTTAGAAATCTATGATAAATGGACATATTTGAATTGGGTGTTCACTGTTGTCGCTATCGCTTCTTAGAAAATTGAACAAAACCCACTTAAACCACATATTTAGGGGACGTCATTAATCATACTCATATTTTCGAATTTCGATTGTTTCACTGATAATTTGAGCTTTTTACTCTGTATGATGTTCACTGAATCTGACATAATTTCTGCCATTTACCGGAATTAAATGAAGTCTGCCTGGTTTGTATTTCATTTTGATGATGAACGTAGTCGAAAGTATAATTGTAATTGCAAATTATAAATTGGTAATCTGAGCGCAAGCATTTAATCGAATTTAAATATTTATTTAGGAGAATGCTTCGTGTTTGTTTTTAAATTTGTATTGCTCTTTAAATTACCAATTAAAGTATTGTATAACATATTTATTATTATGCTTGTTGTTTTCTGATATGCAATTTAAAGACTTAAAACGATTTAAAATTAGACCAGCTGGAACTGCTTCTCTCCTGTTCGACAAGGAATAGGGTATTTAGCATTCGGTACTACTGAAAAAGCTGTTCTTGTTTTGCTATTTGTGATTTCATTTTAATTTTTGGATGCCTATTATGCTGGAATAAAAATGAAAGAATAGACATATCTTTGACATTCTTATCAGACTCATGCATGACGCTGTCAATTTGCCGTTGATGTGGGCAATGCTGGGAGGGGAAAGCGGTGGGGGGGGGGGAAGGTGGATAGAGGATGTTTTTGGTCGCGTGGGCATTTGCTGACGCCGAGTGGCGCTCACAGGACATTGACAAGGACGTGAAGCCTACTGAGCGGGCAATGTCACCAGCACACGAGCCACATTGCCAACTAACTGTAAACAATTGTTGATACTCCTCGTTGTTAGTGTTGTTGCTGCTGTTGCTGCTGCTGTTGCTGGTGCACTCACTCACGCGCACATGGCAAAGTAACCTAGTTTCATGTCGTAAAACGCAAAATTACGCCTGAGTGTGTGTGTGTGTAAATAAGCGTGCATATATTTGGGCACACATATTAAAGGGATGCCAGTCGTAATGATGACACACACACACACACACTAACACGAACCCATCCACACAAGTACGCACACAGACAAACTGTTAGTGAAAGTATAAAAAGTGAGCATGATAACAAAAAGGTCCTTGCAGACGCAGCCCCAGTGACGGTCATTCAGTCATTCAGTCAGTGAGTCAGTCAGTCGGTGCCTCAGCACATTGTCATTGTCTTTGCTTAGCTAAACAACACACACGCACATACAGCAGACAACACACTCTCTCTCTCACACACACACACACACACACACACACACACAAATTCAAGCACACACATGGTGCTGATTAGTTTGGTTTGGCTTTGGTGAAGAGCGGCTGCGGCTGCCTTTTAGTTATTGTTGTTGTTGTTGTTGTTGGTATTTGCTGCAGTCAGAGCCACAATCATTAAAGTCGAGGTAAGTATCATTTTTTATATCCAACGAATGTGTGTTTGTGTGTGTTTTGTTGTTGTTGTGGTTGTTGCTGGTGGTGTTTGCAAGTCAGTCAGTCGCTTAGTCATTGAGTCAGTTATGTAATGCTCGAGATTTGCTGAGCTTTTGCCAGCTCAATTTTCGTAAGTCAGCATCTGGCTGCTGTTCATTGGGGAGTACGTAACGTATTTATATGGGCTTATGGGCTATTTGGGGCACAGGCCCAACTGACTGGACCTTAGTCCAGTGGATGTGTTTGCATATGTGAAATCGAAATCAAAGGTCAGGATGCAATTTGGACTCGTATAATGACTGTACGTAAAAGAAATAAATATAAATTGTAACGTATAAATGTATAAAGCATTCTTCAAATCATATTTTATCATTTCTTTCGAGGACAGTAATTTATATAAGGGTTCTATAAAATCAACGAAAGGTTGCAGAAAATTTATGAAATTTTCATAGCAAATATTTTAAATAGGGTAAAAACAGCATGACTCGCTTTGTTGTCGTAAAATATTTTGTTATGTGAATTTATTATATTATTAAATATATCAATTTGTATCAAAAAATATGCTCGCATTGCATACTTTAATCAAATACCATTTTTAAAACATATTCAAACCAGATACCACAATATATTAAATGCCCATCAAATTGTATTATTTGTCGCATAATTCACAGAGGCCACAAGTAAATACATAGTATTTATTTGCTCAAGTTGGCTTATTCATAAATCATGCCATGATTTTGATTCAAAGGTGAAAAAGTTGAAATTTTTTATTGACTTTTGTCACTGGTTCTCGTGGCAAACAAATAGAAAATATTTTGTGCAAAAGAAACCATTGAAAATTTGAGAAAAATACTTTTAGTTCACAAAAAATTTACAAATAGTTGTGAAAAACACGCGTTTGTAAATAAATAAATCATTTTTGGTAATATTTTTTTCCATTTACTTCTGTTAACTAATTTAAATTTCACTGTCAATTGGTTATTCATCCACTTCACAAATAGTTTTCGATAAGTACACTTTTCACTTGTATTCCAATTTGATTGTCAACTAGTTGCCATTTTGAAATACACTGGAACAGTTTTAATAAAATAAGAAATCGATAAAGATAACTGAACACAAATGCGATAAATAAACAGTAAGCGAGAAAACAACATTGCCAACTTACAGGCGCTCAGTTAAGTGTGAATATTCAGTTGCATCTCTGGCGCACTGTTTTGGCCAAGAGTGGTTGTTGCTGGTGCTGCTGCTGCTGTTGCTTCTCTGTTGACCAGTTGCTGATTGCTTTGGCCAATGTTGCGACTGCTTTGTGGCAGTCGAGGGGACTCGCAACGAAGCGGCTCCGATTTTGACGAGCGCGAACACAGAGAGCAGTAAACTGGAGAAGTGACAACGTGGCAAAGCAAGATGAGCAGGAAGCAGAAAAAGAAGCGGAAACGGAAGTGAAAGCCAAAAATGTCATCGAAATATCAGTTGCAGTTACAATTGCTGTCGTTGAAGTTCATGATGGTCGCATGCCCGTATAGTGGACAGGCGTGTCCCTGCTGAAGGAGTGCGCCTTCTTCCCCGACTGGCTCTGACCGGAGGTGAGCGTAACAATGACAACGAATACGCTGGCACAGACAAGGCACAGCAGCACCGTGGCGAGCACAATGCAAACGATCCGCTTTCGCTTGCGATCCGCCTCCTCATCCTCATCAGTCTCATCGCTGAGCGATTTCTTTTTGAGCTTGTGCGAGCCACCGCTAATGGATGCCTTGCGTCCGGCGGCCAGCTTGTGATGAAAGGGTCGCAGCACCTGGGCCGCAAATGCCGCATCGCTCAGCTCCTGCTCGTAGGTGAGTGATGCCTTCCTCTCGAACGACGGACGCTTCTCCTCGATGAACGCGGCGGCGACAGCGGCAGCGGATATTGGACGTGGACTGCGCTTAATCTCGTCCACATTGACAACAGCGGCGCCCGTAACGCCGCCGGGCACCGCTGTCGAGAGCGGACGACTGTTGCGTCGGTGGGGTGAACTCAGCTCAAAATCATCGACGGCACCGGCAACGCCAACGCTCCCACTGCCTTCGCCAATGAAGCTCTTGGACTTCTTGGACGCACTTAGTGCCTCGCGATAGCTGCGCAGTCGCACGCTGGCGCTGTGCATCGCTTTGGCCTGCTTGACGCTGGCGCTGGCATTGGTACCCTGGAAGGCGGCGGCGGCAGCCAGCACGCCCGGCCGGTGCACCGTGAGCTCCTCGAGATTGCTGGGCGACAGGTACAGGGAGCGACCGTGTTGTGCGCCCCGCTTGAAATGATAGGCGGCACTTGCCGCTGCCGCCGCACTATGCAAATGCATCGTATGCGTGGCGGCAGCGGCGGCACTACTGGTGGATGGTCGTCCATCGAGCTCCAGACTGTGGGTGCTCTGCTGTCGGGAGTGGGGATGCGGTTCGCGCTTCTGCTTAATGCTGTTCGAGGCGGATGTGGCGGGCGGATGGGTTGCGCTGTGACCGGCGGCGAGACCAGGCGCAGTCTCCTCGAATGAACCGGAGCTCTTGCGCATGCGCTGCACGACCACAGCGGCTGTCGCCAGCTCAGCGATGCCCAGATCCTCCATTTTGGTGTGACTATTGCTCCGCGAACGCGATTCCACAAACAGCTCGTTCTCCAGCGACAGATTCGACTGTGGAAAGAGTGATCGATTGTCGATTGGCTCCATCAGATCATCGTTCAGCGAGGCATGTCGTATCTGGGACTCGGCGAGCGCATCCGGTTTGCTGCTGGGCCGACGACCCGGATCGTTAAACGAACGATGCGAACGACAGCCCCGTCGACTGGGCGATGGCGAACGGGAGATCTCCTTGCCACCGGCTGGCGGCCCGGGCATAAGAAAGTTGGCGCGCACCGAGCTGGTGCGACGACTGGAGCTCGCCGAGCCGGCGGCAACGGCCAGCTGGATTTGCTCCATTGCGGCGGGATCCTGTTGGGCGTGGAAGGAATGCGTTTTCTTCATCTGAAAATTGGTAGACGGATGAACGTCAATTGTGTCGGAGCGACGGAAGAGATTCTTTTTCAAATGCTGCTGCTGTGCGACGACAGCAGCCCGTGGCAGCATATCATCGACATCGATGAACTGTATCGGTGATGTGCTGCCGCTGTGCATGCCCATCCCCATGCCCATGCCCATGCCCAAGCCCAATCCGCCCACATTGTCGCCCAGGCTGCTGCTGCTGACCAGATAAATATCCGGCTGTTGTTGCTGTTGTCTATGTTGCTGTTGTAGATGTTGCTGCTGCTGCTGCTGGCCGAGTATTGGGCTGACCGCATGCGAGGTGGGTGAGCTTGTGGAGCTCGAGTGCGGGTGGTGTTGGCGGTGCTGATGCGCATGCGTACTATGTGCTGGCAATTGGTGGTGCCTCGCAGCAGCCTGTGCCTGAGCGGCCAGTTGCTGAAAAGTGTGCATATGCAGCTGGTGTTGTTGTTGTTGTTGGTGGTGTTGTTGTTGTTGTTGTTGTTGTTGTAGGTGGTGCTGTTGTTGTTGTTGTAGGTGGTGGTGCTGGCGTGCGGAGAGTGCCGGCGATACGGAACCGCTGCCGCCAGCAGCCACCACATGCGTATGTTGTTGGGGAATATGTTGTTGTTGTTGTTGTTGTTGTTGTAGTAGTGGTGCTGTTGTTGGGAGTGCTAGGGTCTGCGGCGGTGCAGACGAGCGCACGGGCAGCGGCGACGCCGAGCGGTGGATCAGCGGCTGCTCATGCACAATAAACCCTTCATCCGCATCAAACTCCAGATCGGTAGCCAACGGTGCATAATTTTCAATGGCCATCGAGAGTGAACGATGGATGGGCTTCAGCTTGGGTGGTTTCTTTTTCGTCGCAGGATTGTCAAAGGACGATGTGCCCGAGGTGTGCGCCTCATCCGCATCGCCCGCCGTCAAATACGGATCGTAGTTGTGCACCGAAACAACATGCTGGTGTCGTGACTGATGTTGCTGTTGTTGCTGATGGTGGTGCTGCTGTTGCTGCTGTTGGTGTTGGTGGTGCGACTGCTGCTGGTGGTGCGACTGCGACTGATGCTGCTGACCACCGCTGGTGCCGCGCTCCATGCGGTAGTAATACTGCCGTGGGTATCTATGGTAGTAATGTGCAATTGTGGTGCTGGTATGTGGGTGGTGTGGCGAGCAGGAGTAGGGTAATCACACTGACACTGACCTGGTCGGGCGCGGGCGCGGGTGCGGGTGCGGGCGCTGAGTCGGGTGCTAACTGTAAACTGTAACGGTGGTTCTTGTTCTTGTTGTTCTTGTACTTGTTCTAGTTGTGGCTATTGTTGTTGTTGTGGTTGCTGTTGTTGGCCCGCTGCTTGGCGACGCGCGGTGGTTGCAAGTCGTGCTGTGGTTGCTTGGCAGAGTGGGTGCTCTAGTTTGCTAGTGCTGGACACCCATATAAAAAACAGGGCTGGATAGTGAGAAAGAGATAGAGAACAGAGACACACAGAGAGAAAGAGAAAGAGAAAGAGAGAGAGACACACAGAGCGAGAAAGAAAGATAAAGTGTGTTGGTTTGGCGGGGGCGGGAAAGTAGGTTTGGCGATAAGCAGACTAAGGACACTGGATACTGGATACTGCAGACGCACACACACACATACAAAAGGGACACACGCTAAAACAGCAAGATGGCAAGTGTGAAGGATACTTTTAGGATATATGCAGCATTAAAGACAACTAAGAAGATGTTAATCGTGTTTTGTTCTGTTTTTGTTATTATTTGATATCCTCTCTTTCTTTAGTTGGTGTGGTTGTGCGTATTTTGCTTTATCACTATACTCTTGATGTGGTTCTTGTTGTTGTTGCTGTTGTTGTTGGAGTTGTTATTGTGTTGCACCTAAAATCCGATTTATTATTATTTTATGTATTTCTTTGTTGTTGTTGTTTTTTGACTACTTGACTTTGTTTTTATTGTCACATTTTGTGTATTGATGATTGCTGTCTTTGTTGTTGATGTAAATAATGCTTTGTATTTGGGGGTATGTTGTTTTTGTTGATGTTGTTGTTGTTGTTCTTGTTCTTAGCTACACTCATTAAAATGGGCAAATACAAAAGCACAACTAGAAGTAGACAAGAAAAATACGTAAACAAGTATTAGCAAGCTAGATGGGGGAAGTGACAGTGGGACGTGGTGGGGTGTCGAGGATAATTGTGATGGATTCTGTGCATTCTGGTTGGTGTACTTTTGTAAGACAGTAGTTTACTCATTAAATCAGAAAGCACACTGAGTTTCAATTGGATAGAAAGCATAGCAAATAAAAAACAAAGAAATTAATATGAATAGATAACGAAAGGATATTCTGTTGCAAATTGAGTCGAAAACTCGGCTTACTGCTGTGCAGCCTTATTATTTTTATATCCATTTCATTCAGTACTTACTGTAGATTTGTTCTTTAAATCACATGGTTGACTAACGCTTAAATTCATTAAATTTTACAGATTTTCAAATATAATAACATATCATATAAGATATCATTATTAAGGTTGTTGGGTTTTATTAACGCTTCGAATTACAAATATTCTCGAGTCTTCAAAATAAGCTATAAAAATTATATTATATATATTATATATTATATTAGCCTGTTCTAAGCAACACAATATATTTTTGTTATTTTAATAGCCAACTATAAAATTTGGTATTTTTTTCGGATCTAAACGAATTCGAATTAGAGTCCTCAATTCCCTCGGCCACCATTTTGTCACGTAGCGATTTGGGATGCCGATGTGCAATGTGAGTTAATCGAATTGAATCTATTTGGTTGGACGGATATCGAAAGGAGGGCAGCACTGCAATAATCGTCATGTTGTTTGTCCAGGGGCATTACGCCCATCCACGCCCATTACAGACGCTACAAACTGTCAACGGCCACAGAGATAGAATGCCGCGCGCAACTCTTTGGCAGCAACACAATTCATCATTTTGCCATACCTTTTGAGCCCGGGGAATTGTAACGTTTTGCATAATTTAAAATGACAGGCCACAGTCGGGAGTCCTCAACAGTCACCAGCCAGGATAGTCGGTGAGTTGGGTGTCGTGAGAGTTCTCATTTTGCTGGCCGCGTGGGCTAGTCCTTTGCTACTGTCACTCACAGTGTTAATTTTTCAAAGCTCATTGATGGATGAGTGCGCCAGTTGACATTTATGTGCCTAGGCCAAATACACACATACACACACACACACGCACACACACACACGCACCGACACATCAACACAAGTGCTTAAGGATGAGATGGGGGAGTGCGGCGCGGGAGCTGTTTAAAAATTAACGCTCTGCGACTTAAAACTGTTTCGTGCCCGCCCGAAACGAGTTAAACATATTAAAATTTGCTTATGCAAAAGGTAAAGAATGAAACCCACTCAGAAACACTAAGCGGCCATTATATATATATGTATGTATAAATGTCTGTTTGTGTGGCCAAATGCTCTGAAGACATTTAACATCACGTACTTTAAATATGTTTAAAAGAGCTTAAGTGAAATGAAATGTGGCGACTATAGTATATATATACATAAGAGCGAAAAGACAGTACATTATGTACACACATTATATACTAAAGAAAGCACATGTGTGCCTGACAGCGTCTGGCACTGGCAACAATAAGACTGAGACAGTGAAAGAAATATGGAGGGGCCGAGTGGGCCCAGCGCAAATCCTTGGATACCAACGTCCTTTTGTCTTTCAGCCGAAACTGGAAACCCAATAATCACGCATTTTGAGAATCCTGTTTCTGTATCTGTTGCTGTTGTTGTTGCTGTTTCTGTTTCAGCTGCACTTGTCAAATTTTGTTTCGTCTCAAATCTGAAACGTATTAGATGTAAGTCTCCTTGTGTGTGGAACTGTATAACTAGAGCACCAGGCGCAATAAATTGGATTTGCTTTTGATATACTTGAGCCATGGTAAACGTTGCCAAAAAATATGTTTATGTAAGTGATTTGAGGTAAAATACATATTCATTTATAGGGCAAATCAAATACTTTTTCAATTTGCTGCACTTCAAAATTTGTTCTTATTTATTGTATCAACATTTTTCAATTCGTTTTAATATCACATTAAAGATGGAAATAAAGTTTGATGTACGTTGATTTAAATCACAGTTCACTCACTGAAATGAAATGTGTATAAAATCAGCTTAAAAATTTATTTTCTTGAAATTTAATATCTTTTCAACAGCCATAAAAGTTATACGGTTAAGTATAAGCATATAAGGTAATAATAATTTTCTAGCATCAACAAATGAAAATAATTACAATCTCTTGCGGCTTATACTCAAGCTCTCTTTAAGTGCCTCACCAACCAACCTCCCACAACCAACCGATAGCATTTGCTGACTCGTGCTTCTGCAGATGACTTGAGGCATATCTCAAGCTATAATTGGCATAAACAATGGTTAATTAACATAAAACTAATATTTCGAACCGACATTAAAGCCAATTTAAATAGCCATACGTGCGTAATTAAGAACACCACATCCTTATCTCTCCTACTCCCTCCTTCACCCACAACCAGATTCGATGTGCACGACCAGCCAATGCTGAATAATGACTGACTGCTGACTGCTGACTTCTGACTGCTGAGTGTTGATTGTTGATTGTCGTCAGCAGCTTTCAGTTTCCTGGCCGACTGTTTCGTTTGTGCTAAGTGTGAGCAATTAATTGCGTTTAATGGTGACCCAAAACCACACCAAACCACATTACATCCCAACCATCATTATGTTAAGTGGTAAATGGAGGTTATGGGAGTCGTCGTCGTTGTCGGCGTGGTCCTAGACGTCTTTTTAATATTATTAAATCCGGCGTGCTTCTCACTGCGTCTCTAGCATATTAATGAGTGCCAAGGTCTGGCAAAGGATAGTATTTGATCCGATTAAAAGGCAAAGTGCATTCTTTTTTATTCGTCAACGATCCTGCCACACATAATTTGCTATACATATGTTTGTGCAATTAAAATGTTTGTGCGTAATCACACACATGAATTCATACACACACTTTCCGTGATTTGTGTTTGCTCCTTTGCCTTGGCACTATGGGCAAAATTAATTAAAAACGGTTGGCTCAAAAGCTCTACTGGGGTCCTTACATTTTTGCTGCACAACTTAACAGGTTGTTTTCAAATTTTGTGCTGAAGGAAAAACAATATTTTTTGATTTAGAAATAGTTCTCTAAGCTGCAATGCCAGTTGTCGAAAGCAAAAGTTAATAATTGAAGATTACATTTTGTTCCCATAGTGCACAGTTTACTGCGTGCTGTATTTGCAGTTATGCAATATTATTTTAAAAACACATTCCAGCAACTGCAGAATGCAGAATCGTTTGCAGAGCCATTATTGCGTGATGTCGGAAAGAAAATGACAGAAAGTGACCTAGAGAGGGGGATGGAGCGAGTAAATAATGGGACAAAGTCAAAGGCCGTCTGTGAGTTTCTATTTGTGAGTTTCTATTTAATTTGAATTGTTTTGTGAATCGTGAATGGCAAAACATTTTCCGCTCGACAGTCCGTCCAAACAGGCATCACTGCTCAGCACTGCTCAGCACTGCAGCTTGACGGGGCCACGGCCAGGCGAATGCCACGCCCCAAAGTACATAAGCTTATTAAAAGCGCTTAGCTCTTTAATAAACAGTCATAGAAAGTTTTCCGTGATGCGCCTGCAAAGTGCAGCCCAAAAGCTGTGGCCGCATCATTTTCGCTTGGCAACAACATAAAATGGGGTAGGCGTGGTTTGGGGGGCGGGCAAGGACAAATCTAAGCGTGCGAATACCTAAACAAATACAATCTACCGAGTGAGATATACAGATAAATTCAGAGAGAGAGAGAGATAGAGCACAGACAAGAGTGAAATCAGAGCGTGACAGAGAGAGAGAGAGAGAGAGAGAGAGAGAGAAAGAAAGAGAACAGAAGCGCCTTCGGGTGGTAAATTCAATTAAATAACCGGACAAAACTTTTTCACAACAAAATTTTCAGCGTCTTGAAAATATTTTGGCTACAGTTTGACAACAATTTATTCACACATTCACACATACACACACACATACAATCTGTATACGCTTGACGGCATTTGTTGCCAGCATTTTCCAAAAAAAGTTTTTCACCATTTGTAGCATTCGGACAAAAGCATTCGTAAAAACCCAATGCTCAGTAGAAGTGCACCCCCCGGCCCCTTACCAACTTTCTGGTCGCCTGCATTTTGATGAATTTTCGAGGTGGCCAACTTGGGGAACCGGCATCTTGAACTAAATCTTAAAAGTTTAGCCAGCAAAAATGGTCGCAAGCATTCTTAGCCAGTTTGCTAAATGAATTTACAAGACCGCAAGCTGATTACCGGCCTCTAAGAGTAGCAGCTCGGGATCAGGCCCTCCTCGGGTTGAGATTGGCCTTGGGGGCTTGGGGTTGCCACCCGGAGGTGAGGCGGCAACTTGAACTGCTACCTCATTTTATTTCACTTATCGCCTGGCCGCTGGTCACACAAAAACAAATGGGTAATGAAAGGCATGGCATAAACTTTCATTTTGCGAGTTACATATTGTGCACACAACAAGCAAGCTACCAAATTAATGTGAACGACTTAAGGTTACCCAATATAAAATACAGACCACAAAAATGCATTTTGTATATTATATGCCACTATTAAAACCAAATTTAATTATACTCATTCATGGTTACACTTTGACGGATGAAAGATCTGGAAACGATATGAAACACTAACAAATCTTGCTGTTGACTGCGACTATCAAATGCATACATACATATATAGTACATATGTTTTTCAGTTTATTTGCTTTTATTTACCACAGAGAATTCCACACTCGTTTTATGGCTAAAGGGTATAAACAACGAGAGATACAAATTGCGCATTGGGTCGACAGCAGCTTTATCAGCTGGGGGCTGCCTCTGCCA